TGTGCACAAGTCGGGGGGGCCACGGGAGGGGGGGGCCTGTGCACAAGTCAGGGGGGCCACGGGGGGGGCTGTGCACAAGTCAGGGGGGGGCCACGGGGGGGGCTGTGCACAAGTCAGGGGGGGCCACGGGGGACCTGTGCACAAGTCAGGGTGGGGCCACGGGCCTGTGCACAAGGGAAGCTCTTAGCCTAAGCAGTCTGGGTCTGGTGCTGCTTCCAGATTATCGTGCAGTACCTTCTGCATCCCCTGGTGTGTCCTGTGTGGACACCCTCCTCTGAGTGGGCCTGGTCTGTCCTCAGGGGAACACCTCACTCTTATCATGGATGGGCCACTTGAGCTCCATTTCCAGAGCGCCCTTGACCCGAACTGAGAGCACTGAGGCCACAGTTTCCACATGCAGCCCTCCGCCGCCCTCCACTGTGTGGAGCTGGGCTCCGGGGTAGAGTCCTTGTGACACTTTGATCCCGACACAAGCTGGACCCTGCTCAGCCTCCGGCTGGTGTGAGAGCAGCAGCATGGCTACTGGGCTTCTTCTCCTAGAAGCCCGTGTAGGTCAGACTCAACCACTCAGACCTAGACACCTGGGCGACGTCATCTCCGGCACTGCGGCAGAGAGGCCCTGGGAAGCGGCAGGGATGTGAGAGGCAGTGGGCTGGAGATGCCGGTGGGCTGGGGATGCTGGTGTAGGAGTAGACTAGTGGAACGGAGCAGACACAGAAAGTGCTCGGCAGGGACTGCCACCCAGTGGGCACTCCGGGCCCTGCCCTGCAGACAAAGCTCAGATACCAAGTATTTCAAAAGGTCCCTTGGGACTTGGGGGCCGCTTTGCTGGTCAGCCACAAGGAGTTCGGCCTGATCTGTAGCCACCCCTCCTGCAAGCCCCCCTTCCGCACCCTCACCCCCAAGTTCTCTGGTGGGTTGATACGGTCGCTGTCACCTTCCTCGAAGCGACTAAGGGAAGACGCCCATTCCCATCAGCTTCCCTCAGCACCCACAGCTCCCAAACTCCTTCCTCTTCTACTTGCTGAGGAACTCCTGTGCATGGCTGGGCCTGGTGAGACGCCAGACCTGGGCTCTGGGAACCCTTACACACCCACCAGTACCTCCCACTAGAAAGCAGAGTTGGGGTCACACTGTCTTTCATCCTGCGTTATGGATGGACTCCAGCCAGTCACAGGCTTAACCCTATGGAAAAATATGGAGAATCCAGACAGGTGCAGAAGAAGTAAACGTTAGCCATGACTACAGAGCCTGCCCCCTCCCAAGAACCCAGAATTCTCAGTTTGACAACTTTCCTTTAGAATGTTATTTGCTAATACCATGAACATGGTTGAGCATGGATATCCCGTATGTTATTTACCCAGACTGAATTTTTAAAGCCTTTCTACAAATGCCTGATGAAATATGAATGGAGCCACGTTTTGCCAAGTCTTAACGACTTCGAGTACAGTTTCTTCATTCACGGACTAATTGGGAGTGGATCCAGATGGCTACCCTGGTGCCTTCCATATTGCTGGGGCCCAGGGACAACATCTGTGCTCACCTGTGGGCAGCCGAGGGGTGTATGAGGGCGTGTGGAAGGAGGCCATCACAGGTGGGAAGGAAGAAGGGAAGGATGAAGTGGCTGGTTTCCGACATTGCTTGGCAGGGGAAATCTCTCTGAACAAACAAACGTTGGGTTGCCGCTTCGGGGTTGTAATGTTTGTAACCCAAACTTGCTCGTTTCAGATCGGCCACATCGACGGAGACCCCAGCCGCAAAGGAGCCTTCCCCGTGTCGTTTGTGCACTTTATTGCTGACTAGATTGCTACTGAACAGAAGGCCTTTCTGTAACCGTTGAACGTTCCGTTTTGTTATTGGTACCAAGACTAGCGATAGCCAGTCTCACGGATCCAGCCCATCCTCTCCCCGTTCTGTTCTGAAAACTCAAAGGCAGTTTTTATATGTAAGCAGATTCTTTTTATAGGTTGTGTTTTTCACGCAACATTGCTATACTTTTACTAGGAAAAGCAGAATTTCCTAAAAGGGGGGAGGGGAGGGGACGAAAAGCTATTTTAACTCTAGACCCAGGATCCTGCATTTTCAGGAGTAGCTGAGCCTAAAAAAAAAAAAAAAAAATGCTTAAATGAATTTGGGGGATTCTTACCGCTTTCCTTAACCCGGTTCTGACGTTGGTTCACTTTAGCACAGTTTAGCAGGCCAGTACCACGCTGCTTCAGTCTGTGGCCAGACCCTGAACTTTATCCGCAAATGCCATCCATCCATTCACCTTGAAAGACATATATTCCTTTGAAAACCCAGCCAGTGTGTCTGTTTAAAGCAACTTAGCAATTTACCTGTTAGCCGTGTACTTTTCTGGCCCCAGCCTGTGAGGTGGCAGCTGCCATGATCTCCTGCATGTACATGTGACCCGTTGTTGTGAACAGTCATACGTGGCATACCGCTGATGGGTTATTACGACACAGCGATTAGCCGTCTGTTCTGCACCGGCGTTACTGCACTTCCTGAATTTGGTTGAAAACTAAGGATGATGGATTGCAAAGCAGTCCTTTACACTAGCTCGTCTGCCCTAGGTGTTTTAGGATTTGCCTCCTTCAGCGTCCCCCGTCACGCAGAAAGCAGCTGTAGACAAGTAGGACACGTGGTGCAGACCACGGTAAGCAGCACATTCCTCGCCGTGTCCTGGCGTGTGCCGCTGCCTTCCCCTCCCAGCTCCCGAGGACACCTGCTTAGCTTCCTGTCTTGTCTCTCATAGGATTCTCCGAAAGGAACGGTAGCTACACTGTCTTGAAATTTAGCCTGTCCAGTTTTTTGTATTCAAGATCATATCAGAAATCCGTAGATCCGGGGGGAGCCCAGTACCCCCCAAACATCCCAATTACACTTTGTAAGGCCATCACGTAACGTTTAAACTTACAATATGCGGGGTGGGGGAGGGGAACTGGGTTGTATATGATAAAAATCAAAACTCATTAGTTTCATGAACTTGACTGTCATACCTCTATTTGATAACTGTAAGCATAAAAGTCATGGCAGGGATATGGGCGATTCTGGCACTCTTTCGGAGTAAAGAGGCAAGCATGGGTGTGAGCACAGGCTGGAGTGTGAGCAAAAGGAACGGACTGAAGTGTGAGCTTGACTTGTTGGGCGGTGACGCTGTCGGGGTGGCACACTTGACTGAAGCGGCGCCGTCCTGACTCTCTTTGCGCAAGGCTCTGACGAGCACGGACCTTCCTGTCTTTGTTTCAAAGAAAGCAGGACAAACTGGAATGTTTTAGGATGCCATACAGTGATGGTCTTTAAGATTCTGGGTAAAAACATGTTAGATCTGTAATTAAAGTCAGTCTCTCTCTCTCTCTCTTTCTCTCTCTCTCTCTCCCTCCCCCCCCCCCAACACTACTTGTTCATTTCTAACGTTTGAGCCCTCCTCCTAGTCACTTTTCTCGTAGGCTTCAGAGCGTGAACAGATGCATTTTGCACATTGCACTTCCCAATACCTCTCTGACGGCGACCCCCCCCCCCCCAGCATCTGTATGTATCATCGGTCTTTGGTGACCTGGTGCCAGCTCTCTGAGGAATCAAGTTGATTTATGTCAACATTTTAACTCCAGTCCCAAGCTAACCTATCGGGTTCACCGGTACTTAAACGCCTAGGAAATCTTTTTCCACTTTCTGGTGGTGCTATTGGGTGGTAACGGATAGTGCTTTCTACCCGATGAGAAATCCTATTGACTTCCCTCCTAATTATCCTTCCTTAGTTATTTGCTCTTTGCAAATAGAGAAGAAAAAGTAACTGAAAGGAAAACACTGTAGATATCTATTTATATTTAAAGTTTACATTTCACAAGTGTCAGCTGTGGAATTCAGGCTTCTTTTTTTTATTTTACTTTATTTTTTTTGCCACTTTCCATCAGGTCTGACTTGGAGGGAAAATGACTCAGAAATATGGTGCACAGATTGGTGTGATCTGTTGAGGGTGGAGCATGACCTGCGGCCGAGAATGCTATTTTGAGATGTATGATATTCAATTCATTCACCTGATCACTCTGGTCGTGTTGCCGTGCAACTGTATATACTGTATAACCTAAACGGATTATTTTCATTGTCCTTAATGCCGTGATTTATAACTAGAGCATGTTTAATAAATTGACTTCCTGTTAACCAGTCACTTGACTGGAAAAAAAAATAAAGTACTTTTAAATGGACATGGTTTTCATCTCTAAAGTGTTAGCTACTGGCACTCCACAGAGAGAACGTGGACATGAGATTTTTTTTTTTTTGGTTTTTCGAGACAGGGTTTCTCTGTGTAGCTTTGCGCCTTTCCTGGATCTCACTCTGTAGACCAGGCTGGCCTTGAACTCACAGAGATCCGCCTGGCTCTGCCTCCCGAGTGCTGGGATTAAAGGCGTGTGCCACCACCGCCTGGCAAAAAAAGCCACCTGTAAAAGCCAGCAGACGCCCTTCTAAGGGTCTCTCAACTGAGATAAACATGAGTGTGCTGGGTATTGTACAGACAGGGCCTTCTGTTAGGGTGCTGTTCATCTGGACACTGCTGTCATCACTCCAAGGTCATGTGGAATTGAGGTTCCCCAGTTCAAATCTATGCCTGTCCCTAACCCAGAGTTCCAAGCAAGTGACCCCGAGTTCCTGTGAAGGTACAGGGTGCAAGTCTCAATCAGCGCGAACTTCTATGACACATGAGTATTCATTAAGCTTGTTTGCATTTTAAAAAGACAACAGAGGTTTCTTTATCTTATCTGTAGATTTTATTATGTGTATGCTTGAGTAGCTGCATGTACGTATGTACACCACATGTATGCCTGGTACCTGAGGAAGCCAGCAGGGGGCGTCGGCTCTCCTGGAACTGGAGTTACAGGCAGTTTAGAGCCACCATGTAGGTGCTTGGAATTGAACCCAAGTGCTCTTAACTCCTAAGCCGTCTGTCCGGCCCCAAGGTTTCTTTTTAGCTCAGAAAGTAGGTAATTTATTGGAAGTTAACGTACTATTAACGACGCCTTTTAATGATGGCTGATATTTTACACATTACACTTCCTTTAGAAAACTGGGTCGGGGCATTACACCCTCTAATAGTTCACCGCTGCCAATGGAAAGCTGAAAGATGGAGGACCAGGTGAGCTCTCAGATGGGTCAGCTTCCACGTGACTGCAGAGTTCAGGACTTGTCTGATGTCAACACAGAGTCAAATGCTGTGGATAAAACCTTGCAGATTGCTTGGGCTTGCTCCTGCATTGTACAAAGAGATACATTGTTGCAAATATGACCAAAACACATTGTACAGGATGCCCAAGGAACTAATGGACAAAAAGATGTGAGAACAGAGTTGACACATCTCTCCAGAAACTTTATCCACCACCTCACGTTGCCTCCCTCCGAATCTACACTTCAGCACCTGCCCCGCCTTAAGCTCTCCTGAGACAGGCAGATGTAAGGGCTGCTGCTAAGCCCTGAACGGGAGAAGACGGCAGCTCAGGAGTGGAGGGAGTGCTGACCCAGCCCAGGTCAGTGTTACTCGGCAGGAGCAGTCTCCAGCCTGTCTGAGTCGCTACTGGAAGGGTGGGTATTCGTTCTGAGGACCGCCACTGAGGAGAGCATTTGCTCAGCCCTAGACAGCTGTGGGAGAGTCAGAGTCACCCTTTCACTGTTGAGCAGGAACGAGCCGAGCTAACTCACCAGGCTGTTACACTGGTAAACCCACAGGCTGTATTCTTCATTGCTTGCATCTGTGGTCTTGAGTGCCAGCAGGCTCTTCCCGGCTCCCAGGCCATCGTCATAACACACCATCCGGATGATTAAATACAGGGCATGCCTATGCAGAACGCCCTGCGGAAACCGCAAGACCTCCTTCAGGAAGCTGGGACATGGCTACCAGTGTCTCTCAGTTCTCGGGAAACACGCTCCCCACACAGAACACATTGGGAGGCTTGAAAGGGCAGGACCGTGGATCTGGGTGAAAGAATACACAGTTTCCCAGCCCAAGGGACACCAGTATGCCTAGTTATGGGGTGACTTGCTTTCAGAATCACACTCTCCTGTTTAAACCCAGAGACCTAGGAGCAAGGTCATCTAAGCTGTCCTCATCTCTGCCCGTCCTCCACGCCAACCAACAGCTACTTCCAAATGACATGGGGTCCCTGCATGAAACACACCAGGGGCCACACATATGAGAAATACAAATGGAGCCCCTGTTCACCCTAAGGAGTGGGCAGAGATTAACACCCCCTAAGACACAGGAGACCCAAGTCCAAGTGTACCCTTAAAGGCTGGGGGTCCCGATTTCCTAGAAAGTACTTCCCGAGCGCTGCACTTACATGCTGATCCGTGGTTGAGACTTTTATGCCGTACTTGGAAACACCCAGAATAAACTCCTCCTCCAGGGGAACAAAAGGCAGCTTTCCATCTTGCTTTAAAGTGAAATAAGTCATACCACAGGCATTAAAACGACACAGTCATCTTAAGGTTGATTGTTGCTTCTGGTATCTGGCTATCGAAGCTTCCGACCCTTTAGAGTTCAGTCTATACAAATATTTCCCCCAAATTCAGATCCTATTTACTCCCTGTGTACTGCTCTGTCCTTTTGGGGTGTGAACCCTAATGGCAAATGGAGATCCTAGCCACAGATCTTAGTGACATTAAAATATTTACACTGTTAAGTCAGGAGTGGCACAAGCTTTTAGTCCCAGCACTCGAGAGCACAGGCAGAAGGATCTCGTGAGTTCGAGGCCAGCCTTGCCTATAGTTCCAGGACTATGTACCTGTCTCAAAACAAGCAAAACAAAATTTACACTATTTAGGTTTACAAATCCTCAAAGCTCATCTCATGTCAGGACAGGGAGTGATCAGGGAGCAGGCAACGTCTTTCTCACAGTCGATTTCTGTCTGACTGCTGAGATACATCTTGGTAGCTGCAGCTACCAGGGCTCAGGATGACAGGCTGTTGATGAGTTAACTTCTCTCATGAAACCATCCATCAGCAGTCTGAGCTGTCCACAAACAGAACAGTGGGTGATAACTAACTGATCATCCCCCACCCCCGGCAAATCAGCCAGTCTCGTCTACCTAAGAATGCTGGAAATGATGAATTACAGTAATGGAGCCATGGCCAGATGCTTCAGTTCTTGGCCTTCCCAGCATTAGTAACACCCTGCCAATCACTTCTCACGTATCGAAGACTCAAAATAATGCCACTGTCAATAACGGCATTTTATCAAACAAAAGCTCTGTGGTGGATGAGTAATTCAGCCATTCTTACAGGGTGAAGGGAGTGCTAATATAATTTTGAACATGATAATATAATTTTGAATGTCTTTCTGTATAATGCTTTGTCACTTATACTTGTATTTGAATGACCATATTTGTTACTTATACTTTGAGTGACCATATTCCAAGCTAAAATTGGGGATAACTAATGATCTCTACCAAAAGTTCTGCCAAACTGCAAATTAGATTCACTAATTTTCCTTTTAAGTAACTTCCTTTATGGCCATAAAGATAGGAGTCATATCTAATACTCCCAGTCTCCATGACTTAAGAGATTTTAGGTTCTCTCTATGTTGTTCTGGCTGTTCTGGAGCTCTTGCTATGTAAACCATGATGGCCCTGAACTCATAGACATCTACCTGTCTCTGCCTCTTGAAGTGTAAAGTGTAACTGTACAGATCTTATAATTTTATTTTATAAGCAGTATGGCATTATCTTAATTTTTCTCCATATAGATTTTTGTAAGATACATATTTTTTTAGTGTATGTGGGTGTTTTGCCTGTATGTATGTATGTGTGCCATGAGCATGCAGTGCCGGAGGAAGCCGGAAGAGAGCGTTGGTCCTCTGGAGCTGCAGCTACAGGTGGCTGTGAGCTCCATCTGGGTCCTGGAACAGAACCTCTGCAGGTCCTCTGCAGGAGCAGCCAGTGCTCTTAACCACCAAGCTACATCTCCAGCCCTACAGTGATTACTTTTTTTAATTGACCTGACCTCACCTAGTGTATTTTTGAAACCTCTCTCACGTAAATTCTTGATGAAAATGGAGTATTAAAAAAAAAGAGAGAAGATACAGGCCGGGTGTGGTGATGCACACCTTTAATCCCAGCACTCAGGAGGCACAGGCAGGTGGATCTCTTGAGCTCAAGGCCAGCTTGATCTAGAGTTCCAGGACAGGCAGGGCTACATAGAGAAACCCTGTCTGGATAAAAAACAAAAACAACAACAAAAGGTATTTTTGGTCCATGTCACGAGTTTTTAAATCTGTGAAACCCGTTCAGTAGAGTAAGGCTTTGACAGATTGTTTTAGAAGAATCTACGTCCAAGCAGTGAACGCAGTCAGTTCTTCAGTAAGCCAGGAGACCAGTCAAACCCATAGAGTAAGAAGTTCTGTGCCTGGAGAAAGAAACTTTTCTCCTGTGAGGCTCCATCTCCAGGTGCCTTGCCAGTCTGTGACTCAGGCTGCCCCAGGATGAGATCGAGGCTTCAGTCAAAGATGGCGGGCACCCTGCAGTGGACCCGAGGGTAACATTTTCCTTCAAGGCTGGACATTCAACACCATCACAGCCAGAGGTTTCAACTAGAACCAGGTTTTGCTCTGCCACTCACCTGGGCGACATCTATATAATTTATCAGGTCCAGTGGTCCTTGGAGACTCTTCCCCTGAGACAGGTCCAGTTTCTCGATGGCACCAACATACTTTATTCGAAACTCGGCACACGTGTCTAAACTGTTGCTCTGTCCTAAGATCACAACAGACTTGAAAAGCAGTGCCTACTTCCCGGAACATTTTCTCTCTTTAAAAGATTTATTTTTATTTTTCATGTACAGGTGTTTTACCTGCATCTGTATAAATGTAATGCAGTGCCTGAGAAGGCCAGGAAAGGGGGATGGATTCCCTGCACTTGGAGTTGCAGACAGTTATAAGCTGCCATGTGGTAGCTGGGAACTGAACCAGGACCCCTCTGCAAGAGCAGCCAGTGCTCTTAACCTCTCAGCCACCCCCAGTCCATTTCATTTTGAGATTTTTTTATTATTATTATGTATACAGCATGGATGACAGCAGGCCAGAAGAGGGCACCAGATCTCATTACAGATGGTTGTGAGCCACCATGTGGTTGCTGGGAATTGAACCCAGGACCTCTGGAAGAGCAGTCAGTGCTCTTAACCTCTGAGCCGTCTCTCCAGCCCCCATTTCATTTTGAAACTCTCACTCTGTTCACCAGGATGGCTTAGAAGCCCAGAGCTGCCCGTCCCAGCCTCTCAGAGTCCTGGGATTAAAGACATACTCCACGTTAGCTTTTTATTTTATTTTTTACTGGTTTTTGAGGCAAGGTCTTACCATCTAGCTCTGGCTAGCCTGGAACTTACTATGTAGACCAAGCTGGCCTCAAACTCATAGAGATGCACCTCCCTCTAAGCACTGGGATTAAAGGTGGGCACTGCCATACCTGGCTCCACTCCCAGCTGCTTAGTTACAAGTTTCTAAATGAAAGATTTCTTGATATAATACGGAGGAACTTAAAATTTTATTAAGCTTTTTCCTCAATGACTGACTACACCAGATATATAAAAGCATCAATAATGGGGCAAATGAGCTGATAAGCTTCATTTCAAAATAAGCAAAACTGTAAAAGCCAACTAGAGAGTGAATGGTAGGTACCTTTATCATACATAACTACTACTTTGGGTTCCTTTTTATCTCGTGATTCAGGACACCCGTTCTATCATTCAATCAGAAATGCCAACTTCTTTTTTTAAGTATATGTAGAATAATGTGAGAGGTCCCTTATCAAATGGCAACAAAATCTAGCCAGTTCAGAAACTCTCACAAACCACTTCTGACACCTGCCATGTTAAGGAAGTACAGCTCAACCGTTTCCACTGTTTGAAAACACTGCCAGCCTTTAACACCTGGAGGTAAAGATAATAAATTTTATGGGACAACATTATCTTGGGTAAAATGAAAATGAATGCAGTGCATTTCCAATGACCAGCTATTTACAGAGCTCGGTTAGGAGTCGCCTAATTTCTAAGGAGCTACCAGTTTCAGGAGGTTGTAGAACTGCACGTTTGGGACACACGTCCTCATTTCCTGTGTGTCCCTTGTCATCTCAACTAGGGTATCTGGAGGCAGCCTTTGAGGTTAATGGTTCCTAAACCCTTCACCACTCACACATTCGCCCAGTTCCCCAAAACACTTAAGCCCAAGTATAATTCAGTCCCCGCTGCCTACTAAAAAGCTGCTTTGAAACTGCTTAGTCATTGGCACGGATGTTTTCGAATGCTTGCCCTCAGACCCACCGAGGACACTTTGCCTACGTGCCTTTGGAGAGGGCTCCTACCGCACAACACTTTCCCCGTCTCATCAAGTTTCTGAACTTCCCAGAAGTGGCAGAGGAGAGGGAGGAAAACCGAGATAGAAGGCCTTGCTCAGCCACCCAAAACCACGAGAGTAAACACAAGATCAGTCACCAGGTCACCGGGCCCCTCATACCTGAGCTTTTGGTGGAGTCGGTATCGAGGCTGGCGACGGTGCTGGATCTCGAGAGACCACCAAGGCTGGAATCCACGGACTGCGAAGAAACACAGTAAGACATATGTCTTCTCTGAGGCAAATTCCTTGTGAAGCTGAGCTAACACACAGTATCTGGTTGATTATTCTGGCAGACGGACGGCAGCTGAAGACATTTTCCACAGCAAACTTCAAAAGCCACGTGACACGCGACTGCTCTTGCAACCACACGACACCGGGTGCACGTGATGTCAGCATCTTCAGTCTGAGGCTTGGCCGTCAGCTCCCCTCCCTTACTCTGCCTTACACTTGGAGCCTTTGTGACCCCCTCCTCCTGCTGTCCTGTTCTTTCCATGGAACCACAAAAGAACCCTGTGCCGGGCGGTGGTGGCGCACGCCTTTAATCCCAGCACTCAGGAGGCAGAGCCAGGCAGATCTCTGTGAGTTCGAGGCCAGCCTGGGCTACAGAGATCCAGGAAAGGCGCAAAGCTACACAGAGAAACCCTGTCTCGAAAAACCAAACAAAAAAAAAAAAAAAAAAAAGAACCCTGTGCGGAAAGCCAACCACTGAGCAATGGACATCCCTGTCTGACACCGAGAGGAACCGAGTCTCCCCGTGCCTAAGCCGGCTCTCTGCAACTATTCCCTCTAGTTTCTGGCCCACAGCAGGCCCGGGGTTACGAGACAGCACGGCTGTCAATGTGAACAGAACGACAGAACTGGAGGCCAAAATTTCAACGCTGTAATTAGTTCCACCGGACTCTACTGTCCATACCACTCATTTCTTTAGAAAGAGCACTTTCTGGAAACCCTGCTTTAGAAGGTGAGTGTTTCACAAAGTCACTGGCACTGCCAGGCGACATTCAAACAGTCTCTGGTACATGCTGTGAAGGAAATATCGTTAGGCGCACAGCAAGCCCTAGACTCCAAGAGGTCTCACCCCTCAATGCCTGCAATTTCTATCATTTAAAAATAATATTTTATGGGCTGCTGAAATGGTGCAGCTCTTCTAGAGGACCCGAGTTCAATTCCCAGCACCCAGAGCAACTCAGAACTCACCGTAACTCCAGTTTCAGGGTTCCAATGCCTTCTTTTGGGCTTTGTGGGTCGCCACACTCACCTGCATGTAACCCCTCCCCCATTTGTATACAGATAACTAAAAATAAATCTTTAAAAATAAATTAAAAAAAAAAACATTTAGAGCCAAGCATTTTGGCCCATGCCCCTAAGTTCAGCACATGGGAGGTAAAGAATCAGGAGATGAAGGTTATGCTACAGGACTCCTTGCTGTGACTTTGGGGCCAGCCTGAGCTACCTGAGACCCTATCTGAAGGGGGAGAAAAGACGCTGCATACGGGTCCCTGAGGTAAGGGCACTTGCTGCCCAGGCCCAACAACCTGAGTTCTACCCCCACAATCCACATCGTGGAAGCTGTGGTGGTGTGAACAGGAACGGCCCCCACAGAGTCATGTGTTTGAATGCTTGGCCTGCAGGGAGTGGCACTATGAGGAGGTGTGGCCTTGTTGGAGGAAGTGTGTCACTGTGGAGGCGGGCTTTGAGGTCCTATATGCTCAAGCTACACCCAGCAGGCAGTTCACTTCCTGCTGCCTGCAGATCAAGACTCTAGCTCCTTCTCCAGCACCATGTCTGCCTGCACGCTGCCAGGCTTCCCACCATGATGATAATGGACTAACCCTCTGAACTGGAAGCCAGCCCCAATGAAATGTTTTCCTTTCTAAGAGTTGCCATGGTCACAGTGCCTCTTCACAGCAATAGAAACCCCAAGACGGACGCCTAGAACCAACTCCTGCCAGTTGTCTCCCCCACCTCCACACACGTGCTGAGGCACACATGCACCTCGATCGTTCAAACAAAAGTGTATTCTAATGAGACCCACTCATAGCTTTAGTCCATTTTGTTGAGTGAATTTAAGAATTTCGGACAATTACCAAAATAATAAAATCAGAGCAAACACAGAGTGCCAGGTAAGGTGAAGAGTCGGATCTGGCGTGGCCAGGACTGTGTGCGAGCCGTTTAGGAGTGCCGTCCTCATTGCTCTGTGCTCCTGCCCCGCGCATGCGCTCTCTCTCACCTTGCTCTTGGTCTTAACTGCTCCTGTCCCACCCCGAGCATGCGCTCTCTCACCTTGCTCTTGGTCCTCTCTGCACCTGTCCCACCCCCGCGCATGCGCTCTCTCTCACCTTGCTCTTGGTGCTGATCTCACTGCTCTGGGAACTGCTGCTGCTGTGTCGCTTCTTGCCTTTGCGAAACATCTTTCACCATAGCTTGATCCAGAGAAGATGCCCTGGAGGAAAAGGAAAAAGTGTGTGCAGGGTTGTCAAGGAAATCAGCATCAGCAGTGAGGTGGTGGTGGTGCACGCCTTTAATCCCAGCCCTCGGGAGGCAGAGCCAGGTGGATCTCTATGAGTTCGAGGCCAGCCTGGTCTACAGAGTGAGATCCAGGACAGGCTCCAAAGCTGCACAGAGAAACCCTGTCTCGAAAAACAAAAACAAAGATTTTACAGAATGTCTGGAGCGCTCAGAGTGCCTGCTGCTTTTCTAGAGGACCTGAGTTCGGTTCCCAGCACTGACATCAGGTGACTTACAACCACCTGCAGCTCTAGCTCCAGAGGATCCAGTGTACTCTTCTGCTCTTTGATGGCACCTGCATACCTATGGTGTATACACACAAAAACACACATACACATCAAATACATACATACTTACATATATACATACATACAATTTACAAACAAAACAGGGCAGGAGAGTTGGCTCAATGGTTAAGAGCAGTTGCTCTTGTAGAGGACCTTGTAGGTTCCCAGCACCCACATGGCAGCTTACAACAGTCCATAAGTCCAGTTCCAGGGAATCTGATGCCTTTTCTGGCCTCTGTAGGCACCAGACACATATGTGGCTCACAAACACACATGCAGGCAAAACATTAATACACATAAAAATAAATAATTCTTTTAAAATATTTACAAAAAGTGAAGGAACAAACCAAAAATCCCTGTCTGTATTGATAGGTGAAAAGTACTTTTTCCCAAACTAACACAAATCGCCCAGTTCTCAAAGATCCAGGTGCCTTACTTTTCAGGTGATTCAAGATTTGACTAAAATGCATGACTCATTATAACCAAGACCCTGAGATCCAGTAACCTCAGGCACTTGGTGGAGTGGTAGGACTAAGAGTTGAAAGTATCTACACATCCCAGATAAAGACTGTACACCAGCATTGGCACCCCAACCCCCAATATTTTGAGACAGAGTCAAGCTGGCCTTGAACTCAATGTATGACCTAAGATGACCCCAAACTCCCGATCCCACCTCTACCTCTACGATGCTGAGATTACAGGCATGCAGCAGCAGGCCCTCTTCCCCAGCCCTTGAGACAGAATCTGGCTATGTAGCCCAGGCTAAACGTAAACTCATGATGCTCTTGTCTGAGCTTCCCAAGGGCTGCGATGACAGGCCAGGACTACCATGCCTGGTGAATGTGCATTTTTCTGTTCATAGAGAAAGCCTGGAAGTAAAAATCTGACATGAAAAGCACTCCTAGGTGTCAGCTCCTCATCTTCCCTGCAACAAGAAAAGGCAGGGACTTATAGGAAGGTGGGGTACGGTCTACATTTTGTAGATGAGGGAGTCTTGACCCACTTTTCAACTCGGAATTTTTGGGTAAGACAATCCTGACACATTTTACCCAATACTGATCTCGACAGATCATGCTTACACCAGACCCAAACACTCACTTGTGTTCTCCAAGGTTCTACACACAGTGATCTGCTCAGGAGCTTCCCTTCCCGATGCGCCACACCCCTTCCAGGCTGAGCAGTGGACCTAGCAGAGGAAGGAAAATGGGTAGTGGGTAGAGGACCGGAAACAAGCCCGGAGCTCCTGCTGGTTCCTGTAGAGCCCTCTCTCAGCCCACCTGCTAGGCTACTTGCCATGGCAGCCCGAGCCTGAGAGTGTAGAAAACCTCTCACCCAGTCCTCTTCTCAACGCTCACTTTATTTGTAGCAAGAAGGGCTGACTCACTCACTCAGTCCTGATTAGAAAGAAAATGGCTCCCACAGGGAGAGGCACCATTAAGAGGTGTAACCTTGTTGGAGGAAGTGTGTCACTGTGGGGGTGGGCTTTGAGGTCGCCTACGCTCAAGATACCACTCGGGGTCACAGACCATTTCCTGTTGCCTGCCTGCAAGATGGAGGACTCTCAACTCCTTCTCCAGCACTGTCTGCCTGCACGCTGCCGTGTCCCTTCATGATGGTAAAGGACTAAGCCTCGGAACTGTAAGTGAGCCTCCCTAATTTATATGCTTTCCTTTGTAAGAGTTGCTGTGGTCATGGTGTCTCTTCACAGCAATAGAAACCCTAAGACAGGCAGGAAGCACCTAGGTGCTGGGGACTCAGGGCACAAGAACAAAGCTGACCCAGCAGTGTATGTGTGTGTTTGATGTGTGTGTATGTGTGTGTGTGTGTGTGTGTGTGTGTGTGTGTGTATTGCGGGGATGTGTGTGTCCACTTTTAGTGGGAGTGAGTAGATAATAAGAAAAATCAAACTATTGGAGAACAAACATTCCCATGAGGAAAACTCAAAGAGAAAAGGGCAGGGGCAGGAGGAGAGAGTGTCCAAGGCCTGGCAGCCCACAAGAAAGCATGGTTTGAGTGTGACCGTCTATAGAGGTGTTTCCAGAGCAGTCAAGGATGTGGCCAGATGTCTGCTCTACAGACCTCCGCTGGACACCCGCTATGGGACTAACCGCCTGGGGTGGGCGCAAAGAGTGTGAAAGATCATGCAGAAGTTGCTGCAAAGCATGACTCCACACCCAAAGACGCCTGCAGTGAGGGACTGACGGCAGCAGAGCCCTATTCCCAGGCCTGTGCCAAACTAGGTTAGTCCAGCAGCACCATGAAGTCGTCTGTGATAGTTCAAGTACTGGTTGATGACCCCCTTGGGCACATTATATTTTAGTGCAGACCTCTTGGTATCTACAGAGGATCGGTTCCATAACTACACAAAATGCCTATAACCTACACACACACACACACACACACACACACACACACACACACACACACACCCCTACCTTCCCATATACTTTAAATCAATTCTAAATTATTTAGTGTAACTTGGCAAGAAGTCGCCACTGAGCTGAACCTCAGGTTTACATCTCATGTAAGTGCTACAGAAATAGTTGTTATGATGGGTTATTTAGGAAATAATGATAAGGGGGAAAGGCTCCACTTATTTGGTACAATGGAATGTTGGTCTTCTTTTCACAATGCAGCTTTAAAAATCTGGCACAGGGCCTTGGTGTCACCCCTTTAATCCCAGCACTAGGCTCTCTGTGTTCAAGGCCAGCCTGGTCTAGAGATTGAGTTCCAGGAGACCCAGGGCTACAGAGAGAAACCATGTCTCAAAAAAATGAACAAACAAACAAACAACATGTCTCAAAAAAAAAACAACCAAAAAATAAATAAATGATTATCTGGGGTTGTTTGAATTTGAGGATGCAGAACTCATTAGAGATGGAGTTATGATTACATATATAAATAAATACTTTTTATATTAATTTAAAAAGTTACTTAAAAATAAAATCTGGTTCTCTTGTTAGTAGAATCCTGAAGCATACCCACAAACCCTTGGCAATGATTTGGACATCACTAAGGCCTTTGCAACATCTCCAAACTTGCTTCCCGGCATGAATCCAGGAACTGGAGGGGGAAAGAACTGCTTGGTCTTTGGTATCTACTGCTATTCCGGATGCAGGTACTTAAGCAAATTATCGTTGCTTCTAAATTATTCATGCATAAAAGTGAGCCTGGGGATGCTGTCCACCAGCTGGATGTTTCACAGGTTCATCAAATGCAAACCTGCCAAAGGCTGAACATACCCCCCTGCCTCCAGACGAGCTCCTCCCTTGTCTCTCCTACTCAGGCAATTAAGCCATCACTGAAAGAAACCAGAAAATCATCAATCCCTCATTGCTCTTCAGCCCCCATATCCAATGAAGCACCAGGATCCCAGAGTGCACTGTCACCAGCCCCACACCTTTGCTGGATTAATGACATTCTTTTCATCGCAAATGTGATGAATCCTCAATCTGTAGAAAATGCCCAAGTACACAGTTTGACACATTGAAGGAATCCACAGATCCACTGAAGATACTTGGTGGATTAAAAAGCCTTTACCTTAGAAACAAAAACAAAACAAAACTGTGGGTGTGTAGGAGTTGGGTTCCCTGAAACTGGTGTTAAGCCACTGAACACGGGTGCTTGGAATCGACCTTGGATCCTCATCAAGAGCATTCTCTTAACCACTGAGCCAGCTCTTGGGATAAGTGGTCTTGTCCTACAGGGCTTGTGGCTCTAAGATCTGCCCCCAGAGTTTAGCCAAAAAGATGACAAAGATTTCTTTCAAACACAGGTCAGAGACCACTGTTAGCCTGCTGGAAAGCCTTCACTGGTTCCCCACAGTAACGGACTAAAGGTCAAATCTCTCCGGCAAGACACTCAAGGTTCTCCACCCACCACCTGCTACACCCTCAGTTCATCTCTCAGGAACGCAAAGCCGCCTCGGTTCTCAGCGGTGCTATCCATGTTCCCAGGGTGCTCTTACGCTGTGCTCCAACCTCTCCTCCCACAGAACTCTCCATTTTATGTCTCTTGCCAGCTACTCGCCTCTCAGAACTTGTTTCAGGCCTCTTCTAAGAAAGCCTTCCTTGGACTTCTAGGTTGGACTAAAGGACCCACATCTTGAATGTCGATCAGATCACAGCATTAAAATATGCCATCTTCTATTTAAAACTCTCGCTCTCTCAACTAACTAACTAGTCCAAGGCGGGGCTGGGGTTGTTCTCGGTGGATAGACAGGTTAGCGGAGGGTCCCGAGAATTGCCTTGGGAAGTGATATCCCAAACACAACTAGTACTAAAACATCCAGCATCGCCAAATGCAGCACCAGGCGCTCCAAAAACCGCTAGTCCTCACTCCCGCCCATGAGGAGCAGCGGGTCCCCGGGTCCTCTGCGCCTCCGGAGTAGTGGGAACGCCCAGCTGCATTCACAGGAGGCAGCCAAGCCAGAGATTCGGTAACTTGTCCCACCTCACAAAGTTAACTTGGGGACCCAGACAAGAGCAGGCGTCCAAAGCTCTTTGCACACATGCCTTGCACAAGTGAGGATGCAGACAGCCAACTCCAACCCCAGGGTCGGGGTGCAGGAGCAGTCTGAGCGAGGCCTCAGGGCCCTTGCTGAGCCTGGTCCTCGGGGAGGCGGGCGGTGGACCTGTCACGGGAACGCGGGTCCCTCCCTGACCGGGCACCGAGGCTCCTCTTCCTTTCCCCGATTTGGCCTCAGTCGGTGCCTCCGCCTCGGGGCGTGGGGCCTCGGATGGCGGGCTCCGGGGGACCCCACCTCCCCGCGCCACCCGGCCCGGTTCTCACCTCCCCGCCTGGGTTCGTTCGTCCCCGGACCTCTGGCTCCTCGCAGGGTGTAGGATGGTTCAAGCAGCGGCAGCCGGGCGGCTACTCCGGTTCGCAATCCAGCTCCAGCTTTGCCAGTTCCCCGGCCCCGGTCCTCTAGGCCCCGCCCCAGTTCTGCGCAGGCGCAGTCGCCAGGCCCCGCCTCCAGTTCCGAATCCGCGCCGCGGGGAACCTGAGGAACCTTGTCCTCAGACCGGAAGTTGGAGGGAGGAGCTTCCTTCTGGGCGCATTAGGGCGCCGGAAGTTGTGTGCTGGTGGTCGTCGGGGGGGTTGTTTTCTCTTCCTTAGTTCGCCGTGGCTGTGCTTTCCGGTGAGAGACTGCGGCGGCGGGTTCCTGGTCCACGCCGCTCCTGAGGCTGCCAGGATGTCCGCGATTCCTGCAGAGGAGAGCGACCAGCTGCTGATCCGACCCCTGTAAGGGACGAGTAGAGAGGGAGCGAAGCCCCCCGGATGTGTGAGAGCCAGGCGGGGTCGCCGCGGGGCGGCTGCTGCGGGTCCAGCCTCCCGGGCGCACGGGGCTTGGAGAATGTTGATCGCGGGGCCTGCTAGGTTGAATGTCATTTTCCTTTCCCTTCAGTCTCAGGGGAGGGTATGTCGGAGTTGGAAAAAAAAAAAATCCAGGTCATAAAGAGAGGGTTGCAATTAGCACAAGTCCGGATCTCGCACATCAGGTCACGCCTTGAGGGAACCGACCGGTAGAGGAGGACAGTGCAAGGCAGAACTGCTCTAATTATCTCCAGGACCCCACACGTGCTCTGATGGCCAGGGTAATAAAGACGCGGTAGTGGAGTGTGGACCTTCAGAGCTCAGACCTTAGCAGACGGCGGGAGGAAGTTGCAGAGGAGAAAGCGGAGGTGTCACGGAGAGAAATTCCGCGCTCCATTAGCTCCAAAAGACGGGTTTTAGTGGAAATGACTTTCAGCGCTCTGGAGTGTTTGCAGAGACCTACCTCAGGCATGTAAAAGTGAAGAACGGATTGGTCCAGATGAGCGGTTTGACTCCCCAGGCAACTTTTGCTCGGTTTTAGATACTGGCTAGCACCGCACGAATGGGTACTGCTTTCAGAAGATAGAAACTAGCTCCATCACCCATTCATTCAGTAAGATTTACTGAACACTGACCAATGATGGCACCCGTGTGTCCCTGCCGCCCCCTGTACACACTAAGCAAGTATCACATACCTCACCAGGCATGGACTAAGAGTTCACTGATTTCACTCCTTTGGTAGAACAAAGTGGGGAGGCCTGAGATGAGGTTGTAAAAACAAGAGACAGCTACCTTGGAGTCAGACCTGAAACCCAGTCTTTCTATTTAATAGGGAAGTAGCCTGACTGAACCCACTTCCTCATGTGGAAACAGCTATTTGTAAGGAGGGAAGCTCATGGGCAGTGTTCAGTAAATCATGCTCACTTGACTTCTGTTACAAGAGTGCAGGTAGACATTGTGCTGAGGGCCAGAGAGCCTGGAAACGGGACTTTCTAACAGATGAGGCAAGGATATCTCATGCATCCTGGAAATGTGACTGATGTGCAGCCTAAGTGTTAAAGGATTCATCGAAATTAAAGATAGTGTAGGAGCCAGAGTGTTCCAGGGGAAGATGAGGGTGGACCCAACTCATGGCCTATTCACTCTGGTTGTGGTTAACAGATAGCAGATGACTTGGGGCAGGCTACCAGGGCCCACCTTACAAAGGACCTTGTGTAGATTTGAAGAGTTTGAGTATGTATGGCATCAGTTATAGTGAGCCAACAAGGGATTTGAAGCAACCATATAACACAGTGGGGATTACATTAGGAATGTGGCCATGCTCGCTTTGGCAGCACATATACTAAAATTGGAATGATACAGAGATTAGCATGGCCCCTGTGCAAGGATGACACGCAAATTCAAATTCGTGGAGCGTTCCATTTATTTTAGCTGGGCGGTGGTGATGCACGCCTTTAATCCCAGCACTCAGGAGGCAGAGGCAGGCGGATCTCTGAAGTTCGAGGCCAGCCTGGGCTACAGAGTGAGTTCCAGGAAAGGCCCAAAGCTACACAGAGAAACCCTGTCTCGAAAAAACAAAGCAAAACAAAAAAAGAATGTGGCTACTCCCCCCAACCCCACCCCTTTAAAAGCACTCAGTAGGCCTTTTGCTAGTGACCTACTGAGCCGTCAAGAAGGGACAGAGTAAAAACATCACTTTTGGGTGAAGTGGCAACATGTGTTGTTTGCTTCAATCAGGGTTGTGACAAGAAAACAACAAAACACTGCAGTTTTTTAGATGACTAAAGAGGTGGCTGAAGTGAAGGGCCTGGTTGGCTGTATCGACATGGTCCAGTGCTGAGTAATGAGGGCTTGTAGCCAGGAAGGTGAGGGGGATGGGCCGGGAGAATTGGGTCCCAGGAGCTCAGAAGTGGAGCCTGGAGGATTTTATAACTGCTTGGATGTTACCTGAAGGGATAGTCATGGAGCACAGAGGGTACATTCCAGGTTCCTTGGTGCACAGGGAAAGGAATTTGGTTTTGTTGTTGTGTGGAAGCTGTGGAGATGAAACTCACCACGCAGCTTATAAAGCTGTGCAGTGATGCAGTTCAGTGTGTGCATGTGTGCTTTGTGGGGGGGGGGGGGAGGTATTTTGTATTGACATGGGGTTTCACTATGTAGCCCACACTGGCCTGGAACGGACTCATGACAGTTCTGCCTCAGTCTCCCAGGTGCTGGGGTTACAGGATGTGCCATCATGGTCAGCTTCAATGATTTTCAGTGTATTTGAGGAATTATATAACCTTTATTACAACTGTGGTGCCTAATTCCAGAACATTTTCATTAGCCTCTTTTTTAAAAAGCCCATTGGGAATCACGCTCAATTCTCCCCACCCTCCCTACCCCTCAGCAACCATCAGTGCATTTTCCTTTTCTGTGGCTTTGCCTTTTTGAGACATTTCATACAAACAGAATCACACAATATGAGCTCTTCGTGCTAGGTTTCCTTCACTTAGCATAGAATTTCTAAGGCTTCTGATTTGGGAGTTTGGCAAACGTCTCAGACCCCATAGCAGTACAGCAGTGGACAAGATAGACATGTCTCTTAATAGGGCCGCCATTGTGATAGGTGAAATACGCCATAAATAAATACCTTCGTGTGTCTGTGTTACACGGCCATGATGTGGGCTGGCAGATTGAAGCGGCAGTAACGGATAAATTAGAGTAGATCAAGAAAGGGTCTGAGAAGGTGAAACCTGAGCTGGGACCCAGATGATCTAAAGGAGCCAGTCCTGTCATAGCCAAGAGCAGAACATTCCAGGAAGAAAGAGCCGGTCCAGGAGGTTGTGAAAACTGTCTTGGCATATTGAACATGAAGTACCTGGCAGATACTTTACCCAGTAAAGAGGTCTAGAGTACAGAACAGTCTGGGCTGTAGATACAGACTCTGACGTCATCAGCATGTCAGACTCATGAACATAAAGACCATGAAGTTGGGAAGAGGTCCCGGGAGAGACTTGGGAAGACCAGCATTCAGAGGCTGGAGAGCCAAGGCAGAGGAGTGGGAAAAATGGGAAAGTCAGCAAGACAGACCAGAGTGTGGCGTCCGAAGCTGGGAGGTGCTTGACGGAGCTCTTAAACAAGGGGGTGGTAGCTGCCCAGGGGACCAGTTATACTAAGTAGGGCTGCTCGTACTTAGCAAGAGGGACCATCTCAGAAACAGCTGGTGAATGGAGTGGATGGGAGGAGAGGAAATGCAGACAGACAGACAGACAGCTCTGTGGGGAAGCTGGCTTCAGAATGAAATGAGAATTCGTATAGATAAGAATCCGGGAATTTTCACTGAGGATGAAAACCACCATGGGATTTATTCATTTATTATTTGAGGCAGAGTCTCACCATGTATCCCTGGGTGTCCTGGAGCTCTCTGTAGCCCAGACTGGCTTCAGAGTCACAGAGCTCTGCCCACCAGACAACATTACTCTCCTCTCTACCTCCTGAGTGCTGGGGTTTCAGGAAAGTTCCACCACCTCTGTGGTTTCTTATTCTCTTAATCCATGGCTAGCCCAGTGTAGATGGGTATGCATGATCCATCTCATGCCTCTTTGCTGCTAGACCACATACCTGTCCTGGGCAGTTAGGACCATGCTTAAGAGCACCGAGTGAATTGTGAGCTAGATTTGGGAAAACACAATCAAAAGCTGTTAGGTTTAGCTTAAGATGTGCCCAGAGAGGGAAGGGCTGAAAGCGCAGGTGACCAACCAGACTCCTTGGTACAATGCTCTCAAGATGAAAGGCTTTGGCGTGGTGGCTTCATCTGAATCAGTTCTAGTGTTGTGTGACTTCTCCTTTACATCTTAAACGTCCCTCAGCTCCCGAGGACTGCTTTTCACCCCTTCCTACCGGGGTGCGCACCCTCTGTTTGAAACTGTAGAACTGTCTCCTGTCTCAGGAGCTTAAATGAAGCTGTGAAAGAGTTTGAGTTTACTGTGTTGACTGTTAGTGGGGTGGAGTGGGGCGGGGCTACTGCGCACTGATGACTGCAGACTCTTGGTGCTGGCATTGTGGGTACGTGCCACCAAACCAGCTCTGGACGGCTTTAATGGTTTCTTTAATCATTTTATTTCTCCCTCTGAATGTTTGCAGTGGTGCAGGCCAAGAAGTGGGAAGATCATGCATTATTCTGGAGTTCAAAGGAAGAAAAATCATGGTAAGTGTTATTGGTGGTGCTATTGCTGTTTGGTACTGGAAATTGAACTTTGGGCCTTGTGCATGCCAAGCATACAGTCTGCCACTGAATCACACCCCTAGCCTGGGTAGTGATTATTTGTATAGTCAAGAAAACGGTGTAGCCCTCTCTGTCCTGGCTGTTAGGTCTGTCCTAGTGAGCCAGTTCTCTCTGTAGCATCAGCTGAAAGGATGTGCATGTATGTAGTCAACACTGATGAGAGAGCCTGACACTTGTGCTTAGTGATTAAAAGCATCAAGTAACCTAAAAAGATACCTTGTAAGACTGTAGTGTCTCTTCTACATCCTTGTCCATTCCTGAAGTGTCTAGATAACCTGACGACCACCCCCCCCTTGGAAGACATCAAGGATTTAAATGCCCTGAATGTGTGTCAGCTTTGGCTGCCCCACAAGTGGCATCAGTCCTGCTGGCTCTGTCAGGTCCGTCTCCCTGCTGCGAGGTGAAGGGGTCAGGAGCACTGGTTCCTATGGTCCCAGTAGCGATGTGGGCACTGGCTCTTGTTCCTTTGTCTCCTCTTTCTTCCTCACACTTCGCTCAGTCTTAAAAACACAGGCATATGTACCCAGTCACCTGTCTTACAAAATCACTTGTCTGTGTGGGTGTTTGGCCTATACAGATATCTGTGCACCATGTTTGTGCCTGGTGCCTGCGGAGTCCAGCGAGGGCATCGGATCCCCTGGAAATGGAGCTGTGGATGGTTGTGAGTCACCATGTGGGTGCTGGGTGTCAAACCAGGTTCCCCTGGAAGAGTAGCCAGTGCTCTTAGCCACTGAGCCATCTCTCCAGCTCCTACCAGAGTCATTCATTTAAGAATTTGTTCACTTGGTAATAACACCCCATAGAGTAAATCCAGTCACCAGCCTGTATGATAGTGCTCTCCCTGGTGGGAGAAGTGCTCCAGACCTCCAAACTTAGCACATTTGTATTGTGAACCCCAGTGATGTCTTGTATTCTGTATCCTGTGCTGCTACATGTTAGCTGTGTCTTAAGTGTAAGAGCTGCTTCGGGCACACCCTCATCTTTCCTGAGACCAAGGTCTGAGGGCACACACCAGGCTCCTCTGAATGCGGTCTCAGTGTCTGCTGGATGAGTTGTAATCAGATCTGTAGCCCGTTGTGATCTGTTTGCTGGGTTTTCCCTCCTTCAGCTGGACTGTGGGATCCATCCTGGCCTGGAAGGAATGGATGCTCTCCCTTACATTGACCTCATCGACCCGGCTGAGATCGACCTCCTGTTGATCAGTCAGTAAGTTTCCTTTATTGACCGTGTCATTCTTCAGGCCTTTCTGTGAAGATCAGTCTTCCCAGGATTTGGTGTGGGGTTTTGTTTACATTGTGTGTGTGTGTGTGTGTGGTGTGTGTGTGTGCGCGTGTGTGTGTGCGTGCACGCACATGCCACAGTGTTCATGGGGAGATCAGAGGACATGTGGGAGCTGCTTTTCTCTTCCCACTGTGGTCCTGGTGGTTGAACTCTATGGTCAGGCTTGTTGGCAAGTACCTTTATTCTCGGAGCGATCCCGATGGGCAGATTTTGTTTTTAATCACCAGGGGTAGTGGTACAGTCCTTCAGTTCTAGCACTAGGAGACAGAGACGGGCAGATCTCTGGGACTGTGAGTTTGAGACCAGCGTGATCGACCCAGTGAGTTCCAGGTTCCAGAGCTGCATGGTGAGACCTTGTCTCAAAAATAAAATTAAATTAAAACAGATGTTTTCCATTAGGAAACACAGTGCAGATTGCTAAGTCTCAGCCAGCACTGCCGTGTCCCCAGCCTAGAGAAGCTGGCTGGGAAGCGGCTCTGGGAACTGCAGTGCGCGGTGGTGAAAGCCCGTGTCCTCTGGGCCATCCTCAGAGGACACCGGGAACCTGTCCCGGGAGTCCCTGCTGCCTTGTCACCTCCCTCAGGAAGAACGTCACCAGGTGGTGCACACCTTTATCCCAGCCCTCAGGAGGCAGAGGCAGGAGAGTCTCTGTGAGTTCAAGGCCAGCCTGGGCTACAGAGTGAGATCCAGGACAGCCAGGGCGACACAGAGAAACCCTGTCTCGAAAAACAAACAAACAAAGAACTTCACTTAAGGAGGGCATGGTGGTGCACACCTGTAATCCCAACACTCAGGGGGCTGAGGCTGGAGGATTGCTATGAGTCTGAGGCCAGCGTAGGCGGCACAGCAAGACTGTGTCTTGAAGAACTTCATTTAAAGATGGTGACAAGTTTCCATTTATTTCACTAAAGTTGTTTTTATAATTCCGGCTGCCAAGTGTAGATGTGGTTTACGTTGTTTCCCTCTAATTAATTCCTAATAGAGGAGGAGGGCCTCGAGAAGGCCCAGAGGGTAGAGGCTCTAGCTACCAAGACCGACATGAGTTCAATCCCTACACCATGTGGTAGGAGCGAACCGACGTGCCTCCTCTCGGTTTTCCGAACGTGTCCTTATGTGCTTAGCACGTTCTGTCCGTCAAGCGGGAACTCGATGGGGTGTTGGCCTCTAGTGTCCAGAGCACTAATGGCCTGTTTCTTTCTCAGTTTCCATTTGGATCACTGTGGGGCTCTGCCCTGGTTCCTCCAGAAAACCAGCTTCAAAGGACGGACGTTTATGACTCACGCCACAAAGGCTATTTACAGATGGCTTCTCTCGGACTATGTCAAAGTCAGGTGAGTCGCTTCACTGGACTGTACAGGTTATACCCCATACTTGCAGTTCAGATGCAGACCACGTTGTTTAGAAGGATGCTGTGGTCTAGTTTCGGCATACACCTTGTGCATCAGCACTAGCCGACTGTATATGGTTTCCTTTCGAGTCTGTCAAATCTCAACTCCAAAGGTCTGATAGAAACACTCTGTGGGTAGCACTTGGCCAGTCTATTAATTTAAGACTGACTGCATTAAGCGTAGTGGATTCTTTAGATAATCTGACAAGAGAGAATTGCCTTAGGTGATGCTGTTCTCTGGGGAAGTTGGCACCAGTTGTAAGAAATGCCCACTCCTCTACCACGAAGGGCCCAGCATGTTTGGGACACTACAGTGTGAAGTATTAGTCTTCAGCAGTTGGCTTTTACTCGGGTAGCTGGCATGGTGTTGTTACTCGTCATATGTAAATACAAAGGGCTGGACAGATGTGTATTGCTAATGCTGTTGCCCTGAACCACCACATAGTCCTCAGGGCTCAGTCCCCTCTGACCCTCATCAACTCAGGACGCCAGCTCCGCTGTAAATCCCATTTTACAGACAGTGCACGTGAGGCACACAGAGGTTGTTTACCTAAAGGTCCCGGTAAGAGGCAGCTGCCTGTGAAGCCGTCACTGGCTACAGAGTCTTGTGTCATATACAGAGGAGGTGTCCTGTCAACACCAAGAGAAGTCCTTTGCCAGGCCAGCGGAGAGTGTCTGCTCCATGTTCATGTGTATGGATGTTATTCCCTCAGGAATGTCGGAGGGAGAAGTTGAGAAATACCTTATTAAAGAGTGATTTGTGGCCGGGCGGTGGTGGCGCATGCCTTTAATCCCAGCACTCGGGAGGCAGAGCCAGGCGGATCTCTGTGAGTTCGAGGCCAGCCTGGACTACCAAGTGAGTTCCAGGAAAGGCGCAAAGCTACACAGAGAAACCCTGTCTCGAAAAACCAAAAAAAAAAAAGAGTGATTTGTGTAGCTGGGCCTTTAGCACAAACCCATGTTCCCACCTCAGGCTCTTGCAGGAAGATTGCAAGTTCAAGGTCAGCCTGAGTAGCCTGGTGAGACCCTGGCTCCACAGAATGACAGTGGAGAAGAGAAAGGACCAGGAATGTAGCTCTGGGGTAGCACCTGCCTGGCGTCTGTGACTTCACATTCAGTGCCCAGCACTTCAATAAATACATGGAGTACTGTGTCCTAATGTATAGACTACTTGAGTCACGCTTTGCTCACAGTTAAGCTTTGTAGCTACGCACACTTTTGTGTTATGAATATGGAAACATCTGAGATTCTAAGTGCTGTAGGGTTGTTGCTGTTCTGTTTTCTGTGAGGGGACTGAACCTGGAGCCTTGTGCCTTCTGGCAAATGCTCTATCCCTGAGCTATAGCCCCATCCCTGTGTACTGTGATGTTAAGAAAAATTGTGTCCACATATCATCTACAATTTCAGCAACATATCGGCAGATGACATGCTGTACACTGAGACAGACTTGGAAGAAAGCATGGACAAAATCGAAACCATCAACTTCCATGAAGTTAAGGAGGTGGCGGGAATCAAGTTCTGGTGTTACCATGCCGGCCACGTCCTGGGAGCGGCCATGTTTATGATTGAGATTGCGGGAGTGAAGGTACGCTCTAGCTTGGACCCCTGCTCCCCCAGAGGAGTGGTGTGGAAACTTCCCTGAAAGAAGCTAAAGCTAGCCACTGCCGTTCCCTCCCCGTTATAACAGCAAGTTCCCCAGCACAGCAGGCTCGGTCCTGCTTCAGGGGCCTTCAGAAAACAGGCTGGGAAAAACCATCTTTGCAGCTGCTTCTGTTTAAAACTAAAACAGGGCGGGCAAGATGGCTTAGCATGTAAAAGTGTTTTCTGTACACGCTTGAGGACCTGCGTTCAGTTCCTCGAGTCCACAATAGAAGGAGAGAACCAACTCCCAAAGTTGCCCTCTGACCTCCCCCATGCTGTGGAGTGCACCCACCTACCCGCCAGCATACACACTAAACTAAAGTTAGTTAACTAAATTAAAACATGACTTGGGGTTTATGTCCGTGCTGTGGAAGATTCAGGGAAGCACCTAAGCAGGGTGGCCTGTGGAAGTGAAGGGGATTAGTCAGCACAGAGCTCCACAACCATGTTGAATGGACTAAGGAATCTGTGTGTGTGTGTGTCTGTGTGTGTGTGTGTGTGTGTGTGTGTGTGTGTGTGTGTAGGTAGGTAGGTAAGAGGACAACTTGGAGTTGATTTCTTCAGCCATGTGAGCTCCAGGGATTGAACTCAGGTCCTCAGGCTTGGCAGCAGGTGCCCTTACTAGCTGGGCCGTCTGGCTGGCCCTGGAATCCTAGACTCCAGAGCGGCTGTCTACACTCTGGCTGTACCCCAGAGTCAGCTAGGCAGCTTTTTATAATACCCACAGAATGAGACCTAGGGGGAGCCCTGGCTTCTCTCTTGTAAGTTTTCAGTGATTCTGCTTTAGAAAGTGGAGAAAAGGGTCTTAGTGAAACCTTGTAGCTGCTCATCTGTTTGAAATGTCTGCCCACTGAGGTATACAGTGTCATCAAATTGCTCATTCTTGTCCTGGGTTCCAGGGCACCACAATTAAACAGGAAGCAGGGAGTGTAGATCTGAATTCTCACGGGAATTGTTCTGAGATGTAGGTTATCTTTGAGGAGGTGACGATGGGGTATGTTTTCTAATTGAAATGCAGGTGGCCTTTGTGACTTAGTTACACATTTAGAATTAGACGCAAGCGATGTATCTAAAATTCCTCAGGTGTAGGCAGGTGGGGTTTCTATTTTAAATTCAATTTTACTATTAGACTTCAGGATTCAACTGCTTACCAGTAAATGGAGCCTTTCCCAAATCTTGATTTTCTGCTTTTATGTTTCCTCACAGCTGTTGTATACAGGTGATTTCTCAAGACAAGAAGATAGACATCTAATGGCTGCTGAAATTCCTAATATTAAGCCAGACATCCTTATCATTGTAAGTATTAACGGACTGGGTTACAGTTAGTGTAATGTATCAGAACCTTTTCTAGTGGAAAAAAAACAGCGTCAAGTTCCTGATGTCGTTGATTTTTTTTCATGTGAGGATTTTCTTGGTCTTTTTTCGCCTTTGCTGTGCCGTGTGTCATTTCTAGTCTAGTTTTAGAAACATGGTCTGTGTCAGCTGGTGAGGAGACAGGGTGTGCCTCCCTGAGGCCTGCCTGTCTTTCTCTGGTGGGTTTGCTAGAAGAGCATGTTAAACCGTTTTAGAGATGGTCCCACTGCCTTTGCCATGGCGATGGCTTTGGCCTTTTCCGCAGGATGCCTGTCACGTTTTATTAGTTTGCACATCTTAAGGACACGAGAGTCAACTGTCTGCAGGAGCACTTTGGGGAGAGTGATGACTGACACAGTGTCGGGGAATAGGCATCTTCTGGGCCTGCCATACGCACAGGAACACCGAGTCCCTTTGGTCCCTGGGCTGTGGCTTGAACACGCAGCTGCCCAAGCGTGCCCAAGCTGTGCAGCATGCAGAGCAGATTCCCCGGGCTTAGTCACCAAACTTAAGTTGAGGAAGATGGTTTCCAACCCTCGAGACAGGTACTCCCTTTCCCAGGGCTGCTCTTTAGGGCCGGACTCCCCACTTAGGACTAACCTGGTGCTGCGGTGAGTGGGCAGGGCCTGGAATCTGCATTTCTGGTAAGTCCAGGGAATGCAGTGCTTCCCGTGTCGGGAGGGGCTTGAATATGAACCTGAGAAACATTACGTATGTCTGCTTGGGAAGCCTTGACTTCTCCAGGTTAGGAGGGAAAACGTGGAGCACAGTTAGCTTGAGGGAAGAAGGGACATTTTTACTATTCCCCGGCTCCATTTCTGTAACAGTCGTCATGAGACGGGAATTCTGATTTGTTTACTGTATTTTCAAGTTATTACTATAACAACATACGCTCAGGTTAGTGCCACATTGCTGAAGAAATGAATCTCAGCCTCAACCTTTCCTTACTCCTAAGCGTTGAGTTCTCCAGGGTAATTGGTCTTGGTCTTACAAGTCTCACGTGTTATTTAGGAATCTACCTATGGGACCCATATCCATGAGAAACGTGAGGAGCGAGAAGCAAGGTTCTGCAACACCGTGCACGACATTGTCAACAGAGGGGGCCGGGGGCTCATCCCTGTCTTCGCTCTCGGACGAGCTCAGGAGCTGCTGCTGATTCTAGGTACTTGGGTGACGCTGCAGTCCGCTTCTCTCACGGCCTGGTTCATCTTGTTCATTGAAGAATTCCATTTGGGGACTGAGGTGTCCCCACTCAGTCGCAGAGTGCCTGCCCAGCATTCACGAGACCCAGGTTCAGTCCCCAGTGCCATGGGGACAGCATGGGGACCTGGTGCTAGTGAGAGCCGGGGAGAGGGCACCTCCCGTCCACTGCTATGAGAGCCAAGCTGGGTGCCTTTCTGCTTCCGTTAGTGTCTGAAGCCTTCCAATATGAGCACCTTTAGACTAGTGGTGACACTCTAGGACATGAAGAGAGATGGGTAGTGTGTCCCTTGGGGTCCTTTGTTGTTGTTATTTGAGGGTTGTTTGTTTTAGACAAGGCCTTATTATGTAGCCCAGGTTAGCTAAGAATTCCCAAGTATTGGGATCCTGGGCCTGACTCTTCATCATTGTAGTATTTTCAGGAAATTACTATTTAATTTAGTATTTCACAGAGTATTAAGCATACAAAAAAAAAAATAGGACTGAAAAAGTATATACTCGCTTCTATTTAGAGAAACATACAAACAGAAATGAATAGTAGAAATACAAGTGATTTCTTTTTTCTGCTTCTCTCTGTCTTACGAAGACTTCAGTCTGTATGCATAACCTCGTTCCAAGAGGGGTGTGCATGTGCTTACTAACCCCCTCTGAACTTAGACAGTCTTGTCTGTGAGGGAGCATCCTTGTAGACAGCACCTGTGTTCATAGCAGGTGTGAAGAGACTAGAGGGGACTGCCTCCTACGCGTTCCGTGCTGCCATCTCCGAGATGGGGACAGACTGTTCTTGTCATTGAATGGAAAACAGAATAGGGAAGCTAGGCTAATGCAGCTCAGGGCCAGGCCTTCATGGAGACTGCGCTGAGGCTAACGCAGCTCAGGGCCGGAGCCAGGCCTTCATGGAGACTGTGCTGTTCAGTCTTCTGAACGTGATGGTGTGTCCAGGTGGTCTATCAAATCGTGAGTGAAGAGCTGTCGTGACCAGCAAAGAGCAGAGTGAAGGTGGCACTGCGGTGTCACCCTCATGCAGGGTGCCAGGTGTCACAGATAAAAATGTCAGTCATCCAGGCAAACTTGATCGCAAGTAATAATGAGTGGCGTCTCAGTGTGAACCCCCACATAGTTCATGTGAGCTCCGACTCCTAACCCTTCATACCAGACAGACATTTCTATGGGAGCTCCGACTCCTAACCCTTCATACCGGACAGACGTTTCCCGGGTGCGCCTGAGCAGCTAACGGGCAGTACCTTCATGTGAAGGTATTTTGTTCACTGCTTTCATTAATTAGTAATAAGTGGTTTGTGTAAAAGATTTTTGGAAATACAATTATAATAATATGATTAATAAGCAGTTGATAAGTCTATCTAAAATACTAATTACGTTAATAATACTTGTGTTAAAACCTCGAGAGGAGTCATTGTAGTTAGTTATGGTCTATTAATCAGTATAAATTTAAAATGAAAGATTTGTTAAAGCTTCCACATTTTTGATCTGTTATCACAACTTTATTTTTAGATGTTATACCAGTATTTAGATTTGTAGTTTACATTAGTAAGGAATAGGGAAGTTTTTCTCAGACTCACTAAAATATAGTTGTATGGTACTTCATTTCTTAGCTGTTCAAATTTTTAAAGTCAATTTTGTTATCGTTAATTATTTGAATTGTTCACCTCGTCTGCCAAGTGATGTTGCCTCTCCTAAAATCTCTGTAGATGAGTACTGGCAGAACCACCCAGAACTGCACGACATTCCCATTTACTACGCCTCGTCTCTGGCCAAGAAGTGCATGGCAGTGTACCAGACCTACGTGAACGCCATGAACGACAAGATCCGGAAGCAGATCAACATCAACAACCCCTTTGTTTTCAAGCACATCAGCAACCTCAAGGTGATGCCTATGGAAGAAGGGGGGTGGGGACAGGGCAGCCTACAGCCCTCCCTGCTGAGGCTTCCTGCTCTATGGCTTGTATCACGGTGCTGGGACTCACTGTAGTCAGGCCTGGCTCGCTCTAAATCGCCACATGCCCTCAGTATGCTGCTGTAAACTTAGATCTCTTCTGCTGCAGGAAGAAAGTCCTGAAAGGGAAAATATGGCAGGTCACAGGTTTAGATTCTGTTGTTCACATCTGGTCCTGTGATTAGCACTGCAAGTTCCATGTAGGAATTTATAAAACACCCATATTTGGCTTTCCAAGATCTATTAATAAAGTCTGATTTAATTTAAAGTATATTATGACCAAATGTTTTGAAATAACATGTTTAAGTGTTAACATGTTAAATTTGTTTGTTTGGTATTGGGTTTTTCAGACAGGATCTTTCTGCATAGCCCTGGCTGTCTTGGAACTCGGTTTTTAACCCTTCCTTTGTCTCTCAGAGCATGGATCACTTTGACGACATCGGTCCCAGTGTCGTAATGGCCTCGCCAGGCATGATTCAAAACGGCTTGTCCAGAGAGCTGTTTGAAAGCTGGTGCACGGATAAGAGGAATGGCGTCATCATCGCGGGGTACTGCGTAGAAGGGACACTTGCCAAGGTCAGTTACCGTCTTGGGGTGCGAGTCGATATTTCTTCTAGAGTGCTGGAATAAGTCACGTTCAGGTTCTGCAGCTTTTGGATTTAGGGTTATTTGTGTAGGCTTTACCAGTTGAGCTTCCCCAGGCGTTTTTGCTCAAAAATACTACATTTAGACGTTTTTCAGATGACGGGTGCACAGCCTGTGACATGGACGCCTTCCTTAGGTGTGGGGGGCTATTCTCAGCCTAGGGTGTGCACACTGTGGGTAACACTGCGGAACTTTATAGAAACTGTGTAACGTGCCTGAGCTGACCGCCATCTTCCTTAGGTGTGGAGGGCTGTTCTCAGCCTAGGATGTGCACACTGTAGGTAACACTGCAGAACTTGACAGGCAATTAGAGGGTGTCCAGGCAAGCATGTTCTCTTGTCTTCTTGCTGCTAATATCTGTTTTAACTGAAACAGAGTGTGGTTCCCATTCTGGTCATTTCCACCCTTTGCCACACACATTCTGTGAAGTCGTTGAGAGCCTGCTGGCCATCTGCTCAGATGGTCCAGACTAGAGGTGTGCTGTGCCGTGTGGGTCCCGGTGTCGGGGGGCTGCGCTGCGGCCGCAGAGAGCTGGGGCAGCTTTCTTGGCAGTTACATCTTTCACTGCCAGCGTGCTGTGGGCACTGAGTGCTGGTTAACCCTCTGACCTTTCTGGTAATGAAAAGCACAAGGGTTTGGTATCACTGAGGCGTGAACATGAGAGTGACTTTCACCGAAACGCGCCTTCTTTTGTCTGACTGCACAGTCTGTCTTGTGTTTGTTTCCAACAGCACATCATGTCCGAACCCGAAGAAATCACCACCATGTCTGGACAGAAGTTGCCACTGAAAATGTCGGTTGATTACATTTCTTTCTCTGCTCACACAGATTACCAGCAAACCAGTGAATTTATCCGTGCTCTGAAGCCGCCTCATGTGGTTAGTGTGTGAATGCCATGTCTGGCAGTGAGGTGCATGGAACTCGGGGGCTCCGCCCCCACCTGGTGTAACAGACCTCACTGCTCCCTGTGAGTTAGGCCCTCGGCACTCTTCTTCCCTTTACTCAAGCTCCTTCAGGCTGACCAGCCCTGTCTAGCCTTTGCTCTGTTTGCTGCTGCCTCTCCGGTAGCCCGAGAACCAGGCTTGGGGGTGTGACTGTTGCCTTGAACCCCAGCTCCCTCCCTTGCCTGCTGTGTGTCTCTGGCAAGGTGTGGAGCCTCTTTGTAAGGTCCCTGTGCAGATGAAATAGTGAGAACTGACGTACTGGCCACAGTGCCTGGCCCTTGTGCACGCTTCACAGTGTTGTGAAAGGGACAGTGCAGACGTCATTTAAAGAGGGGAGGTCAGAGGAAGTGTGCACGGTTTACACAGATAGAGAAATAAACAGATACTGTACTAGTTCCTTACTGTAGAACTCATTTCTCCTTTATAAGTATCCTGAGAAAAGTAACAGTGGGCCAGTGGGACGGCTCTGTAGGCTAAGGCTTGCCTTGTAAGCCTCCTGACCTGAGTTCAGTCCTCAGAACCTGTGTAGAGGTCGAGAGGACCGACCGAGCTGCCCTCTGACCTCACATGATGCTGAGGCGTGTGCACCCTCCACACATCATATACTCACATGATGATAATAATCTTAAAAGGCTGAGAAAAGGAGCAATTACGTATTTTGGTGGAATTTGGAAGGGTTTTAAGCTGAAAACAATTAGGTGCTTTTCACTGGAAGTGGAACAAGTGTTCATAAAAATAGATTAGTGCTTCCCAGTGTTCTGAAAATTTGCTTAAAGGGAATGGCCTTTTGTTCGTGTGTTTTGTTTCTTTATCAAATATTTTTACTGTCCCAAAATCTATACAACACGCTGTTTGCATTCTTCACCATTTTTAAGTATGAAATTCAGCGGCATCACCTACGCAGATGTCGCAGCTGCCCCCACTTCCGGTTTCAGAATGTTCTGCCACCCAAGCAGAAGCCTGTCCCCATTCTGCTGTCTCCTCAGCCCTACCCAGTTTCTCTGCAATTGCTTCCTGTCTCTGACTCTGACAGTTCTCAGTATTTCACATAAGTGGAGTCATGAGTTTCAAGGTCCAGCCATGCCGCTTGTCTTCCACGTAGAGCCAGGAGTAGCCTGTTTCTCCTGGAGGCTGTTGAGGCACGTTTCGGCTGGTGTGAGTGACATCTAGTGGCGGGTAGCTTTTGGGTACCTTTCAGCATGCTGGCCCTCCTAAGCATTTTCCCCCCTGCCCTTAATGAACAGACTCTTCCCATGTAGAAAACGACTCCCTCCTTAGCATGGCATGTAGGCTGTAGAATTTGAGCACAGTGTAGATGCCATCATGTGTTTCTGCTGTGTGTGTGTGATTGATTCACAGATCCCACCCCATACCTTGAGGCCAGGTAGGGAGGCTGTCCTGCTTTCTTGGCGGCGGCGGCGGCGGCGGCTGCTGCTGCTGCTGCTGACCGACCTTCGCTCTGGTTGCATCTCATGGTCGTCTGGTTCTGTCGGTGCCTCTGGTTTTAAATCCTCAGTGGGGACTTGATGTTTACCTTCTAGTAACCAGCACTACTATCCAGTGTGTGGCTGCATGTGAAGTTACAGTTGCAGTAGCATGCATTTACTGCATATGGAGTGCCAGGGTACTCATTTCCTTACGCATGCACTTGCTCATGACGCCGTTGGGGAACCCGGCAGCTGAGGTGTTGGGTAACTTGGTCAGGATTACACATCCACAGCAGTGCTGTGGTTAGTGTTCAGGCAGTCCAAACTGGGTCTTTCACCCCAGTGTGACAAGCCTTTGCCCTGGAATAATGCTGGCCATGCTTCCACAGACCAGATAGAAGCTATCTACTAGTGGTTTGGAGACTAGGTGCCTGCCAAGGAGGACAAGAGGCAGGACAGGCCAAACAGATTGACTGACAGCCAGTGCCAGAGGGGTAGATACCCCTTTAAAACACTGCATCTCATTCGCAGTTGCTTTAATTGACAAGAAACTGTCCGAAACCTAAAGAAAATGGATGTTTTCCTAGCAGGAGCAAAAAAAAAAAAAAAAAAAAAAAGTTTATTTAAAGCTGGAAGGACCGTGGACTCCGCCTGGTTCAACCTTCAATGTGAATGTTGGAACTAGAGATGACAGGGTGTGCATCCTATTCGTGCATAAATTGGTTCCTTCACTCTCTTACAGTGGATGCCCAGGACTCAGACAGAGAGGGAAGCATGCCACACAAGTTTAAACCAGGGAAGCGAGGTCTGGACAGACAGCTCAGTGTGGCTCAGACTGCCTCCTCCTATTTCAGAGACCTGTTTGGTCCCCAGCACCCACATCCAGAGATTTATAGCTGCCTGTAACTCCAGCTCCCAAGTTTCTTCTGGCCTCTGCCAGTTCCTGCGCTCACCCACATGCCACACAGACATAGAAATAAATTTTAAGACAAGAGGACGACAGGCATTGGTGGTGCATGCCTTTAATCCTAGAACTCAGGAGGTAGAGCCAGGGGGATCTCTGAGTTCAAAGCCAGCCTGGTCTACAAAGCGAGATCCAGGACAGGCACCAAAACTACACAAAGAAACCCTGTCTGGGGGGGGGGGGGGGGGGGGAGACAAGAATATGTTTTCCTCAGTTCGCGTGTGAACATTTTATGAATTAACTAAAGTTCTTAAAGACATTCCTTCACCATGGTGAGGGATTCTTTATACTCCCATATCTTATTCTGTGCAGATTTTAGTCCATGGGGAACAGAACGAAATGGCCAGGCTGAAAGCAGCGCTGATCCGAGAATATGAAGATAATGATGAGGTTCACATCGAGGTTCACAATCCTCGGAACACAGAGGCTGTGACCCTGAACTTCAGGGGAGAGAAGCTCGCCAAGGTACAAGGCAGCAGGTGCTGACCCAGCCGTGTTCTTTTCAGGGAGATGTGTTCAGAGAGAGAGAGAGTGTGTGTGTGTGTGTGTGTGTATGTGTGTGTGTGTGTGTGTGTGCACACGTGCGCGCGCGCGTGCGTGCCTATGCCTGGTACCTGAGGAGGTCAGAAGAGGGCATCAGATCCCCTGGAACTGGAGTTACGGATGGTTGTGAGGCACCAGTTAGGTACTGGGAATGAAACGTGGAACCTGTGCAAGAGCACCAAGTGGTCTTCACTGAGTTGTGGCTCTAGCCCCAGGGAGAGTCTTAAGGGACACTTTCTTGGTGGCACAGGCTTAGGATTCCAGCTCTTGGGAGCCTGAAGCCGGAGGACTGAAGGCTTGATGCCAGCCTGAGCTGCAGGAGGGACAAGAGAAAGGGAAAGCTGGTCGACGGCAGCCTTTGTTACAGAACTGTAGGGTGAACAGGACCTTCAGACTCGGGGTGCGGCTTTGCTCCTGAGAAGGGGCTTCTGTCCGAGCTGTGCTGCCCCAGAGGTGTGGCTCCGTGGTAGACTACTGGCCAGCCATGCCCCGAGATGGATCCATAGCACCACCAAAAGTGTTGACAGTTTTTAAAGCTCTGTCTTCCTCTTGTCCGCATTACCGTGTTAAAGTCCGTCCTTTGGAGGAAAGCAGAGTCGCCAGCATTTTAGGAGGGCGCGGCCCTGCCAGGGCCTGTGGAACAACTGTCTGCACAGTTAGAGCGAGAGGTCCTGGGCAGCAGCTGCACACTGCATAACTGCAGCTGCACCAGGAGAGACATGGCTTCATCCCTGGAGCCACTGGCTTGGAGTGGAGAGAGTTTACATTTAAGGGCGGCCGCTGTCTGCTATTCTAGCACTTAGGAGATGGAAGCAGGCTCAAAGGTTCAAGGCCAGGCTCTGCTGTATAGGAAGGAAGGCCAGGCCTGAGCTACATATGACATTGTCTACAAAACAAAGCAAAAATAATAATAATAAAATAGTAATTTTTGAATTTGTCAGGTTTGTGTATTTGAGTGGTTGAAAGTGTCGTCTTGGTGTTCAGAAAAGCTGTTTCTTCCTCTGTGGGTCAGAGCTCCCCTCCACACACCCCACCCCATGTGATGACAGCCTGAGGCCTCCCCTTTGACACCACTCTGCTCTGTCTGTCTTCACCAGGTCATGGGCTTTTTGGCAGACAAGAAACCAGAACAGGGCCAGCGGGTCTCTGGAATTCTTGTTAAAAGAAACTTTAATTACCACATACTGTCGCCCTGTGACCTCTCCAGTAAGTACACTGTTCACTGTGACTGCGGTCTGCTCCGAGCACTGCAGGGAAGTGTGAAAAGTGCCGAGTCTAGTGGTGTGTGTGTGTGTGTGTGTGTGTGTGTGTGTGTGTGTGTGTGTGTGTCAGAGGACAGCAGTCAAGAGTGGGTTCTCTCCTTCCACACTGGGTTCTGGGATGGACCGTGGCTTGTGAAGCTTCAGTGACAAGCTCTGTTACCTGTTCAGCATCTGGCTGCACATGTGGTCGGATGTCAAGTAGCAGCACATCAAATAGCGACAGGTGAATAGAATCTCCATCGCTCTGTGCGAAAGAGACTTTCCTTGAAAGTGTGGGAGCATTCGAATTCCTCACCAAATCAGCTTTGACGAGCGCTCACTTGTAGGGACTGCGCCTGCTGATGTCACAGCCGCCCTGTCTCCATCTTCTCTGGCAGTGGAGTGCTTTTAATTTCTGAAATAGCTCTGCACTCCCCGGATTAACTTTTGTTTTGTTTGGTTTTACAAGTTGTATTTTATGTGATTTGATATAGTTTCATTTTTGCTTTTGGTTTTGATCTATCGTCTCACTTTGTAGCTGAGGCTGGAACCAATCTCCAATCCTTCTGCCTCCTTCTCCTGAGCGCTAGGATTATGTGTTCACCGCCATGCTCAGGTGGGCTGGTCTCTGAAAGTGTGTTTGTCTTACTGTCTCCTCAGACTACACCGACCTGGCCATGAGCACTGTAAAGCAGACCCAAGCCATCCCATACACCGGGCCCTTCAGTCTGCTGTATCACCAGCTGCAGAGGTTGACAGGTGCGTTCGCTGAAATCCACTTCACTGCCTTCTTCAGTCAGACACTTTGGTATCTAAGGAACTATGTACTTCGTTTTAATAGCTGTCTCAGAATTCCTTGTGTGTACTACATGGTCATTTTATCACATAAAAGTGGAAATTTAAAAGTATACTCATTGGGGCTGGAGAGATGTCTCAGTGGTTAAGAGCACTGACTGCTCTTCCAGAGGACCCAGGTTCAATTCCCAGCACCCACATGGCAGCTCACAACTGTCTGTAACTACAGTTCCAGGGGACCGACGCCCTCACACAGGCAAAACAACAATGCACAATAAATAAATCAATTAAAGAAAAAAAAAGAAACAAGGCTAGAAAAAAAAATATAGTCACAAATTTTTAAAAATCCCTCAATAGGGGCTGGAGAGATGGCTCAGAGGTTAAGAGCACTGGCTGCTCTTCTAGAGGCCCTGAGTTCAATCCCCAGCACCCACATGGTGGCTCACAACCATCTGTAATAGGATCTGGCGCCCTCTTCTGGTGGGCAGTCAGAACACTGTGTACACAATGGTAAATAAACCTTTAAGAACAAAAATCCCACAGTATGTTCGATCACTCCCCGTCCTAAGATGTCAGTGGCCCTTCCTCCTTGTATAAAGTCTGTTTTCGTTAGCTGTATTAGGGTTTTATGTGTCGCCTTCCTTAGTCTGCCGGCCCAGGTCGGTAGCGGGCTTGGTGAGACCTCGGTGAGAGCCTAGGCCTGTTACCATTCTCACCACTGTAAAGGAGAGGCTTCTGTCTTTACCCAATGTAAGGCGATACCTGACGGGTGTGGGCTCTCTGAGGAGGCGGGAGCAGCCCAGGCTGTGACCGCTTGCTGCTCCTGAGCCCCCCACAGCCCCTGAAGTAAAGTGGTGCCCTGCAAGAAGTGGGAGGAGGGTTCTCTCCTACCTAGACTGACCTCATCCAAGAATTATGGCCGAAGGGAAAAGTCATGAATTAATGATAGTCAGTTAACTAGTCCTTGAGAAGATTCACTTAAGAACTAGTGAACCTGCCGGGCGGTGGTGGCGCACGCCTTTAATCCCAGCACTCGGGAGGCAGAGCCAGGCGGATCTCTGTGAGTTCGAGGCCAGCCTGGTCTCCAAAGCGAGTTCCAGGAAAGGCGCAAAGCTACACAGAGAAACCCTGTCTCGAAAAACAAAAAAAAAAAAAAAAGAACTAGTGAACCTTTAATCCCAGCACTCGGGAGGCAGAGGCAGGTGGATCTCCGTGAGTTCAAGGCCAGCCTGGTCTCCAGAGTGAGATCCAGGACAGGCTGCAAAGTTACACTGAGAAACCCTGTCTTGGAAAAAAAGAACTAGTGAGCTTTAAGCACCTGGACTTCCGGGTGTGATGATTGAACTCAAGGTAGAGGTGGGGAGTTGGCCCATGAGGCTCACACTAGAGCTGAGGTGCTGTGTAGACCCATCTCTCTAGCTGATGGCCCAAGTGTTGGTGCCTGAGGTGCGTGTGTAGGATTAGGTACTGCATTGTCCTCAGTTGCTGTGAGCAGTTAGCATAAGACATAACTGTTCAGTGTTACTAGTTTTCCCGCTTACAGCAGCTCTGTTTTAACCGTCTCTACAAAGACGAATGCCTCTTAAAGTCTGTAAGAAAATCATATGAATCATGTCATTTTTTTCAGGTGATGTAGAAGAGTTAGAAATTCAAGAAAAACCTGCTCTGAAGGTGTTCAAAAATATCACTGTCGTACAGGAGCCCGGCATGGTGGTTCTAGAGGTGAGTCCGGTCATCACCTCCGGGGTGAGGGCTCCGACCAGCGTAGGTGTGATGGCTGAGAAGTGTGGTTACTGATCCTCCAGGTTGCCGTCAGTTTGAAGAGGGAAGTTCAGAGGCCCAGCCCTAGAGAAAGCTACAGGCCCCCAAGGCTTTCTCAGAGCTGGAGAAATAGGCTTCCCGGGGAAAAGTCCCCTGATTGACTTTCCAAGACCTAGTGGTCGGCCCCAAAGTCAGAGCACACAGATAACGTTGTCCATGCTGAGCAGGCTCTACTTATGTATCTAGGCAAAGAGAAGTAGCAGCAGTTGGGTCAAAGAGGCCGTGAGTTTGAGGGAGAGTAGGTGGCAGTGGGGTTGACATGGAGAGAGAGGCTGGAGGGAAGGGAGGGAGAGGGTAAAATGAGGTACTTACATTTTAATTTAAAGTCTGAAAAGGTTTGGAATCTGAGTGAATCCAGCACTAACAGTTATGTTGCGTGCGTTATTTTGGGGTTAGTTTTCTTTTTTAATAAAATAATTGGGGAAATTAAATGTCAATGCATGGAAAACCTTTGACCACAAAGGGGGTGCTTGGTAGATTCCCTTTTGCTGATTAGGAAGTTCAGTGGGTGTCACGTGACTAGGAGACGGTTGGTTCCCGGCAAAGCTGGAGCAGCGGCTCCCCTGCAGCCAGGTGTCCTGACGGGCAGAGCTGGGCAGCAGTATGGCTGCCGTTCCACCTTCCTGACTCCACCTTTCTTTGTAGTGGCTGGCGAACCCCTCTAACGACATGTATGCGGACACAGTGACCACCGTGATCCTGGAAGTCCAGTCGAATCCCAAAATCAGGAAAGGTATGGGCTTGCCCCACGCTTACTCATTCCATCTGTTCCAGATTCTTAGAACCAAAGTCAGTGGAGCCCTGAGTAGACCTTAAGTCTTCCTGGTTTCTAGCGTCTAATTTTAAGGTGTGGACATGATAGTGTGGATTTTCAGTGCCTTATTTTTCCTTCTGGCTCGTCCTTCACACAGTAGGAGTCTGATCACGGTCCCACAAAGGTAGAATCCCGTTTAGTTACAGTTCTCCTGAAACACTGTGAACAGAGAGACTAAAACAGTGCTCAGCTGAGCCCGCAAGTCTGTCAAGGAGAAAGCTGTCCTCAGGTTCAAGGGGAGGTGCTAACTAGAAAGGTGACTCCAGCCAGCGAGCGCGTGTGCCATGGCTGGAGCTTGGCTCTGTGGTCTCCAGATGCGATGCCCCCCACGCTGGACCCTTCCCATGATGCCAGAGCCTGTTCAATATAGAATGTTCCTGTCTGACCAGGCAGCGGTGCACACCTCTAATCCCAGCACTCGAGAGGCAGAGGCAGGCGGATCTCTGAGGTTGAGGCCAGCCTGGTCTACAGAGTGAGTTCCAGGACAGCCAGGGCTACACAGAGAAACCCTGTCTCAAAACAACAACAACAAAAATGTCCCTGTCTTAGAGACACATGGTGGGCACAGGCTGTTAGAAAGTGGAGCTGGCCACTTCCTGAGTCTTCTGTGTTGGCCATTCTGTCACATGAATAAGCACGTCCAGACCCTCCCTCAGCTCCTGGGGAGCATTCGGGTCGTGGGTAGCGGTGATGTACAGTCTCTGTCACGTGTCTCATCCTCACCTTTGGCCTGTGAACAGTGCTGCTGTTTGCTCTGTGTGACCGCCGTGGATCACTGCTAAGAGCACTTGCTTCCCCAGCACTGAGAATGGTTTTGGGCAAGCACAGTGATGCACACCTGTCTCATGGATTCAAAAACAAAAACATTGAGAAGGAGCTGGGTGTGGGTTCCCACTCCTATAATCTCGACACTTGGGTGTCAGAGGAAAAGGGTGCCAGCAAGTGTGAGCCAGCCTGGGCTATACAGTGAGCACCGGGCCTTCATGGTGAAGTACGTCCTCAGGGGAAGAGTCTGTGTGTGTGCACACTTCACAGTCCTGAGTAGGGAGGGTCACTTGGGAACTCTGCCTTCCTTTGGAGAAGCCGAGTCCATGAATGGGTGCTTTGTTGTGTGGCTGTGCAGGCCAGGGAGGTACATGAATGGATGTGCCATGGTGACCTTAACTGCAGATTAAAGGTGACTCATCTTGACCATCAAGTTGTGTGTTTATTGAGGTCTTTAAAAAAAAAAGTAGTAATTATTTATTATTATCGTTTTATTTTATTTTATTTGGCTTTTAAGACAGGGTTTCCTTGCATAGCCCTGGCTGTCTGGAACTCACTCTGTAGACCTGGCTGGCCTCAAAATCACAGAGATCCACTTTCCTCTGCCTCCTGAGTGCTGGGGTTAAAGGTGTGTGTCATCACTGCCCTGCCTGGCAAATATTATTTATTTTAAGATTTACTTTTAGTTGTGTGTGTGTGTGCACATGTGTTTAAGGTGCCTGTAGAGACCAGAGTGGTCAGATTCCCTGGAGCTGGAATTAGAGGTTGTGGGCTGCCCCAGTGCGTGCTGGGAACTGACCTCAGGTCCTCTGCAAGAGCAAGAAGTTCTCTTAACCACTGAGCCATCTCTCCAGCCTCTTAAGTATTGATTTTTATGAAAACATTCATAATCAGATGCTATATCAGAGGATGTTAAATGTGCATAACGTTTAGATACAAAAGAGCTTGATGTGTCCTCTGGAATTATTGGACCTAAAATCTTACCTCTCCTCAGAATGGAAGTTTGGGAAATATGAGAAATAAAAGTGAACTGACATGTCACTGTGGTTCCTTTATAAAAACTGAGATGACACAGTGCACGTGAGTTTGCCGTTGTGGCACGCGACACATCACATGCTGTGCCTTGGAGGTCTCTGTGGTGGTTACTTCACATCTCCATAATGAGCTCTGCTGACCTGCTGGATGACTGTAGTGGGAAACTGTAGTGGGAAGATGGCGCCTGAGCTGTTTGTCCTCCAGGTGCCGTCCAGAAGTTCTCTAAGAAGTTAGAGATGCACGTTTACAGCAAGAGGCTGGAGGTCATGCTCCAGTAAGTCCCGGGAGCTGGGTGTGCGGGTGCGTGGGTGCGCGGGTGTGCAGGTGTGCGGGTGGGTGTGCTGAACTCATGGTGTATCCCCGTGCTACAGATGCACCAAGTTATAGCCAAGTTCACACTGTGGTTGGTGCCAGATGCTTACGGAGCTTGCACGTTTGTCGAGACTGGGTGCTGAACATCCCTGTGTCTTTAAGAATTATTCTAGCATGGCGGTGGTGGCACATACCTGTAATCCCAGCACTTGGGAGGCAGAGACAGGCAGATCTCTGAGTTTGAGGCCAGCCTGGTCTAGAGTGAGTTCTAGGACAGTCAAGGCCACACAGAGAAACCCTGTCTTGAAAAACAAAACAAAGAATTATTTTAAATGTTTGCTTGGGTGTGGATTATTTGATAAAGTGGGTGTTGTAGGCTCTTTCCAGTAGGTCTGTAACTGAAAAGTCTCTAGACTCAGTGTGTTTCTAGTGCCGGCGGCTTTCTGTACGTGGTCTTTGAGCCGATTTCAGGATGCTTTTCCTGGCGATTAGGAAACCTCAACAGTGGATAGTTGGTTTATAATTTCAGCACCTAGCATCGTGCCTAAAGAGCTAGCATCGTGCCTAAAGAGCTCATCTATCGTTTGCTTGTTGAACGAGTAACTTAGTTTTTCATTATCGGCCAGTGCCTGCAGGGCAAAGGGAAGAAAGATACATTTCGGCCCATGGTTTCAGAGCACTCGCCACGGCCAGCTAGCCTTGGCTTTGACCTGATGTGGAGTAGAACTTCGTGGTGGTGGGAGTGTGTATATTCTATATATTCTACCCTTCAGAGTCACAGGCTGTCCCCTTCTTCAGAGTCATAGGCTGTCCCCTTTGCCCTGCTTCCTCACCTAGGCCTCACGTGCTGGTTCCCAATGCGGTTGTGCCGATGCCAGCATGATCTGGGTCTGTCGGGGAAGGAGTCGGTGGATTAAGTCAGAACCCACCCATCACCTGGCAGCCAACTTAACATCCTCCAGGGATGTTACAGGTTCTCATGACGACAGCTGCTTCTGCCTTTAAGTTGAAAGTGACTTGGGCAGACATCTTAGTGTTCAGAAGGTTTTTGTGTTCCTTACGTTTTTCTAAAATTTCATAGTGATAACATAATTAAATAATGGCTTTAGTTGGCTTTTTGTTTTGTTCCGTGTTCTAGAGGCATAACTTCACTGTATTGCCCAAGTTGGCCCCAGACTGGATGGTCACAAGATCTGTGCAGATTTGAAGTCAGAGGCCATTCTAGGCAACTTTGTGAGACCCTGTCTCAGAAGAGTTTTTAAGGGCTGGTGTGGCATGTCTGTCTAGTGTGTGCAGGGCCCCGAGCTTAATCCCCGCCAGCATTAAATCAAAAAAGCAAGCATAACAGTGTTGCTAAATGGAACAGCGGGCACTCTCGTGATAGAGCTGTTTAGCTGTCGTAGAAGGCTAGTGGCCAGCAGCGTGTCTCCAGGGGAGCGAAAAGCATCCTATATATCGGGACTTGGACCTCCCTTCAGGATGTTCTCCCCAAACAGGTGGGGTGGGACTTTCCCACTAATGCCAGATTTCTCTTCACTTCAAGGGACATATTTGGAGAAGACTGTGTCAGCGTGAAAGATGACTCCGTCCTCAGTGTCACAGTGGACGGGAAAACGGCGAATATTAGTTTGGAGACGCGGGTATGTAGCTGTCCACGTGTTTCAAGACATGTGGGGGATAAGGTGAAGATAGGAACAAGATCACAGCCCTGAAAGTTAGTTGGCTACTACAGTTTGGAGGCTGGAGGCTAGCTCAGCTGGTGGGATGCTCCCATAGCGTGGACAAAACCCTGAGTTCTCCCTGGTAACGTACAGAGGTGGACACATGGGTTTTCCCTGGTAACATACAGAGGTGGGCACATGGGTTCTCCCTGGTAACGTACAGAGGTGGGCACCTGGGTTCTCCCTGGTAACGTACAGAGGTGGGCACCTGGGTTCTCCCTGGTAATGTACAGAGGTGGGCACCTGGGTTCTCCCTGGTAATATACAGAGGTGGGCACCTGGGTTCTCCCTGGTAATGTTCAGAGGTGGGCACATGGGTTCTCTCTGGTAATGTACAGAGGTGGGCACCTGGAAGCCCATGCCTGTAATCCCAACACCCAGGTTCCTGGTTTGGTTTGGTTTTGTGAGATAGGTTCTTACCTTGTAGCCCAGGCTAGCCTTGGAACTCTGTAGTCCAAGCTGGCCTGGCACTGTTTTGTAGTTGAGCTATAAGATGAGAGCTACCATAAGCCAGGTTGGGTAACACATGCCTGTAAGCCCACTGCTCAGGAGGCTGGGGCAGAAGATCATGAATTCTAGACTGGCCTGAGTTGTGGGAAGTTTGAAGCCAGTCTGTGTAGTGAGACTAACGTTATCTTTAAAAGACAATAGTGACAACAAGGCCGTGGCCGTTAGATGGTTAGTTGGAGTCAAATAGCACCCAATGGTGAATCGTTTACCACCTCATTGCCGGCCAAGTAATCCGCGCTGCACAGACTGACGTGGATGTGTATGGACAGATGGAGGGGCTTTGGCCCCGCCCCTCTGGCTCTCAGTCCCTGTTGTCACAGGTGGGAGTGGCCCTGCGTCCGCAGCAGCCTCGGGGTGGAGGGTTGTTGACTGAAGTGTGTGTCTTTCGCTTTCAGACGGTGGAGTGTGAGGAAGGTAGTGAGGAGGATGAGTCCCTCCGAGAAATGGTGGAGCTTGCCGCGCAGAGGCTCTACGAGGCCCTGACGCCCGTGCACTGACACCCTCGTTCCCAGCACAGGAACTTTTTCACCCTCGCGGCTTTACGGCCGCCACTTCAAATAAAATACCTTAGTTTCTCCGGGTGGCCTGTTTCCTTCTGCACCCAATGGCCTGACTCCTGCCGGACCACCTGCCCACTGTTCTCGAACCATCCTGTCCTCGAGGAGCCGCCTCCCACACGAGCTGATTCCGCCTGCAGGATCCTAAGATACTCCAGCAGCGCCTCCGGATCCGTCTTCCTGGACGTCGGAAAGGAAAAGCAGTGGCCATCTTGGCATGTCTGTTTTGAGTTGAAGTACCGTGCCATAGGTTTGAGACCCGCCCTCCACCCTTCCCAAATTCCTCCGTTTATGTTTGTAAAATCGACACTTTCAGGACTCATTCCTTTGTGTGGGATCCGCACGCTCAGTTCAGAGCTGGTTCTACGACAGATGTGTGGATTAGCTCACTACTCCTGTATTTTTATTCCTAAAGTACATAGAATTCAGGCCAGGAAGTCACCGGGTGGAGGGGAGGGGTGACTCTCGGCTCTCTCCCAGAGCACACTCACTGTCCGGCCACAGGATTGCATTGTGTCATCTGCCCACGTACCTCCCCTATTCGGTGTGTAAACACTCCTGCACTTCGGTAACAAAGTGTTCGTCTGACTTCCTTAAAATGAACTGTCTGTAAAACAGCCCAGTTCCCATGTCTTTGGCCTGCATCAAAACTCTAGGGCCCTCGTATCATACAACATTTATATATAAAGCTAAACATTCGTTTTAACACTGGGACACGATGCTGTGGAGTCCGGAGGTCTGGAGTCAGAGTCCCTCGACAGCTCTGGCTTTCACAGCAGCCGCTTGCTGTGTCCATCAAGGCCAGGCACCCAGGAGAGGCGAGCCCCACTTGGGTGGCCGGTGATGGACGGGTGCGCCAGCCTGCGCTGGGCACTGAGCTAAGTCTCCAGGACACCCCAGCCATCGCCGGTCCCGGAGCGATGGAGTGCTGGGTGAGCCGGCCAAGAGAGCCCTGCTTCACCGACTCACGGGGCCAGAAACGCCCGCTGGAGGCTGCAGGAGCGCAGAGCCGCGGGCCCGGGGCTCGCCCCGCCCACGGCTGGCCACGCCCACGGCTGGCCACGCCCCCGCAAGCCTCCACATCCGGCGCGGACCGGCTGTTCCGAGCCCGGGCCACCATGGCGCTGTGCGAGCGGGCGGTCAGCGGGAGCTCTCTGATGTGGCCTCGCGTGTTGCTCTTCGGGGACTCCATCACGCAGGTACCCGCCGCACCCTCGGCTGCGTCCGCGCGTGTCGGGCGGGCCTGGCGCGGTTCCCTCGTGCTCCGAGGGCCGTGCATCTTCGCGGGCTGGGGTGGGCGCCCGGGCTGCCCGTCTTTTCAGGGGGTCTTTACATGGCCCGGCGCGCCTTGTGCGGTGCACGGGGACTTTACATGGTCGGGGGTGCACGGGGGCGTCTTTACATGGTCGGGGGCGCACGGGGGGGTCTTTACATGGTCGGGGGCGCACGGGGGGGTCTTTACATGGTCGGGGGTGCACAGGGGACTTTACATGGCCCGGCGCGCGTCGGGGGTGCACGAAGGGCTTAGGGGTCCGGAGCAGCTCCGCGTTCGCTTCCCGCAGCCCCCTGCGGGTTCCTTGCCGAAGCCACTTTGAACTTTGAACCGGCCGGTTCATCCCTCGCTTTCTCCCGCGGCGCAGGTCCAGTACCAAGTTGTTTTGAAAACAAAATGCTTCCAACAGTAAGAAAAAGTAATCCTCTCACCTGATACCGTTTGACTCCCAATTAAGGAAGTTCCTCAAGATGCCTCCCCTCGGAAGCAAACCCACTTCCCCGTGGTTTTCAGATGCTCAGGCTTGCCGTTCCCTAATAATGGGCAACATTGCTTTTAGGTGTTTGGAGGTGGCCGAGGTGGCGTGTTGCTGCCCGAGGACTGCCGTGACTGTTAGGGAAATCAGTAGAGCATTGGCTTCCTTGGTTTTCAGCTGTGGAGATAACACAATGTCATCCTCTAACTCGACATAGTGGACTTTCTCCGGTACAGATAACAGACGTCTAATGTTAAGTCGCAGTAAAATGTAGGTGACTGGTTCGAGTCCATTGGAGGAGAAAGCTGCATTTCCAGAGAGCTACCAAGTGAAGCACAGTGACCCCCACGATACCCTCACGATACCCTCCCAAGCAAGGATGGCAAGAAGCCATCCTAAAGGGCCAGGCCGACACCTGTGCATTGTGTCTGGCTGTGGACAGTAACGGCTTTTCTCTTCAGTTTTCTTTCCAGCAGGGTGGATGGGGCGCATTGCTGGCCGACCGACTTGTCAGGTGAGAACCGTTCCCGGATCCAGATTGGATTCAGCTGCTTCCTGGTGGGAGGCCTCCTCTGAAGAGTAAAGACACAAACCGTGGGTTAAAGGGACACCGGCAGGCACTGAGGTTCTGCACAATGGAGTCGGCCACCCCGTGAGATCAGGCGGCACTCAAGTGGTCGCCGGGGTGCCTGCCTACAGTCCTTCACACGACTGAGTTCCCGCCTGTGAGCGGGTCTCTGACGTTCTGTACTTGCTCAGATTAACACCCATCAGAAGGTCCACTGTAGATGCACCCCAAGTCACCACCAACACATACAGAATTAGCCCCTTGTATGGAGTTCTTCTCTCCCTGAGGGAGATGGGAGGCCGGGCAGGGTCTGAGCCCTACCAGGACAGCCAGCCACTCTGTCATAACCCATCTTTTCTTAACCCGTTTTATTTCAGAAAATGTGACGTTCTGAATCGTGGATTTTCAGGGTACAATACCAGATGGGCCAAGATTATCCTCCCAAGATTAATTAGGAAAGGGAGCGGTACGGACAACCCCGTGGCGGTTACAATTTTCTTCGGTGCCAATGACTGTTCACTCAAAGGTAAGGGCATTTCTAGATCGTTTTTGTTTCTCCTGGACTCCAGCCACTACGTGTTCGTATGTGTCTCCCAGTAGAGAGTTTTCCAGAGAACACCGAGTTCCTGGAGCTCGCCTGTGTGGGTTCCTTTCGGCTTTGATGTGGTCCGATCTGGCTCAGGTACTCTCCGGCTCACTTTCCACATGACTGTCTTGTCGGCCCACCTGAAATTCCTTTCCATCGTTTGCTCCTACACTCTTGTGTCCTCAGCTGGTCCAGCTGGCAGCCGAGGGCTGGCCTTTGGTGAGAAAGGAGTGTCAGTTTTGTTAGAGACAAGATCTCCTGTAGCCCAGGCTGGCCTCAGACTCACTAGGTAGCTAAGGCTAGTTGATCCCCCTGCCTCTACCTCTCACGTGCTGGGATGATAGGTGTGTGCCACAACCTGGCCTGATATATTTTTTTCGTCTCTCTCTCTCAAATTACACGTGGTCCAGAGAAATATGTCCAATCGCCAGCAGTGGCCTGGCTGGCAGGCTCGTGGGTGACTTTTTACATCCTGTGGTTTGCACAGTCTGTGGAGAGCGCCTTGTGCTGTGTGCCAGCCTGACTGGAAGAAGCCTCCGCAGCCTGGTGAGGGTTTTACACACTTCACTATTTTCACAGCTATCCTGAGAGGCAGACCCGCCAGCCCCCTCATTTCCCAGTGAGGACGCTGAGCTTCAGGAGGTTCGACATTTTCTTCCTGAGGTGAAAGGTCTAGTCAGTGACAGGCAGGATTAGAGCTGGGGCAGTCTCATGTCGCAGCCCACAGAGCCAGCTTTACCCACGGTGGGGAACCTAGAGAAAAGACCAGAACACTCAAAGTGCCCTAGCCAGCCTCTGAGGCCTGAGCTGTGAGCGCTATACGTAACTGGTTTTAAGCAGGGAGTCTTGTCTTTGTGTCTTTTGGTATCAACAGTTCCTCAGACACACTAAATTCGGAAAAACTAGATTCCTGCCTGGGAGTGGTGGCACATGCCTGTGGTCTCAGCACCGGAGGCTAAGACAGAGCTCTGCAAGGTCCAGGGCAGCCTGAGCTAACAGTAAGAAAGATACTGTCTCAAAACACAAAGGCCTGCTGGCGGTGGTGTTGGTGGCGCACACCTTTAATCCCAGCACGCAGGAGGCAGAGGCAGGTGGATCTCTGTGAGTTCCAGAACAGGCTCCAAAGCTACACAGAGAAACTGTCTCAAAACCAAAAACAAAACCACCACAAAGGCCTAGGAATGCCAAAGATTGGGTGTGCTGCTTGCCCAGTGTGTACAGGCCTGAGTTCAGTTCCCTTCCGAGACGACATAAAACTTCGGCTGGGTGTGGGGGTGCCGTGATTTAATCCCAGCACTTGGGAGGTGGGGGGCAGGGACAGGAGGCTCTTGGTGAGTTCCCCTCAGGACTACATAATGAGACCCCGTCCTAGCTGTCTAGTGAATTTAGAACCCGTCTAGGGTAGAAACTCTCCAAAGTATATTCATCTTATTTGTTGTTTCCAAAGTGTCCAGACTGAGGTGTCCGTGTCTTGAACAGATGAGAACCCCAAGCAGCACGTGCCCTTGGAGGAGTACCGTGCAAACTTGACAGACATGGTGCAGTACTTGAGGTCTGTGGACATCCCCGGGGAGCGGATCATTCTCATCACCCCGCCCCCGCTGTGCGAAGCCGCCTGGGAGAAGGAGTGTGTCCTGAAAGGTGAGCAGAGCAGGCCTGTGGGTGCGGAGTGCTCCCGCTCCAGGGCCCTGAAAGGTGAACAGAGCAGGCTGCTGTGGGTGCAGAGTGCTCCCGCTCCAGGGCCCTGAAAGGTGAACAGAGCAGGCTGCTGTGGGTGCAGAGTGCTCCCGCTCCAGGGCCATGAAAGGTGAACAGAGCAGGCTGCTGTGGGTGCAGAGTGCTCCCGCTCCAGGGCCCCCTCTCCGGGACCCTGAAAGGTGAACAGAGCAGGCTGCTGTGGGTGCGGAGTGCTCCCGCTCCAGGGCCCCCTCTCCGGGACCCTGAAAGGTGAACAGAGCAGGCTGCCTGTGGGTGCGGAGTGCTCCCACTCCGAGGCCCTGTCAGCCACTGGAGTACACACTCCGAGGGTCAACTCTGTTGTCTTCCTCTAGGCTGGTTTAGACATAAAGCAGGGCGGGGATTCTGGTGTGTAAGTCAGGAGGACATCGGTGCCCCAGCACCCACGCTCTGTAGTTGCCAGACGCCCAGATGCACACAAAGCCCACTGCCAGCTGCAGCAGCTGGGGCAGGCAGGTGCTCTCCCCTGGCACAGGGAAGGCATCTGCAGCCGAGCTCTGCAGGTGACCCCTTGTCCAGCTGCTGGGAGCTGCTCCCGTGTCTTGCCGCCGTGACAGGTGGAGAAGGGTGGAATCCCTCCCCCCTTCTTCCCTGTGTGCATTCTGTCCTTCAGCATGGCAGCTCCCATGCTGGCACACCTGACTGGAGAGGTGTGCTGTGGACTTTGTCTCGGCTGCTTGAATCAGGAGGACGGGTTTGACCGGGACACATTATTGGCTTTTCAGCACAGGTCAGCTGTCAGAACCAGGGAAGAATCGTTCTCTTCCTCACACACAGCGCCCCGACATCCCTCCCTTAGCCTCTCAGTCCGCCACCTGCACTCTTGAGCGTCTCCCCGGCTCTGGCTCTGCCTTCTAAGCCAGCAGGCTTGCCCTGTGCCCTGGGTAGCCTGCCTTCCTGCTGGTCTGGGAGGTAGGCAGCATGTGCTTGGCAGGTGTGTACATTTTGCACTAGAATCTGTGCGTGAATTGCACAGGTATGGCCGTCACCTCGCCTCAGAATGCTTGAGCATGCTGGTCCCAGGCACAGCCCTGTAGTAGCGAGCTCAGGCAATGACTGGTCTCTGCAGACTAGACGTTCCTCACCTGACTGCAGTAGCTGTTGGCTGCATGGTGACTCTTGGGCTCGTGGGGTCGACATTTCTTTCTAGCCATGCCCCGGGCCCCTTACCCAACTCGCTGTGGTCTGCTCTCTTGCTGGTTAGCCTCTGCACTCTGACCCTGGTGCCTTAGAAGCTTCTAGATGCCACAGCTGGCTGCTCCTTTGTCTTCTGCTGTGCAGAGCAGTGCCAGTGCCATAGCCCCAGGCAGGCCGGCACCAGTGGCACTCAGAAACGGTCCAGTCAGCGTAGCTCCATTGGACCAGCAATACATTGGCCAGTGACGCTCTGGAGTTTTCCCCAACAGGTTGCAAATTAAATCGCCTGAACTCAGTTGCCGGTGAATATGCGAATGCATGTGTAACAGTAGCCAAAGACTGTGGGACTGATGTCCTTGACCTGTGGACCCTGATGCAGAAAGACAAGCAGGTACTGTGGCCTTCTCAGTCCCATCAGGGTTATTGGAATCACAGAGGTAAAGCGGGTATGTGCAGCTCTTCTGGAAAGGCTCTTCAAGACAGGCACGGTGATGCATGCCTGTAAATCCCAGCACATGGGAGGTGAGGGTACAAGGATCAGGAGTTCAAGGCCAGCCCTAGCTACATAGCATGTTTGTGCCAGCCCGGCTACGTAAAACCGTGTCTCAAAGGACATAAATGTCAGCCATGCTTTTCACCAAGAAAAGAATAAAGACAGGCCGAAGCCTGGAGGGGTAACCAGACCCTCAGCTCGAGTTTACCCTAGAGCACCATAAATGGCCAACTTCCTGTCTGTAAGAGCAGGACAGAGTTCAGATAAGACGGTGACTATATTCACTAACAAAACCCATTCCAGTTGAATTACTTTGTCTTAAAGCCTGAAAACAAACGCACAAGAAAAAGCTGGTTGTCACGAACTGCAGCCGCTCAGGACGGGGCTGGACCACCGTGAGTCGCACGTGCACTGGCGGAGGACGTGGCTGTCCGCTGTACTGTTTGGGCAGCATTATCCACCCCAGGCCCTGAGCTAGACCGGAGCCCCCCATCTTTCTGTAGGTGACTGGGTAAACTCGCGTCCACGGAGTCCTGGGCAGCGAGGAGGCCAAGTCTGATGCCCAAAACGTGAATAGAGCTGGTAGGAAAGGAGGCTCTGAAGTCACGTGCGTGGTTCCAGCTCTGTGGCGTCGAGACGAGGCCGCAGTGACAGGTTAGGGGGAGGACAGTGGACAGCGTTCAGGTTTCACATGGTCCTGGTCTTCAGCATATGAGAGAGGCATAGTCAGACCCATCTTCTCGCCCTTCCCCCTTTTTCAGGCAGGGTCTCCCAGGCTGGCCTGGAACTTGCTTTGTAGACGAGGATGACCTTGAACTTCTGAACTTCCCACCTCCACCCTGGGGAGTGGGGTCCTGGGGACCGAGCATGTGCTAGGCAAGCACTCTACTGAGTCTCATCCCCAGGCTCCTCCTTATTCCTTAGTAAAACGTTTGTTCTCTAGGGCGTTTCCTTGGGATACTGAGGCCCAGGGAGGAGCCGAGAGATGGGGACTCTGGTCTTCGCAAGGAGGAGGACCCACTCTACCCTGGTGCCATGTCAGCAAGCCAGACGCTAACCTTCCCCTCCCCCAGTTCTCAGTCCACCCCTCCCCCATGGACCTGGAAGGGTCTGATGGTGTTAGAGTTGGTCTGTGAAGAGTGCCTGGAAAGTAGAGACCGTTAGCCCCAGGACACCCAAGAACGGCTGCCCTTGAGAACCTCACAGACTCCAGTTTAGGACTTTGCAGAGAAGTGTCCCGCTTACCTTTGGAGGCTCTCGGAGGCCCGGGACTCCAGTCGGCCTCAGCATCCTTGACTGAGCTTTGTCCCCAGGTGGAAGGGCCACCCCAGCCCCAGTGCTTAATCTCCTCGAGTTTTAGTACAAACCTCCCCCAGGGCCAGCGGTAAAGGCTCTTAACTGCCAAGCCTGGGGACCCGAGTTTGATCCCAAACACCTGCTTGGTGGTTTGGTTGGACAGAACCAACTCTACAAATTGTCCTGTGGCCTCCTGGTGCTACCACGGCATATGCGCACCCCTCCCCCAGGCCCGCACACACCAAATGAGTTAGAGAAAGAATCCAGTGGAGAGGGCTTGAGGCCTGGGGGGCGTCTTCCACAGCGGCCTGGTGTGCCTCACAAGTCTTTCCTGGTTCAATGCAGTCAGGGCCTTCCTTACACAACCTCCAGATGAGGAAGGCCACTGGAATCCTCAGTCTGTCAGTCTCCACAGGGATCAGGCGAAGGAAGACTTCTCTGAGTTGGGTTTAGACAGGAGTGATGGGAAACTGGGCTCTACACGGCCTTCCTGCTCTGGTCCAGGAGGTCAAGTTCTCATCACCCCGAACCTGCCCCCATCCGAGGGCCTGCGCTTTCTTAATGCTAGTGGATCACAGGCCCTCGGACCCAGGATGATGATGTTAGACACAGGAGCACAGGCAGCAAGGGTCTTGTACACAAACCCCTGTTGAGAGGTACAGGAAGCCACTGTGGTCCCAGTCACTGGTCGGCTGCCCCAAGGAAGGTACGTGACACATTCCTCCTCTCCCCCCAGGACTTCTCATCGTATTTATCAGATGGTCTGCATTTATCACCAATGGGAAACGAGTTTCTGTTCTTAAACCTCTGGCCGCTGCTGGACAAGAAGGTCTCCTCTCTGCCATGGCTGCTTCCTTACTGGAAGGATGTAGAGGAAGCAAAGCCTGAGCTGAGTCTGCTGGGAGACGGAGACCATTAGTCGGCCTGGGAAACCCTCCCAGGAAGGAGTGGTTCATGGTGCCACTGGCCGGTAATTCACAAACATTTCAAGAATAACTTCATGTACATAACCTCAAGTTGGTAATTCAGTTGATTAAACATTTTTTCAAGATTAACTTCTGTTGATGACTTTAAGATTTATTTTTTATGTGCATTGGTGTTTTGCCTACATGTATATCTGTGTGAGGGTGCCAGATCCCCTGGAACTAGAGTTACAGACAGTTGTGAGCTGTCTTGTGGGTGCTGGGAATTGAACCTGGGTCCTCTGGAAGAGCAGCCAGTGCTCTTAACCACTGAGCCATCTCTCCAGCCCCCCTGTTCATGACTCTTGATCAAAAAACCCACTAACATTTGCCAGCATTAATAAGTTATTTTTCAGGGAAATGTTATTCTGGACCCATTTTGTTTTGGTGTTCAGTTATCAATGCTGGAGTTACAGAACATACCCTGAGCAGCTTGTTAAGCCTGTACATGGCAAAAAAAAAAAAAAGGTAAGGACAACTTTGGTTTGTTTAAAAAGTCACAATTTTATAAAAATGCTTTTCTTATATTTTGCCAAGAACTTTGATTCATACATACACCCACACACCCCACTCACCTTATAGCAAATCCTCAAAATATAAGATTATCATGGCTAGTTCGAAGAGCAAATACCACAAGGTACATGTTCAAGTATTAGTGTAACAGACGTCCTCGGAGAGACAAGGCACAGATTTGGTTAGCGTCCTCAGAGTTTACAAGTTATCTGGGTTAATATGTGGTGGCTGGTGAGCACATTCCAGTTCTTAGAAGAAATGCTCTTTATAACTAGACTTTATAGAAATCAGAATTGAGGCTAATGGTATTTATCCTTCACACAGTAAGTACAGAGCATCCAGGATCCCGAAGTACTAAAGCCAGAGGTCATGTGAGTATCTCCTTGGTGGATCTGGAGGTCAGTTCTTCCGGGGCAGGGCCCCAGGCGGGGAGTGGCAGCACACCTGGCCTGCTGAGAACCGGTTCTGGTAAGAGTGCAGCTTGCTTACTCAAACTCACAAGCAGCAGTCAAGTTCTTTCTGGTTGTGTTGGGAAGTAGTACAGGTTTTGTGGATATCGAAATTTCTGATTTTTTATTTTATGTGAGCATTTTGCCTGCATGTCTGCACCACACTCGTGCCTGGTGCTGCAGAGGTCAGAAGAGGGCATCAGATCCCCTGGAACTGCAGTTAGAGCATTAAGAGCCATCATGTGGGTGCTGGGAGTGGAACCAGGCGCTCGTAACTGCTGGGCCAACTCTCCAGCCAGAGAAACTGCCCAGTGAATAGGGCCTAACAGTGCCTCGGCCATCTCTGGTTCACGTGGCTGTTACTGCAGGCCTCGTCCGAAGCTAGAGTCTTCATCCTGGACAGGACCATTCTTAGTCAGTACGGCCCTAAGTACAGACAGGACTTTGCATCTGCAAAAAGTTCCAGTGCCCAGACAGGCGACATCTGGAGACAATGTACATACAACAGGTTCCTCTGCTTTTACTTGAAGGGAAAAGAAATAAATAAGTCTGTTCCAGTTATCCTCACTACTAACTGCTTCACTGTGGTCCGAGGACCCTTACAGTGCACAGACAGACAGACAGACAGACTGCAGACGTCCTCAGCACTTCACCAAGAACTTGATCAAGCCTTATTTTCTGCTTCTGCGCCACAGGTCAAAGTAGATTTTAGATTATGAAAGAAAAACCCAAAACCTGAAATAAGCCAGATTTACCTCACCCCTTCCAGGGGCCTACACCCACGGAGGATGCCATGTCCCCTGACAGCATCCGCTACGTGCCTGCGTGTTCCGGGGCCGGCTCTACAGAACGTCTGCATGTGCGCGTCCTAGAGCAGGATGAGGTCCCGTTAGCACTCGGTCTCCTTGCTGTCCACTCGGCTCTGGCGCTGCAGCTTGAAGGAGGCTGCTTTCTCACTCCTGGTGACCGGGTGGTCAGTGAGGTCCTCGAAGGACTTGGCAGCCGCACTGCTGTTGGGGAAGGGGTCCTTTTCAAAGCCATCGTCGTCCACGTGGGAGTCTGTGCTGGGGTCTTCCTGGATGGTGTCCATCCTCTGGTGGTCCAGCTTTGGAGCCGCAGACACTGGCGGCATCATGGAGGCTGGCTGCAGGGGCTGCAGACGACCTGGGGTCTGCGGTGCAGGAAAAGGCTTGATAATGCGAACAGATGCCGAATCCATGCTGCTCAGCATCTCAATGTTCTGGAAAGACACGGGTCCAGGAGTGGGGAAAAGGAATCAAAAGTCAGTACACTGCAGCCTTACCCACAGTAGCCCTGGGCTGTGCTCGAGTGCAGGGCGAGGCGCTGACACCTTGTGTCTACCAAGATCAATGACACAAGAAGTCAGTGCTGAAAGGCTGAGTCCACACCGGTGGCTGTAGGGAAGCCAGGGTTCCTCTCCGCTACATTTCCACCAGCAACTAAGTTAAGTCACTTCCTCAGGCCATCCCATCCAATCAGATCCCTGTGACCCCCAGGAGCCCAGGAGGAAGAGCTCCTGCCGAACCCGCTCCTCTGTCTTCTGCGTGTACTTACACTGTGGTGAAACAGAGACAGGGACTCATACTGCTTGTCCAGTTTCTTGTCCTAGGAGGAACAGGAAGTAGAAATGTCATTACAACTAAAAGGAACCCACCCCTCCACCAGTGCGTGCTTCCTGTTCACTATCCTAGGCGGAGTGAACTCAGCCCCCACTGCAGAGTGGCAGCGGGCACGTGGCTCAGCCCTGGAGTAGGTGCCTGGCACCCCTGGGGCCTCAGGTCTGTATGCCACCCTCCAGGTGCTACCAAAAAGAAACCAAGGGACAGACTCATAGCTGAGAACACACGAGCTCCCAGGCAAGAAGCGCCTGGGTCTATGTGAATGGCAACGCACACGAAAGATGGGCTTTACGTCCTGTCTTTCTCAGGTGTCTTACACTGGGCAGGGGTGTGTGCAACAGCATCAGCCCATAGCCACAGCGCCTGGGCACTGGGACAGTTGGCAAACGGTAAGATGACTGTTGGCAGCCTCCCTCCATCCTGACTTCACCATCCAACCCACAGCCTTTCACAGAACTGAGTCTAGATACCCGTGTTGTATGTCTGCAGGAGACCAAACGCTAACTGACAGGGAAAGGCAGCACCAAGAACTGGGCCACAACCACCTTCCATGGCCAGAAACAAACCATCACGAAGTGGTTTTGCTCTGAAATCAAGATTAGCCATGGTCTACATGTAGCACTTGGAAGGGCCGGTGCCGCTGTCCTGAGATGCATCTTCTAACAAAGCCTCACTGCCCTCACTTGACAGCAGCTCTGCCTCGGCCCAAGTGCCGGGGAGCCTTCGCACCTTAGCACTGTCCACACTGCGGGGCCAGGAGAACACCGTGAGAGCTGCAGACAGCAAGCCTCGCCCTTCATCTGTGGGCACCACTCCCTACTCATGCAAGGTAGACTCTTTAAAGGTGCTGTCTACATTTTGAGGTTTAAAGACAGTCTAACAGGTAACTTATCTGTAAAGATGTGAACACTGTACACGACAATGTCAACATCTACACAGTACATGGGAATATCTGAAATGTTTACAGTTGTTCCCCGTAACCAAGTCAGCCCCAGGCAAGTCCAGCTAAATGCTCTGTGTTTTTAAAAAAAAAAAAAAAAAAAGGCAAAATATACACACATTTGGAAAAGCATGTTTTATGTACGAGTGTGCTTAGCCTACCAGCTGAGACATGCCTGTGGAGGTGGGAGGACCACTCTCAGGAGTCAGTTCTCTCCTCCAACCATGGAGGTCCTGGGGAAAGAACCTGCTGGGTCTCATGCTGACCGCATCTCCAGAGCTGAGGCTGGTCAACTTTGAGCTCATGGTCCTCCTGCCTCTTTCCTGAGAGCAGGCCCTGCTGGACCTAGTTTTTCCAGTGCTGGGGAGGAACACCCAGCACAGGGCGAGCAAGGGAAGCTCTCCTGGCCGAGCTAAGTACCTCGCTCCCATTCTGTCCAAAGATCATCAGGCAGGCTCTGAGGCAAGCTGACTTAGAACAAGTAGAGTAGCACTGGCAACACTGTACATCTGTCTTTCAACCTGGAGCTGCTCAACACTTCTGTAAAATGTTTGATCACTTAAACTTGGGTGACTTACCACACAGTGGACAAGAATGCTGAAAGGGATCCAGAATATCAAGGAGAAAACCAGGACGGACCCTACGATGTTGTCTGCCAAAAACTTCCCTGTGAATAATTCCAAACAGTGAATGTCTCAACCACATACTTCACAAGTCGTCTGCAGAACGCTTGGGGTGAGGAAACTAGAGTACTGGGTGTGCTTTCTAGGTCCACGGTGCCAGCAGACCAGCACAGCATGCTTAGGAAGACAGTATTTTTATTACCTGAAGATGACTGTCATTTTTACAGCAAAATTCTAGGGGTTTTTTGCCTTCTGCAAAACCTGAGACCTACTCGTAAATAACTCTTAGATCAAACCAGTCCCGAGACTGAACCAAGATCAGTTGGTCCACTCTCTGAAAACGCATGCATGCAACATACACAAGAATGACTTGTAATGAGTTAGTTTCATCTTAGCCAACAAAGTATTTTTTAACTTTTTTTTTTTTTTGTGTGTGTGTGTGTGTGTGTATGTGTGTGTGGTTTTTTTGGGACAAGGTTTCCCTAACAGCCTTGGCTGTCCTGGAACTCGCTTTGTAGACCATGCTGGCCTCAAACTCAAGAGAGCCACCTGCCTCCCAAGTGCTGGGATTAAAGGCATGTGCCACCCTGCCCGACTTCTAAACTCTGGCGTGATCAAACACCAGATGGTCTGGGAATTGAACCCGGGTCCTCTGGAACATCAGTCAGTGCTCTTAACTGCTGAGCCACCTCTCCAGCCCGACTTCTAACCTTTATTTTCACATGTTCTGCCTGCACATGTGTCTGTGCACCATATGAATGCAGTGCCGAGAGGCCAGAAAAGGATGTTGGATCCCTAGGACTAGAGTTACAGGTAATTATGATCCACCATGTGGGTGCTGGGAATTGAACCCAGGGTCTTCTGGAAGAAAAAACCAGTTTGTTACCCTGAGCCATCTCTCTAATCCCCAACAGGTATTTCAGAACCAATGTGGTGAATAGCTGTCTTCTGTTGCAGGGTTACGGCACAAATTCTGAACCACACCTGAGTCACCATGGAAATCTGCTCAGCCCTTGGTAAATGCAGGAAATAGTTCACTTACCAAAAGTGTTGATGCTCAACTGGTCAATGAAATCCCAGAAACGCTCAATGACATCCTGTACTCGCTTTTCACATTTGCCCTACGAGGAGAAAACACACTGTGCTATCCCAAACAACACGTTTAGAACTAAAAAATCCTCAAAAAAACAATGGGCACCTAAACAACTTCACTTGGTGGCCACCTCGAGTACAGGACGGTAATTCTAATATGAAGACACCTGAGGAAGGAGGTCCGCACTTTCACATTCAGTCCCTTAAAAAATACTGGGTGCACGGTGGGGTGAGGGTGTTCAGACAGGGTATCCTGTGTCTCAAAACTGGGCCTATTTTCCTGATGGCTAAGAGCACAGGAGTGTGTGGTCACATCCAGCCCAGAAGTCTACTTTTAGAACAGCCAGGATAAACTCGTGCTGGAGCAGCCAGTCAGAAGGACAACCATTATATACACACGTTAGTATTGAGTTTGCAGGCAGAGGCAGTCTAAACGCAAACGGCGTCTTGTGATCTTTCCGACCAGTGCCTGCTTCCAGGGACTGTGCAGACAGGGGAGTGGGCAGGTGGTCTAGGGTCACTGGAGCTCACACCGAGTGCAGAGAAGCAGCCCTGGGGAGGAAGCTTGCTTCTTGTTGGTTTTTGAGACCAGATCTCAGCAGTAACCCTGGCTGGCCCTGATTCCCGGGCTTGGACAATGGACACAGACTCAGACTTGCTCAAGCTGTGATTCTGGAGGAGGCACTCAGCAGGAGAGGCCAAGGCTGCTTTGTTGCCTGAGCCGGACCCTGGCCTCTCTACAAACGCAGAATTCCACAGTAGGAGAGGCTCCCCAAGTCTCAGACAAGGGGGACACAATACTTACATTCATGTCACAAAACCCGACTGTACAGGGCTTCCCTTTCCTCAAAAACAAGTTCTTCTGCTCTGCATCCACGTAGGGCACACACGGGCCGGAGAGGTTCCTGCAGCATACCTTGCATGAGTTGTCGGTGTCTGAAAGAGAAGGGCCGCTGACACACCAGTCCACCCCAGGCCTCCCTCCCTCCCAGATGGTAAGAGCTGACACTATCCAAGGCTGACGGGTTCAGTCAGACAGCCTGCCTGTGTGGGGTATGTGATGGCTTGAGTTCCAAGTCTAGCACCACGAAAAGAAAATGGGCCACAACTCCATATTCAGCTAACAGTTTCTAACTTCATAATTCCTCAGCTCTTCGAGCTAAAACCATCATTACCTGGGTGTGGTAGTGCACGCCTTTAATCCCAGCACTTGGGGATCAGAAGCAGGCAGATCTCTCTGACTACAAGGCCAGCCTGGTCTACCGAGTGAAATCTAGGAAGCCAGGGGCACAAAGTGAGACTAACAGAAAAGTCTGATGATTACAGTGTCTTCTCAGTCTAAACCTGCATAACGTTCTTGCAAATGTGTCCCTCTGCCCAGCGTTCCTGTCGCCCTGTCAGTGTCCTTGAGTTCTGTGTAAAGCCTGTCCTGCATGAGGCCAATGCAGCTGTGACATCACCTGGGGTAAACGTACCAGGTGAGCTGTGGAGACACTCAATGAAAAATTCACCTCCACAGTCTGCATTTGCTCTGGGGACCTAAGTTTATCTTCAGGAAGAAAGCCAGGAGGACACAGCAAAGGCTCCCGTGCTGACTACAATGGTGACTGTCCCTCCAAGGCACTTCAGGCCCGGCATCACTCAATCGTTTACTGGCAGCTGTGCGGTCTCTGAGGTACTGTGGTCCAACCACGGGCCTCGTGCATGCAGGCTAGGCGGGTTCTCTGCTGCTGAGCTGCACACCAGCACCTGCTGGTCTCACAGTGACCCACCGGGAGGAACCACTCACTCCAGTGTGTGGAGGAGTTCCCAGCCTCAGGATTTAATGGTGAGGTCTCTACATGCAACAGAACTGGCGTCAGTCCACCAGCTCCACAGCCGAGTGGGAATCTGGAGTCCAGCCAGGCCCTGGATGTCCTTAAGCCTCCCTTCAGACCTAGTGATTCCAAAAATAAGAGCATGGGAACCCAAGGAAACTGTGAGGCTAGCATTAAAAAGGCTGCTTTCCCAGACTGCCCCCACAGGGATGAGGGGGGGCAGACCTTGATGGCATCATCCAAAGTCCCACCGGGGGCAAAGTAGGTAAAGGCACTGCCTGCCAACTTGAAAACCTGAGTTTGATTCCTGAGACCTACGTGGTACAAGGCGAGAACTGACCCCCCAAGTGATCCTTTGACTCTAAGTGCACAGGGAAGGCCCACTGTGCATGTGAGTGCACATGCACGCACACACGCATGCATACAAGTGCAATTCTGAAAATCCCACCTACAAGACTTGGATCCTGGAAACTGCTTTGGTTAAGTTCAAGGATTCTGCTCCATTAGTGCCATGAACAGAGCTGTTGCTGCCTTTGTGCTTTACCCATCATGTGAGGGGGGTGAGGACGGTCCCCCCCTCCCCTCAATGCCTTCCCAATCTACGCTGCAGCTGCCTGCCTGCCCGCCTGCCACGGTCTGAAATGGAGTGGGAAGCCAGGGTCTGAACACAGACCTTTCTGCAAACATGAACGAGCCTGCTGTTCCCCTCATCCGTTTGCTTCTCCCCCTTTATGAGCAGCAGGGAGCAACAGACCAAAAACAGATGTCTCCAGCTACAGGACGCCGAGCACTCACCGGCGCACGCACAGGACTCCAGCTCCTGCTCTCTCTTGCAGAAGGGAATGCATTTTCCAGCCTTGCACTTGCCAAGGTCCAAGCACACAGTGTCATCTTCTGCATCTCCTGGTGGGGGGCACTCACTGCTATTCCCTGGAGGCAAACACCAATTAAAACAGTCCCCAGGACACAGCAGTTGCCACGCACTAGCAAAGAGCAAGGGCTCAGGGGCTGCTTTCACCTGAAGGAAACTCAGCCCCAATTTCCAAATACAAGTTCACCGCCACGGGACACCCAGGGAGCAACGGAAACGCGTACCTGTGCAGTAGGACACGCCTTTGCAAGTGGCATTAATGGCCTCCTGGCACTTCTTCTGGGCCGTCTCAAACTGACAATTTTTACAGCAAGGGCTGTTCCTATCACTGTGGAAGAGCAGACAAACACCCCTGAGTGCCGACGGCAGCCCACCCTCTGATGCTATGGTTGTTAGTGACCTGAACACTGAAACAAGACCCCAGGCCAGGTCACCACGGCCCAGCCTGACGCCTCTGGAGCTCTCTGAACTGTGTGTGTGTGTCCCTTCCTAATGCGGGGAGGCATCAATGCCACACTTCAGCAAGAAACAGTACCCACAGCAATCACCTTTTTTGGTATTCTTGGTTTTCATTAACTAGTTAAGAAAAAACCCAGGGATGCACCAGTGGCCACGAAACACTGCAGCCTGAGTCCCTCCCACTCCCTACAAGAATCTGCAAGTTAAAAGGCACACCGCACAGGTGACTAATTCACCAGACACTGGTCTATCCGGCACTTAAAGAATGGAAATGTAAGTACCTTCCAATTTGGAATCTGCCTGATATCATGACAGAGCACTCCACATCATTCTATTACGTGGATACATAGTAACAATTTATGTCCCAATATTACCATCCTGGACTGTTCCGCTATTTGCTGCTACAAAGGACACAGCTGTGAGTGCCTTGATGAGTTAACTTTTTTGTTACGATGATTTTTCCCCAGATAGGCTCTCACTGTGTAGTCTTGGCTGGCCTGGAGCTCACTATGTACACCAAGCTGGATTTGAACACACAGATCTGCCTCCCTCTGCCTTCCCAGTACTGAGATTAAAGGCATGCCCCACCATGCCTGGCTTTAAAAAGATTCCTAAACTCCAATGAGACAACTAGTAAAGGCAGTCACTACCACGCTTAATTTTAAAATAAAAACAAATCTCAAGCACTGGGGAGGGAAAGGTAGGTAATGTCTGTGCGTTCCACGCTAGCCTGTCTATATGAAGAGGTGGTCAGCCAGGGCTATATAATGAGGCCCCGTCTCAAAAAATTAATACAATACAAAAGGGAATGCAGGCAAGGTTAAAGATTTTTTTAAAACAGGTCTAAATATTTCCCCTAAAGCATTGCGCTTGCACACACACAGGCTCTTACACACACACTTTACTTCAGGGGCCTGCACTGCAAGCTCCCGTTATCTGGACCCTCACGACCCACTCCCCGTGCTCTCTGGGACACCTCTCACCTGCACGGCACACCGGCTCCAGCGTGCACTCACTAACCCTCACGCGCACTCACTCACTAACCCTCGCGCGCGCACTCACTCACTAACCCTCGCGCGCACTCACTCACTAACCCTCATGCGCACTCACTAACCCTCGCGCGCACTCACTCACTAACCCTCACGCGCACTCACTCACTAACCCTCGCGCGCGCACTCACTCACTAACCCTCGCGCGCACTCACTCACTAACCCTCACGCGCACTCACTAACCCTCGCGCGCACTCACTCACTAACCCTCGCGCGCACTCACTCACTAACCCTCGCGTGCACTCACTAACCCTCACGCGCACTCACTCACTAACCCTCACGCGCACTCACTAACCCTCACGGGCACTCACTAACCCTCACGCGCACTCACTCACTAACCCTCATGCGCACTCACTAACCCTCGCGCGCACTCACTAACCCTCACGGGCACTCACTAACCCTCGCGCGCACTCACTAACCCTCACGGGCACTCACTAACCCTCACGCCCCGGCTCTCCGGGGAACACCCGCTCACCTGCACCGCACACCGGGCTTCAGTGTGCAGTCACTAACCCTCACGCCCCGGCTCTCCGGGGAACACCCGCTCACCTGCACCGCACACCGGGCTTCAGTGTGCAGTCACTAACCCTCACGCCCCAGCTCTCCGGGAACACCCGCTCACCTGCACCGCACACCGGGCTTCAGCGTGCAGTCACTGTTGCAGCAGGTGTCGTTGTTGAGGTACATGATGCCCGGGTCACACTCCTCTCCTTCGTCCACCCTGGAGTTACCACACACCTTGTTACTGCGTTCCTGGAAGCACTCCTGAGCCTTGCTCTCTATGGTCTTGTAGATGGACTGTTTGCTGCAGTTTGAAAACATCTTAAGAGAACACAGGGCCGTCAGAGTCAGAAGAACAAGATGAAACTCCAAGTACATCTGTGCTCTCTGCAGACAGACACTAACTGTGAAGCCACCTTCGATGCCACCACTGGGCTACTGGGTGGTCCCCTGCAAATGCCACAATAAGAAATTTCTGAAGTGGAACAATGTAGAAAAGACCAACTATTCGATGTGATTTACTAGTGATTTACTTAAACGCTGCTTGCACTGTCTATGCTCCAAGCATGACTCCCCTGCTCCCTGGAACAGAATGACCTAGAGAAATAGCCGAGACAGTGGGCCACTGCTAACTGCCACCTATGTGAAATGTTGTGTACCTTGTGTTCTGCAAAATCAAGATGCCTGGAGATCAGAGAGGGAGCTAGCCACTGGTTAACCACAGAGCCGGGCAGTGGTGGCACACACCTTTGATTTAATAATCCCAGCACTTGGGAGGAAGCAGGAAGATCAGGAGTTCAAGGTCACCCTGGACTACAGAAGATTGATCTACTCTAGAAGAGAAACAGCCGGGCGGTGGTGGTGCGTGCCTTTACTCCCAGAGCTAGGGAGGTGGAGACAGGATCTGGGGCCCACCAGTCTGAGGACTCCTAGAGACAGGATCTCCCCTTCAGTCTGAGATTTCAGAGGTAAGAAGTAGTTAGTGGCTGCTGCTCTGCCCTCGGATCTCCAGGCAAGCTTTACTTGTCAACACAAACAAAACAGCACACAACAGTAAATCTTGCTTGCTTCCCCACCCCACCTTGTGGTTTAAGAGCAGTGGTTCTCAACCTGTGGATTGAGACCCCTTTAGGGTAGCATATCAGATATCCTGCATATTAGAGATTTACATTATGATTCATAACAGTAGCAAAAACTCAGTTATTTAGTAGCAATGAAAATAACTTTATGGTTGGGGTCACCACAGCATGAGGGACTGCGTTAAAGGGTCACAGCATTGGGGAGGCTGAGAACCACTTCTTAGAGTATATACAGATGAATACAAACTGGACCCGGCAGAAGCCTCTCCAGAGCGGTCCTGGCTTCAGTCCACAGGTGACGTCTCTCTCCCCTCTCAACAGTGTCGACTGCTGCAACCTTGTTTCCCTTCACTAAATACAAACTGGCTAGCGCTTATGTTTTAAGACAAGGGTCTTGATTGTGTAGCTCAGGCTAGCCTGGCGCTCCCTGTCTAGACCAGGCTAGCCTTGAACTCAGATACACCTGCCTCTGCCTCTCTCGAGCGCTGGGGTTGAAGGAGTGGCCCACCATGCCCCACAGGTCAAAAAGGTTAGTGCCCTTAGCTGAGGACCTAAGCCACCACAGCTGGCAAGAAGGCCTCTTCCTGAGCAGTTACACAGGGAAGCAGTGGGTCTCCAGGGCCTGGACAGTGCCGAGCAGAACTGTTAAAGAGAAAACACGTACTAAATGTGACGGGTGCAGGACAGACCAGCTGTGCTTCCCTGACAGCTCTGCCCACGACCCACTGCCACTAGCAAGTTCTCACAGGCCACTCAGGGCCCGTGGGGATTCCTTGGAGGAGGAAGTAGCATTGTGTGCTTTCCCTGGAGCAGAGTGTACAAAGTCAAACGTTCCCCCAGGCCCTGGCAGCACCGCGTAACCAGAGCAGCCCAGCAGGAACCCACTAGCTTTATGTGACCAGTTAGGAGTCTTTGCTCGTTCAACCTTCTATACTTCTTATTACCCAAGTGTCCAAACGTGTGTCAAATGGACACACAGTTCATGAACGTGCATGGCCCTCACCAGCTTCCACATGACTTCACAGGTTTTCTGTATTTAACACTTGTTTTTAAGAGTTTTATTAGCCGGGCGGTGGTGGCGCACGCCTTTAATCCCAGCACTCAGGAGGCAGAGACAGGCGGATCTCTGTGAGTTCGAGGCCAGCCTGGTCTACAAAGTGAGTTCCAGGAGAGGCTCCAAAGCTACACAGAGAAACCCTGTCTCGAAAAACCAAAGGGTTTTATTAAGGGACATTTAATCCCCTCGTACAGCAAGAGAGGGAGGGAGGGGGGCTGGTAACAGCAAACTGGGAAGTACCGCTGAATTAAACGAGTAACAAACTGTAAATAAAATCGTCAGGCCCTTTTTAAGGCTGAACCAAGCACCCTCAAAAGCAGGACCCTGACACAAGTCACTACTGCAGCTCTCAGAATGAACCCGAATGCACACGATTCACCTTGACAAAACTGTCCAAACGACACCAAGTCCTACTATATTTGAGAGTTCCGTCTCCAGGGAAACATCAAGTTTTCCCGTTTCCAGCAACACCACACAGCCTTCCCTCCTATGACTAAAAACGATCAAAACACACATACCTTATTGTTCTCATGGTCACCACTCACAGCTATGGGGTACATAACGTACTTTCCTCCCTGGTCCTCATTTGGAGCACATTCTGCTAGCCCATCAGGATCATGTTCTGCCCCAAAATTGTGTCCCAATTCATGAGTTGTAACCAGGTCAGCTTCCTTGAGAACCAGGCAAAGAAAACGTGTAACTATCAGCTACTTTTGCGGGTTGGGACAAGGCTACATTTGTCAGATCAAGTGGACGAACAATGACTCCTGTAAGTGACCACACCCACATACACCCATCATACACAGTTTTCGTGTGTGTGTGTGTGTGTGTGTGTGTGTGTGTGTGTGTGTGAAAGGGGGCGGGGAGGGAGGGAGAGAACACAGTAAATGTGTGAGTGAGGTCAGGGCTGTTTTATACAGCATCTTGACCTGCTAAGCCATCTCCCTGGCCCCAATAAATGTAATGGAGAGGGGATGGCTCAGTGGTTAAGAGTGCTTACTGCGCATTCAGAGTTCAGTTCCAACCACCTGTAATTCCAGTTTGATTCCAGGGGATCAAATATGCAGGCTCCTGCTTGCACATAAACTCACGATGGCCCATACATACACATATAAACAATAAATTAGTTAGTTAAAAAAACACAGTAAGAAGGATGGAACCTGAGAAAACACACCCAAAGCTGACTTCTGACTGCCACGTTCACAGATAGGGAGAGAGGAAAGGAAGGTGGGAAGCTGAACGCTTCCCCAAAACACCTGTATGATTTATTCTTCCATCTTTCAACAACAGTGGAAGTCGCCTCTCTATGCTTAAACCCAACCTTGCAGGGGTCAGCTCTCTCCCGCCTCCATGTGGGGACAAGCTTGGCAACAAGTAACTTTGCATCTCGACTGTCCCAATGCCTTTCCCATTTCTTGGGAGTTGAAAACAGTACAAAAAGGAACTCTATACTTACTTCTACTCCTTCAGGAGTAAGAGGACACAACCTTCCAGGTCAAAGATCAAGGGTAGAGGGCAACAGTGGACGGATGCCACAAAAAATTACATCAGTTTTTTAAAAAGCGAAATACTACAAGTATAGCTATACAGAAAGGGGCTAGCAACAAAAAGGCTACTGTAACCAAAGAAAGAAAAAAAGGCAGCACCAATGAAAGATTCAAAAGGGCCGAAGAGAAAGTTGAAGGTATCACACAGGAAACAAGAAAACAGGAGAAAGCATGAAGGAGCAACTGAGAGCCAGGCAGTGGTGGTGCACACCTTTAATCCCAGCACTTAGGAGGCAGAGGCAGGTGGATCTATGAGTTCAAGACCAGCCTGGTCTACAGAGTGAGTTACAGGACAGCCAGGGATATACAGAGAAACCCTGTCTCTCAAGACAGAGAGAGAGACAGAGACAGAGAACAGATCATTTATTCTAGGAGATCAAATATCTGGTCTAATTAATTAGTTCCCAAACAGAATAGACAAGATACCTGGGCCCACCTACTGTCCCAGCTAGCTACTCAGGAGGCTGAGGCAGAGGGGGGCTACACTGGCCCAGGAGGTTAAGGCCACTTGGGTAACACACACAGTGAAGGATGAAGAACACATACACAAAAGGTATCTAGGAAATAACTCATGCCTTGTTGATACATGCCTGCAATCCCAGCACCCGGGAGACTGATACAAGAGAATCTCAAATTCGTGAGACTCTGTCTCACCAAACAAAAAAGTAAACATTTTGCACAAAGACAAAGTATCTAGACTGAAGGGCCCACCTGCCCCCACAAAGGAGGGAAAAAAAAGAAAACGTTAAACCAATTTTAAAGAAGAAAAAAAGATTTATCTTAGTTATGTATGGAGCCTCTGTGTGGGTATGTGCAAATGAGTACAGTGCTCAGGGAGGCCAGAAGAGGGCGCTGGATCCCTGGTGCTGGGACTCAAACTCAGGTCCTCTGGAAGAGCAGGAAGCAGTCTTAACTGTTGAGCCAGCTTTCCAGCTCCACATAGTCAATTTTAAGCTCACAGTCAAAATACCGGTGTCTCAGATATTGATGTTTCCTACCAATACCTTCTCTCTCCTCCCCTCCCCCTCTCCTGCCCTTCTCTCTCTGTGTGTATTTGGCTTTTTTTTTTTTTTTTTTTTGGTTCGTATTTGGCTTTTTGAGACAGGGTCTCTCTACATAGATCTGGCTGTCCTGGAACTCACAATGTAGACTAGGCTGACCTCAAACTCAAGATCTACCTGCCTCTCCCTCCCAAATGCTCAGATTAAAGATGTCCACCACCATGCCCAGATCTCCCTTTAGAGTACCCTAATTCTGCTCTGGGCAGCAACATATTCAGTTATAATAGCTACCTTTCTGCCCTGGTGCTGTGGACATTCATGTGTCTAGGGAGGCATAACCAGAAACTGGCGGATGAGGCTTGTAGGAAAGCTTTGGTAGAAGCTCTAGTCTCTTTCTCCTCCTCTACAGGAGAGACAAGATCCACCTGTGCCTATGAGGCCGCAGCATGAGGACAGGGGCTTGTGCTCAGAAAGGCTAAAGGCAAGCCAGGGAGACCCAGACTGAGAGCATCTTTGAATGTCCAAGTGTAACCTGGGGAAGGCTATCTCAGGTAAGTAACTCAGAAAAATAAGCCCCTGTTTACGCCACTACTGCTTACTGTATTTTCTATTATTTGTAGCAAAGCATATTTGAACAGATATAACTACACAGGAACAAGGTTTTTGTTTTGTATTTTGAGACAGTCTCAGGTACCAAGCTGGCCTTGACTGCAGTATGAAGCCGAGGAAAATCTTGAAATGTTGATCCTCCACCTCTACCCACAAGGGCTGGGGTTGTAGGTGTGCATCTCCATCCCTGGTTTTATATGCTACACACTTGGCAAGCACTCTACTAACAGAGCTACATCTCCAGACCCCAAAACAAGAGATAAAAATTTCTTAGGAAAAAAAGGTCACAGACTGAGGCTAAGGTCTCATATTCTTCTTAATAGCACATGAATGCCAGTAGACAATGGAGCAATGCCTTCAAATTTGGAAGGACAGAACACACCCAGCCACACTGTCAATCAAGTATGATTACTTTTAAAAAGATATCAGTATAAATATGTAGCTCAGATTCTAACGCAAAGCACTCTTAATCTATCCTGTTCAAAGACAAGACACGAAAGCAGGCTGGAGAGCTGTCTCCGTGGTTAAAAGCATGTGCTGCTCTTCCAGAGGCTGCATGTTCAATTCCCAACACCGTGGTCAGATGGCTCACGGCCACCTATTTCAACTCCAGCAGATCCAACACTCTTCTGGCATCTAGAGGGACCCATAACGTACACACTTGCACATGGGCACTCACATGTGCGCACAACACACACACACACACACACACACACACACAAATGTAAAAACATTTTTTAAATAAAGTTCTTTTAAAAAAATCAAGGAACATACCTTTGTAAGGATGGTTTTACCATAATTTTTTGTACTAGTCAGACCACTATTCAAATAGATGTTTTTCTTCCCACCGGGGCTGTAGTAAGCTAAAGGAAAAAGAACACAGACAAAAACTGCCTCGTAAACACAGAACTGAAACATCACCCAATCGGCCTTCTCTTTCGCCTCCCAGTGCCATGACCGTGCCACACTCACCTTTTGGGCAAACCCCTCCGTGACTGTTGGCTCTGGGAGAACCCACGTAAGCTAATCCAAGAGTTCCCATGTCAAAGTCCTGGTACGTGAAAAGATGAGCCAGGCAGACTTTGGATGCTTCTTCGGCTATATCAAAGCTAAATTGCTTTAAAGAGAGAGTATTCTTCATTAGATTACCATTCTGCCAGGTTCGGGGTGCATGTTACAGAGCAGCTGCATGAAACCTGATCCTAATTAGTCTTATCAATAAAAACCGGGAGTCAAATATCAGGGTAATAACCCGAAAGATCAGAGGAGCAAAGGAGCAGCCACAGTGACTTCTTACCTCTCCAGATCCTCCGACCAAATGGGGGCGTGATCCTGTCTCCACCCGCCTTATATTCCTGTCTCCATCTCCCAATTGTGCTGGGATCAAAGGCGTGCACCACCACCTGGCCTCTATGGTTAACTAGTGGCTAGCTCCGCCCTCTGATCTCCAGGCCAGCTTTGTCAGAACACAAACAAAACATCACACCACAGCTGCAGCTCTGCACTAGCACCTACAATATGCCTTCCCTGGGGTTCACAGCCATGCAGCAGGTAAAGCACAGCGGTCATGGGGTGGTGGATAGCACTTAGGCACCTTTTCATCGACTCTGGATTCACTGCTCTTCCACACTGAGACCTAGTAAGGACCAGAACAGCCCAATTCCAGAGAGACTGCAGCCCCACGCTACAGCAGGTCAAAGTATTTCAATAGTTTAACACACTGTGCAGGGATTATTTTATTAATTATTTGGGCTGGTAAAGATTTTTATTTAAATTTTATAAATTACAATTATAAAAAATTATTTTAAAAATTTATAAATATAAGTTTATAGAAAAGCAGACATACTTATTTGTATGGTACAAACAAAAGATTTAAAGCCATCTAAAGAACACTGCAGATTCAATCCCCCAACCTCTACCCTGCCCCACACCCCACGGGCCTTACTTCAGTGTCTTTTATTTTTCTACCCTAACAATCCAAAAACTTTAAAAGCTAAAAAAGAAAAAAATCATGACTTTTGAAAATGTTTAAGGCCAGCCCTTGGGAGGCAGAGGCAGGTGTAAATCTGTAAGTTCAAGGCCAACTTGTGAGATCCTGTCTTAGCATATATACTCGCGCATTTAAAATAAAAGCTCAGAGAATCCCATGTACAGAATAACGGACAGCTAGCTGTCTGGGACCTTGACAGTCCCTTGGCAACAGGGGTGAGTGAGACTCCAGGACTTCTCTGGGGGCTAAGGGAAAAAAGATGGAAGGCGCACGTTTGGGCCCACAGGAAGCAGTGTGGTGGGTCAGCTGTCTCGGCAATCAGGAAGTCTGGCTACTCAGGCTTACCCCAATGACTAACCCAGGACAAGACATCTACACCCTGATGAATGGGCCCAGCTGTGGTCACCACAAAGCTCATATATTGATGTTCTAGCCCTGACTAACTCAGAACACAGCTGTATTGGGAGATAGGGCCTTTACAGAAGTGAGGTCCAGTGAGGACATATTCACAGGCCCTAATTACAGATGACCTGTTTCCTGGGGGCAGGTTTGTTCACTTGTTGCTTTGCAGTGCTGGAACCAAATGCAGGGCACAGGAATGCTAGCATGTGCCATACAAGGATTCATGTCCAGCATCACCCATGTCTTCAGGAGGATAAGGACACAGACATACACAGAGGGAGACAGCATGCTAAAGAGAGGCCTAAGCAGAAACCAATCCTGCCAATACCTCTAGCCTGTACTGCTGGCTTCCAGAACTAGGAGAAAATAAAGGCCAGAGGCTTAAGTCTCCCAGGCTGTGGTACTCTGTTAATGGGAGCTGGAGCTGAGTCCATTTGCTGAGACTTATCTCAAAAGCAACCATATGGAGCACTAGGGAGGCAGAGGCAGGCAGATCTCTCAGTTTGAGGCCAGCCTGGTCTACAGAGCAAGTTCCAGGTCAGGACTACACAGAGATACCTTGACTCAGAAAAACAAAAATCAAAAAATAAAACAAAACAAAATGATACTGTCTCAATCTCCCTCAGGGTGGCTGGCAGATCAAATTACATAAACCAGTATTATACAGACATAACATATAATGGGTCTCAATCTAGGGGAAAAATAATTAAAACAAACAAAAAAACCCTTTAATTCCATTCAAGATTGAAACTTAATTTTGGTCTTGTGGGTGCATAAGCAAAAAATCTGTATTAGCCTACCACCTGAACCAATACATTGTTGAAACTATGAGATTAAAAAACAACGTACCCAGCCGGGCGGTGGTGGCGCACGCCTTTAATCCCAGCACTCGGGAGGCAGAGCCAGGTGGATCTCTGTGAGTTCGAGGCCAGCCTGGGCTACCAAGTGAGTTCCAGGAAAAAGGCGCAAAGCTACACAGAGAAACCCTGTCTCGAAAAACCAAAAAAAAAAAAAAAAAAACAACGTACCCAAATGTTCCAAGCTGCTCAATCTGTAATAATTTGTTACAGCAGCAACAGAAAATTAACATACAATTTACAATAAAGCAGTAATGTGCAGTCAGACACTGGAATCATACAGCAGTCAGTATACTAAGGTAAGAATGCACACAAGGTGCTAACACTCTTCAAATTTATTACCAGAATGAAAATAAAATGTTTACATTTCTATAGATCTCAAGTCATACTTGTGCCGGCCAATACATGTTCACTTCTTTGGTAAGCACTGCTCTAAAAAACTTGTGGTTAAGCTTCAGAGAGACCTGAGTCACAGAGCAGTCAAAGTTTACGGGCTGCCTATTCATGCTGTTTCCCAGAGAAGACCCACTGTGCTGAATTAGTTACTCCAAGACAGGAAGGCTTCCCCCAGGCCCCTTCACTAGGACAGATACAGCCTCCCATTAGAAATTAAAAACTGCACAGCAGGGCCTACCTCCAGCAACATCTTCACATCCCAAGCATCTTTTTCTTCGTTTGGGTAACTTTTTGCCATATTGAAGTGCCTTTCACCAGGTTTTACCTCTTGTGGAGACTTAAGAATTCGAATCTATACTTAAGAGAGAACACACTTAGAACAATTCCAGAGCATCCTAAGACTTTCACTGCATTATTTCATCACTTCAAAAAAAGAGCACCTGGCCAGGCATGTGGCGCACACCTTTAGTCCCAGGACTCCAAAGGCAAAGGCAGGCAGATCTCTGAGTTGGAAGCTAGCTCAGTATACACAATGTGTTCCAGGACAAGCAGGGCTGTCTGGAGAGACCCTGCCTCAAAAAACCAAAACAAAGCCGGGCGGTGGTGGCGCACGCCTTTAATCCCAGCACTCGGGAGGCAGAGCCAGGCGGATCTCTGTGAGTTCGAGGCCAGCCTGGACTACCAAGTGAGTTCCAGGAAAGGCGCAAAGCTACACAGAGAGACCCTGTCTCGAAAAACCAAAAAAAAAACCAAAACAAAACCAAGACCAAAAACCCAGCACCTGAGCGCTGGAGAGACCTCAGCAGCTAAGAGCACTTGTTCTTACTCAGGACCCACATGCAAGTTCACAACCTCCTATAACTTTAAATATATTAAAAGAAAAAAAAGTTCTTAATTAAAAAAAAAAATCAGCATCTATGTAACCCTGGCACTTGGTAGGCTGAGATGGAGACAGGTCGGTCACTACTAGTTCAAGGGCAATCTGGGTTACATAGCCAAAGCCTATCTCAAAAAATAAACACACAAAGCCATACCCATGCACTCACAGACACATAGGTACACATGTATACACTCACATGCACAACAAGCACACACACACTCAACTATCTACTCCTATACAAAATGTTTAACAACCCAAATTCTTTAGTTCAAATATTCAAGGTCCAAAACAAACTGAAAATCATATGGCATAGAAAACACATGACAGTGAATTATTATGAAGTTAGAAATGCACTAAATCCTACATGTATTTAAAAAAGAGAACCTGGGTTATATGAGCCTAGGGTATTTATTACAATTATAATCAGTAATTTAAAAGTGAAAGATTGACATGAACATCACTTCTGTACCGTAAGTACAGGGCTATAAAAAAATCGGAGCTTCTCTTTGCATGCATGTTTAAGACAAATTCCCATTAAACCCACTAAGAAGAGGAAGAAAGGTTTGTGGTCCAGGACTTTGGGACAAGGACAGAAGGCGTGCTCGGCTCAGCAGTCTCTGGCCTCCCCTCTCTCTGCACCAACACTATGGTGAGCTTCCTGGGGACCTCAGAGTCAGTTCTGGTAAGAATCATCCAAAAGCCAGGACTCCACACCTAAATTACACCCTCCAGTTCATCTCCAAGGGATTAAAGAAGTTGGCATTCTGTTTCCTATATTGCTATGTCCTTCGATTGTTTCCAAGTTCCTAAGGCAAAAAGGAACTATTTTCTGATTCCCAAAACCCTGCACAGTTTTTATAGATCTTTGCATAAGCTTTTTTTTTTTTTTTTATAGTTTTATAGCTACACATAGCAGTGATTTTAAAACCAGTAAGTCTGCTTTACATTATCAATGAGGAATTCTATTCAACAAAGAGTAAAATAAAAAACCAAGAGGCCAAGAGTGTGCGCATGCCGCCAGTGTGTTGAGTACAGGCTTACTTGTGCACACCATCTGGAAGACAGGCCTGACTGACCTAGACTCAGTATGCAGACCAGGCTGCCTCTGCCTGCCAGGAACTAGAACTACAGGCACGTTCCACCATGTCAAGGTAAGTGATTTTTTTCCCTTTTGTAGATCGCCTTTTTGTTTTTCAAGACAGGGTTTCTGTGTAACCGCCCTGGCTGTCCTGGGACGCGCTATGTAGACTAGGCTGGTGGCCTCAAATTCACGGAGATCCATCTGCCTCTGCCTCCCGAGGGCTGGGATTTTAGGTGTGCGACATCACCACCCGGCTGTCTGCCTTTTTTTTTTTTTTTTTTTTTAAGTCTCTCAATTCTACACGCTACAACCTGCAAAACTATATGGTTTCATACAAAGAACCTGGAAACATTCATATCAAAATATGTATTTTTCCAAAGCAATACTCCATTTCCAAACCACCGAGGTCAGCTTTTGCTAAGAGTGAGTGTGATGGTTGGTGCAGTGTGATTAGTGCAGTACTGACGGCCACGCTGTGCCAGCCAAGGAGCTGGAGGAGAGATCTACTGCCTGGCACAAACCCCCGCCCCCCTTGCACTGTACTCTTGAGTATATTTCCTGACTATGGGTTCAAAATTGTAGAATTCTCCCCGCCCCCAAATACTTTCTACTTTCCATCAGAATCTCTCTTTTTAATTCTTCTCAGAGATACAGTGGGCACAAAATTAGAATATCCTGTTAGCCAGGCAGTGGTGGTGCACGCCTTTAATCCCAGCACTCAGGAGGCAGAGCCAGGCGGACCTCTGTGAGTTCGAGGCCAGCCTGGGCTACAGAGCGAGATCCAGGACAGGCACCAAAACTACACAGAGAAACCCTGTCTCGAAAAAAACAAAAAAACAAAACAAAAACAAAAAAAGAATATCCTATCATTGCTGGTTTGTGTACTACAATTCTAACTAGAGACTGAAGCATAATCAGAGGAAAAGAAACACTACAGGAAATGAAAGCGCTATCATTAACAGATGAGGATGTAACAGCATTAACAGGTTTCATTCCTAAAACAACCCTCAAGAGAGAAACTTTATCATCTAGGACTGCATACCAAAAATTCAACACAATGTATCATTTAAAAAGATCACAAATGAGAATATTTGTGATTAATGTTAAGGTAAGTTTAGGGTTTTGGAAAAAAATAAAAATATTTACTCTGTAGAAGCTCATGGATCAACACAAGGCCTACTATTGATAAATACCTGTTCTATCTGTATTCCATAACCTTTAAACCCCGCATTATCCCACGAAGTGTTCCGGTATATGTCATCAACTCGGTCAATTAGCTCTATCTGTGAATATAAAAGATGAAGTTATGTAGAACTCTACCACTCATTACAATGTAATAACATCTCCTGGAATAAACATCTAATGGAGAAAACTGCAAGACTGATTGTGAAAACCTGCATCAAAAAACTAATCTTAGCCGGGAGGTGGTGGCGCACGCCTTTAATCCCAGCACTCGGGAGGCAGAGTTCGAGGCCAGCCTGGACTACCAAGTGAGTTCCAGGAAAAGGCGCAAAGCTACACAGAGAAACCCTGTCTCGAAAAATCAAAAAAAAAAAAAAAACAAAACTAATCTTTATCACTAATGGGTCTATCAGAGAAAAGACCCCTAGAGCCAAACTTAAACCACTGCTACAAGAACGGCACTGTCTATGCAACCTCAGGCTTTTTAAATACGCCGTCCGAGTCAACTATAGAAAATTTATCAGAAAATCTAAGAAGTAACCAGTCTCTATGTCAGGAGTGCCTTAAATGTGGCCCTAAAACAGGTAAAATGGTGATATTGCTTTTTTCCCCCATTTTTTTGGTGTGTGGGGGGATACATGTATATGTATACATGTCTTCTGTGTGAATGGGCACGTGTGTGTGTGTGTGTGTGTGTGTGTGTGTACACACACACTTATGTGCACATGATAGAGGCAGAACATAATCAGTACACCAGAAATTATTTAAAAAAATGAACCACGTATCTTTTCTCAAAAAGGAACATTTATCTATTCAAAAAATGGTTAACAGGTTTGTTTCAGCTATGAAGAAACTGTTCTTTGCTTTAAGTAGCAGTGAGAAATGCACTGTGGAAAAGTTGACCTCAGGGCTGCAGAGATGGCTCAAGCGGTTAAGAGCACTGGCTGCTCTTCCAAAGGACCCAGGTTCAATTCCCAGCACCCACACGGTAGCTCACAACTGTCTATAACTCCAGTTCTGGGGATCTGACACCCTCATACAGACATACATACAAGCAAAACCCCAAAGTACATAAAATAAATAAATCTTTTAAAACAAAAAGAAAATGTTGACCCCATACTGGGCAATGGCAGTACACACCTTTAATCCCAGCACTCGGGAGGCAGAGGCAGGCAGATCTCTCAGAGATCAAGACCAGCATGGTCTCCAGAGTTCTAGGACAGCCAGAGCTACACAGAGAAACCTTGTCTTAAAAACCAAAAAAAAGAGAGGACCTCGCAGGCTGCTCACATTCACAGGATCCGACACGAAGAAAAGAAACACAGGGAGTCCTTGTATTAACACAAACCCAGATGAGAATTCTTCAAGAAAGACTCTTCTTAGGAACAAGAATCAATGACTCCCACGCTTTTCCTAACAAATTCGCCCATGCAGCATGGGGAAAGGAAAGGCGGCTGAGGGAGGTTGGAATGAAATGGAGAGAATGGGAAGGAGGCACTCAGAAAGCCGTCTCTGCTGCACTGGGCTGCTGGGTCATGAATAGCTCCATTCTCTTTTATTCCCTCAATGACAACATTTTCATGAGTGCCAAGTTACCAAAGATAAATGGGGTCATGCTGAGAAAAAAAAAGTCCTGGAAAAAAATCATCTGCTTGACTTTAAAAATTTCATAGCTGATGCTAAAAGTTCCATGTCAGGCTGGGGATCCAGCTCAGTGCAAGAGCCCTTGCTTAGCAGGCACAAAAAGTAATCGAGTATTAACACCTCTTTCATCTGTCTTTCCTACCTCTGCCCTAGGGCTAACTATGGCCATGAATGTCTCACTATTCCATATACTATCCCAAGACTGTCTCTGTAACTGACAGTGACAAAACCTCTGGAATATAGATACATAAAATACACAAAGTTCATACACTTACCTATTTCTTTATCTGAAGTATAAATCTATGCATGTGATACTAACATTTGTAAAGAGCTCGCTTGTATAAAGGGACTACATTATAAACTTTCCCCTAATTTAGTCTGTAGAAAAGTCTAATATACAGAAAATAGTAATTTTAAAGCAAAATGCATTCTCATAATCCTGAAACTATAGTTTCTATATAGAAATGTAAGATCCAGGGCTGGAGAGATGGCTCAGAGGTTAAGAGCACTGGCTGTTCTTCCAGAGGTCCTGAGTTCAATTCCCAGCAACCACATGGTGGCTCACAACCATCTGAAATGAGATTTGGCACCCTCTTCTGGCCTGCAAGCATGCATGTAGGCAGAACACTGTATACATAATAAATAAATAAATCTTAAAAAAAAAAAGGAAATGTAAGATCCTAGTACATGTTCTCCAAGTAGCAGAAAGGAAGTAACAGTGTCTGGAGCAGGCCTGCTTTCAGTTGTAAATGACTGCAGTCTCTCCTAACAGAATGAATTCACCGCACGAATGGCTTGCTGAACCCGCTGTGTTCATCAAATACTTACTAAGTAGTTGGTGGTGGTGCTCTCCTCTCCTCGGCCCATGTACTTATAGAATCGATGATCTGCTACCACCAGTAACTTACAAGTGTTCTTCAAGGGGTCAGGCTCAGCTCGTCTCTTCACTCGCCGAACAAACTCTAATATGAATTTGTATGCACTATTAAATTAAAATTCACCAGAACAGGGAGGGGTTTATAGTAACACTTAGTTCTATTCTGTTTCTGAAACAAACATTATTTAAGTTCAGTATCGTTAAAGGTAGCTTTTTCTTTTCCGAGGGAGGAGTGGAAACAGGATCTCACACAGCCTTGGCTGATCTTGGATTCACTATGTAGCCAAGGATGACCTTCAACTCCTAATCCTCCTGCCTCCACCTTCCAAGTACTGGGATAATAGCCATGCACATCATATCTGTCCTTAATGGTATGTTGAATAATAATAATAATAATAATAATAATAATAATAATAATAATAATAATAATATTTGGAAAAAGACAGAAAAGTAAAAAGTAACATAAGGTTTAAAATTGCTGAATTTAGCCGGGCGGTGGTGGCGCACGCCTTTAATCCCAGCACTCGGGAGGCAGAGCCAGGCGGATCTCTGTGAGTTCGAGGCCAGTCTGGGCTACCAAGTGAGTTCCAGGACAGGCGCAAAGCTACACAGAGAACCCTGTCTCGAAAAACCAAAAAAAAAAAAAAAAAAAAAAAAATTGCTGAATTTAAAACCAAGGGGACTTGGGATATGTAAGACCCTAGTTCAAACCCCACCACCACACAAGGAAAAGATTTTCACAAATGTTTAATACAGTAAACTAATCATTACTAGGCAATGAAGCTACAGGTCATTTTCTTCTAGAACTCCATGAATTAATCAAAAGGTAAAAAGGTCTAGGTAACCACACATTAAAACTAAGTCACACGGAGCCAGGTGTGATGGCACAAGTCTGTAATCCCAGCACTTAGGAAGCTGAGGCAAGGGGATGGCCATGGTGAGCTGGAGAGCAAACCTAGTTTATAAATCACAAACATTAAGCAGCCCTGGGTGTTTAGAGATGACTCTACCAGCATCAGTACAAGGCTGCAATCTTCTCAGCTCCCGATACAAGCAGGTCTGTCTACTGTTTACTCACAAGCACAGATTTATAGAGTGTGTAGATGCACACACACCTCCATCTGATTACCTGTCACAGACATACTCATGTACAGTGGTTTGTCAACTTGACACAGCTGGGGAGTCATGGGAAGAGGGAACCTCAACTGAGAAATACCTCCATTTGACTGGCAAGTCTGCTGAGCAGTTTCTTGATTAATGATTTATATGGAAGCCTGTGTGAGTGGTAGCACCCCTGAGCAGGCGGTCTTGGGTTGTATAAAAAAACAAGCTAAAGCCAGGCATAGTAGTGCTAGCCTTTAATCCCAGTACTCAAGAGACAGAGACAGGAGGATCCCTAAATTCAAGGCCTGGTCTACAGAGCGAGTTCCAGGACAGCCAGGGCTGCACAGAGAAACCATCTTGAAAAACAAACGTCCAAACAAACAAGTTGGGGGAACCATGAGGCACTAACCAGTAAGTCGCAATCGTCCATGGTCTCTGCTTCAGTTCCTGCCTTAAGTTCCTGCCTTCCCTTTATAATGGACTGTAAACTTTAAGACAAAATAAAACCTCTCCTCCACAAGCTGCTTTTGTTCATGGTGCTTCTCACAGGAATAGAAGGCACACTAAGACATTCAGACTTGTCACTCTGACAGCCTCGCCTTTTTAAGTACATAAGTAATTATGTACATACACAGTTACAAATGTATCCTTATAGTAGAAATTTTAAGATTAGTCTGTTAATAAAACATTTTTTTATCAAATAATCTATTGTTAAGAATGTATTTATCAGGTGGTGGTGCACGTCTTTAATCCCAGCACTTAGGAGGCAGAGCCAGGAGGATCTCTATGAGTTCAAGGCCAGCCTGATCTATAGAGGGAGTTCCAGGACAGCCAGGGCTACACAGAGAAATCCTGTCTCAAAAATAAGCAACCAACCAACCAATCAACAAAATGAAGACAGAAGAGCACCCCCTCCAAGTTTCTTTTGTTTTTACTGACCCCAAATAGATGTGTTCATGATTGATAGCCTCTGTGTATTTCAAACACCACAAAACTATTTTCCCACCCAATTAATCTCTTACAAGCGCTAAAGACTCCTTTTCAAAAACAGTACTTTGACATTTCTGAAGGACTACCAGTAAAGAACTTAGATTATTTCACTGTCTCTTTCCTCAGGATCTTTTAAGACAATTATTGCTTTACCTATTTTTTCTAGTGTTTTCAACTATGACATAACAGAAAAAGAATTAAAAGTTTCTGTAACAAAACTGTATTTTCACACCAAACATTAGAGTTACTTTATAATCATTCTATATTTATCAATTAACATATATCACTGTTGGAAACTGCTGTGATGTGCTTATGTCATATCCGAAATATATTTTCAAGTCTTACCTTCAGATGGCTCTCTGTCTATGAGCCCTTTTGGAAGCAACTCTTCACTATCCGCCTTTAAATAGCCACACACTTTTGGAGATTGCAGACGTGAAACATCCTTGATATCTTCAGACTTATACACTAACATTCTTTTATCTTTAGTATCATTAACAAACCTCCAAAGCGGCTAAAAAGGAAAACATATGATGAAATAGAAAACAAGAACTTCGAAACATTAAATTCTCAAAACACTCTTTGTTTTTGGGCAACATTGTTTCTTAAAGAATTACTTGCTTTATCTTATAGTTTCTATGCTGCAAATAAATTCAATTATTTAGTATTTTATGCACATTTCTGTACAAGCCCGTAAAGAATAAAAAATGTTTTATCCTTTTCCATAAATCATTCCATTTTAAATATTTCTGTAATTCCTACTCTACTCCAGCATTGTTACAGGTAGTCACACTGGAGTGATGTCTGGGGACGTTCCTATGCATATGGTGTTTACACGCCATTCCTTTAACATCCAGGCAGTCAACATCTTTTCACCATGATAGCTTTTACACACACAAAAGCCTTGTTATAGGAGACGACGGAAAGCTCTTAACAGTGTGCTAAAAGCGTCGATTAGTGTCAGGGAAAGCAGGCTTTTGTTTGTTTTCATCTGCAGTTTCAACCCCCAGCACAAGATCTAAATGATGCTGGAAGACTCCACATTTAAAACATGGCTCCACCACATGCATATAACTCTGAAGGTACATAAGTAAGAGGGCTGTTTCCATTTTACAAAACTCAGTTTTCTGTAAACATACTGGTCTCAGCTGTGAAGAATGTAAAAAGGGTTTTAAACACAGACATAAAGATATGCACGTATAGGAAAATGAATGAGTAGGACACCACTTCATGCGCATTAGGACGGCTGTCATCAGACACAGTCTGGTGAGGCTGGAGAGAAACGCAGCCTCACACATGCTTCTGAGAATGCCCAAGCCCTAACACAGGCAGAACGGCCTCCTACAGAGCCACACAGGAGACTCAACCTCAGAAACAAAACAAAGCAACACAACGAGAACCTTCTTAGACTGGTCACCCAGACCACCCCAATTCAATACACACCCAAAAGTGTGTTCAAGGCTGTTCATTCTGGAACCTTCTATTTCAAGAAATTAAAGCACAATTAATGATCATCATCAGAGGACTGGCTAAACCACCAGGGAGCCGTCACTAAAAAACCTTCATTCTGCAGGAAGAACAGTCTGGATAGCCACATAGTACACACATGCATACAGAAAAAGAACTAGAAAAATATTCTCAAAACGTATGGTTCAGGGGCTGGAGAGGTGGCTCAGTGGTTAAGAGCACTGGCTGCTCTTCCAGTAGACCTGGGTTCAATTCCCAACACCCACATGATGGCTCACAACTGTCTGTAACTCCAAGATCTGATACCCTCACACAGACACACATGCAGTCAATACACCAGTGCACACACAGTAAAGATGAACAAGTCACTTTTTTTTTTTTTTTTTTTTTTTTTTTTTTTTTTTTTTTTTTGGTTTTTCGAGACAGGGTTTCTCTGTGTAGCTTTGCGCCTTTCCTGGATCTCACTCTGTAGTCCAGGCTGGCCTCGAACTCACAGAGATCCGCCTGGCTCTGCCTCCCGAGTGCTGGGATTAAAGGCGTGCGCCACCACCGCCCGGCACAAGTCACTTTTTAATGTGTGGTCCAGGTATACGCACAATGGTAAAGCACTCAGCTAGAATGAAGACGCCCTGGGCTCCGTTACTAGCACCCCCACCAAGGCATGGTGGTGTAACTGCAGCACTCAGGATTATGTATTTAGGTTTCTTAAAGCACTCTGGGTCTCCCTACGTAGCGCAAACTGGCTCAGAGCTCACTATGTAGCCCAGGCTGGCCTTGAGCTTACAGTGATTCCTCCTGCCTCTGCCTTCCCAAGTGCTACACAGAAAACTCATGGCAATCCTCCTGCCTGAGCCTCCCAAGTGGAATAACATATGTGACCCACCATACTTAACTTGCCTTAACATCTTAAAACAACCAAGATGTGTTACGGAATATTTATTCAGCCAGGCAAAGATGTGTTACCTTTGTTTATGCTGCATTTGTTGAGGATGGAAGGATGTGTGTTTAATTATGTAAAGATGTGTTCCATCTGTTTCACTTGGCCTGCCTAAGGCACCTGATTGGTCTGATAAAAAGCTGAATGGCCAATAGCTAGGCAGAGAAAGGATAGGCAGGCTGGTGAGCAGAGAGAATAAAAAGGAGGAGAACTCTAGAGAAGAGAGCAAAGAGTGAGAACAGGAGAAGGAGAGGAGGACACCTAGCCAGCCACAGAGTAAGAAGGAAAGAAAGATATATAAACAAAGAAAGGTTAAAAAGCCTGGAGGTAAAATGTAGTTAATGAGAAACAAGCCAAGCTAAATCCAGGCTTTCATTAGTAAGAGTAAGTCTCCATGTACTTATTTGGGAGCTGGTTGGTGGCCCCCAAAGAGTAAAAAACCAACTACAAGGAAGCTTTTTAAAAATCATAGAGACAAAGTAAGAAAGACAAGGCAGGAACAGAGGCAAAAGGACCAGGAGTTCAAGGCCAACCTCAGCTACATAGCCAGTTAGAAGCCAGCATGGGCTACGAGGGACCCTCTCCCCAACCCATCCCCAAACACAGCCCTCTTCCATGTAGACTTACCTCCACGTTATACTCTGCCCCATCCATGTTGATTCTCACTGTAACATCACCATCGCCTATGTGGGCTAGAACCCTAGAGTCAGGCTCACCTTGGGGGAAAAAGAAGGTATTTTTATTATCAAAAATATCTGTAACAGAGCCAAGTGGTGGTGTTGCACGCCTTTAATCCCAGCACTTGGGAGGCAGAGGCAGGCAGATCTCTGAGTTAAGAGGCCAGCCTGGTCTACAGAGCAAATTCCAGGACAACCAGGGCTACACAGAAAAGCCCTGCCTCAAAAACAAACAACAACTACTAAGGAAAACAGGAAGCCCACGTTAGACTATATAGATCCCAACAGTAAGCTGGAGCTTTCCCCACCATTTCCCCCTTTTCCCCGTTTACTCTATGCGCATGGGTGTTTTGCTTGGCTGCCGTCTGCGCCTGCAGCACCCTCAGAGTGCTGTACCAACAGAAGAGTGTTGTATCCCCAGGAACTGGAGGCTGAAAGCCTCCATGTGGGTGCTTGGAATAGAACCCGAGTCCTCTGGAAGAGCAGCCAGTGCTCTTAACCATTGAGCCACCTCTCCAGCCCATTTCCTTCTTGTCGCAGAGGAAAGTAGGGCTTCACACTCTCAGGAGACGGATGCAGGACAGGATGACTGCACTTGAGACCAGCTAGGGAGGGAGGGAGGGAGGGAGGGAGGGAGGGAAGGAGGGAGGGAAGCTCGCTAAACGACAAGCTAAATAATACCGTCCCTCCTATCAGACAGAATGTTTCTGCTCCAAAACATATATAGCTCAAATAAAAACACATAGCATGCTATCACACCTCTTTCCTTACCTAGCCACAAAAGAAAAGAAAAGAGAGAGAGAAAGAAAGAGAGAGAGAGAGAGAGAGAGAGAGCGCCTTTGTAAGTAAGCTAAGGCTGGAGCCCTGTGACGGTTGAAATCTAAAAATGCCCCTGGACTTGTGTGTTCAAAGCTGAGTTACCAGTGAGATTTTTGAAGGTGGTTAGACTATTAGATCCTAACTTCATCAAGGGACTGATCCGGTGGGGACTGATCCATAACTGCGTGGACTAATTAGGAGGTGGAATCTCCTTGGAAACAGTCAGTCACGGGGGACTGCCTTGAAGGACTGTCATGTCCCATGCCTCCTTTCTCTGTTTCCTGCACTTCCCGGTGCCATGAAGTGAGCTGCCTCTTCCACCACAGGCTTCTGCCGCCACGATGGTCTGTCTCCCCTCAGGTCCAAAGCCTCGTGAACCAAAACCCTGTCAAGCATGCACTGCGGCCAGCCACTCCTTCCTCCTGCTCCCGTCAGGAGCTCCACCACCACAGAGAGTGACGAGCACAGGACCCAGCAGCCCGGGGACTCACCGACCACGTGCCCGCTGAAGAAGTCCTGCCATTTCACACTGTACTCGCTTTCCTTGTTCCCATCCACCACGACGACTCTGAAGTTCTGCGAAAAGCGTTCAGTACTTGATGTCAGGTATAATTTAAAATGCCTGAAGAGAGAATGCATTCACACAGACATAAACTAGAGGCCTAATCTTCATTTCACGCTTTAAGATCTAGAAGAGACACGACGACGAATACACTTCTACCAAGGTAGAACCACTAACGTTTTCTCAACATTTGTAACGTGTGCTCTCTTCGGCGGCACATACACTTTGTAAAATCAGAATGATGCAGAGGATTAGCATGGCCCCTGCACAAGGATGATACACAAATTTGTGAAGCATTCTATAGTCTTCCTCAAGAAAAAAAAAAGATTTACTCCATTATTCTGTGTGTCTGTGTGGGCCTGTACAAGGGGGTGAGTGCCCAGGGAGGCCAGAGAGAGTGTGGGACCCCTTGAAGCTGGAGTCCAGGTGCTTGTCAGCATGGGTGCTGGGAAGTCCAGTCTCCCGCAAAAGCAGCAAGCGTTTTAACCTCCAAGTCGTCTCTGCAGACCCACAGGAGCTAACACCTTACTAGGTACACAGAGCATTACTTCTCCTAGAGAGACAAATGGACTAACTGGTTCAATTATAAACTCAGCCAACAAAAGAAACTGATTTTCTTCCTTTCTTTTCTGAGACAGCGTTTCTCTGTGTAGCCCTGGCTGTCCTAGAACTCAGAGATCTGCCTGCCTCTGCCTGCCGAGTGCTGGGGTTAGACATGTACCACCACTGCCCGGCTAAAGAAACGAATTTTAAAATGGTTTTAAGGGGGGCGGGTAGGGGCTGGCAGGAGAGCTCACAGGTCTGTGTGATCTACATGATGGAGGAGACACCAACTCTCTCAAGGTGTCCTCTGACCGCCACATGTATTTCATGGCACATGTGTACATACATACACATACAGACAGACAGACAGACAGAAACAAACTACAAAGGGGACCTTGACTGCTTCAGAGTTCTACCCGACTGTTTTCCTGGAGCACTGAGACCCATTTGAAAGGACTGGATTTGAGGCAGCTTTTCCGTGACTTTAGAATGGGTATTTATTTATGTGTATCAACGAGGAAACGCAGCTCAGAAGGCTAAGGTTCTGTTTAGCACTGTGTGAGCACGGGCAGTCTGCAGCCAGGCAGTAGTGGTTTCACCTCAGCATAGCTCTCTAGGGTCACCAAACGGTCCCTGCCACCATTCTGAAGGCTGCTTGAGACTCAGACACCTGCTGTCTAATTTTTCCCAAGTATTATGTAGTCCATTTTTGCAAAAAGTACTGTTACATTAAGGGCATTTATGTATCCTGGTTAAAAATAAACCTTCACACCGGGCGGTGGTGGAGCATGCCTTTAATCCCAGCACTGGGGAGGCAGAGCCAGGTGGATCTCTGTGAGTTCGAGGCCAGCCTGGGCTACAGAGTGAGTTCCAGGAAAGGCGCAAAGCTACACAGAGAAACCCCGTCTCGAAAAAAAAAAAACAAAAAAAAACAAAAAACAAAAAAACCTTCAAATTCTGTATAGTCAAAAAAAAAAAAAGGGAGGGTGGAAGAAAAGGAAGAAAGGAAAGAAGGAAGAAACTCGTGAATTCCTAGGGAATGAGGGTAAAGATTATGCATTTATCTTTGCTGGAAACCGATTAATACGGAAACACACGTGGACAGTTAAAGTTGAAGTTAGGCGTCCTGCTTATCTCAGAAATCCACTACTAAAGATGATGTTATAGGCCATTAATTTTATCTACCTGCTCTTAAGATAATCTGTGTTCTCTCTACTTCATAAAAGCGGAGCTGGGCTCGGCACTCACACACTCACCGTGACACAGCCGGTCAACTGTGAAAGTGAACAGTGGATCTGTAGTCCCTGCTTCTAGCCACCCAGCTGGCATCCTATGGAGGACTCGTCCTACTGTGTAAAGTTCCCAAATGCTGCTTCTGTGTTTATTCAAGAGAGCCCGTGGTTTTTCTCTCCTCAGTAGAACCCACTTGAAAACCAGTAATGCTTAATTACTACTAGGGGACCAGGTACCAAGTGCAGGTATTAGAACACATACACTCCAGTTCTTTATACGGTTTACTACTTTAAAGCATTCTCATTCTGAAGTAAAAACTGGGGGTGGTGAGCCAGACTTTATTAATATTTAGAGACCTTTCAATGTGCCCACTAATACCCAAGGCAAAGCAGGATATGTTATTCATCTCAACCATAGGAACAAATTTTGTCAGCTATGGTGTTGAAAATATGAAATGTTACTTCCCTGTGGGTCTGCATAAATCTCTTAACTGCCAGGAAGAAACCCAGACTGGGACTGTCTCCAGAGCAACAAGTATTTTTAAGTTCTTGAGCATACAAGGTAATTTTAGTTTTACTTATATATTTTTTGACGGTAAGAGAGAGACACAATACATCATTTCATAAAACCTTGGCTCATTTCCTGGGCTATCCAGAAGTGTGTCCTCCTACATTACTCATTATCATTAATGTTCTTTCCACTTTAGAAAGGCACCCTATTACAAATGCCCTATTCAGTGTTCCAGCTCTCCTGAGCTGTAATAGTGTTGGATGTTCTTCCTAGGAAAGTCCCAGGAACTGCATTCTGGGTTTTCTGCACTAAGTCTGCTGTCGGGACTGGGGAGATCGGCTCAGTGGGGAAAGCATTTGCCATGAAGTGGAAGGTGAGGGCTTTGATCTCCACATACCTGCAGCACCATGCACACATCCACACTCATATACATGAACACACACAAGTTTTATAAAAAACGAATCTGTCATGTGGTTAAATATGTTATAAGCCCAAGTAGTGATGACATTTGTTTTTTAAAGTTTCTGATCATAGCACTGCGCTTTATAAAACCTTCAGACCGGATGTCAGTTAAAACAATTGTTTGCAGCCTTTCCATGACTTTAGAATGGGTATTTATTTATGTGTATCAACAAGGAAACACAACTCAGAAGGCAAATTTGAAATAAGCTTCCTTTTTCATAAACTACCACTCATGCTGAAATCCTTCAACGTTCATTTCCTGCTCTTCAACCTCTAACAGCCACACCCAAATCTAATACAGTCTGGGTTAAATTCTTCTGTCTCCCACTGCTTTTAAAACGAGAGCCTTCTCATCTGCTGTCACCACCAGTAACAGTGGTTTCTCAAAGGCCAGGCCGGCCATCGCCTGTACTGACCATGCTAGCTTACCAAGATCTGACTGTGTAAGGGTTGGGTACCACAGTAGGAAAGGGCGGACAGCACGGACTGGGAATCTGAAAACCTTGGCTCAGATCCCACCTCTACTGTTACTATGTGACCTTGACTTTAATCTCTGAACCTAAGCATTCATCTACAAACGAAAAAATACAGAAGACTTAACTCAACAGTCTGAAGGCTAAGTGAGAGACTAATTTAAAGAAATGATACATTTCCATAAATTGTTAGATGCAATTCCTAATAAACAAGATCAAAACAGTAAATTAATAAAAAAAAGTCTTTGCTTCTTTGTAAACAGGGATGGATATTAACACTTTCTTCCTTCTGTTTTTTTGAGACAGGGTTTCTCAGTGTAGCCCTGGCTGCCTTGGAACTCCTGTGCCCCAACTGTAGACAGATCTGCCTGCCTCTACCTCCCAGCTGGAATTAAAGGAGTGCACCACCACGCACAGCTTATGTTAATGGCATCTGTGAACAGTCACAGAAGCAGCTGACCATGTCATCCTCACGACTCCACAGGCTGCTTCAGAGCTATGGAAGAGAGAAACATCAATTTTCAGTTCTTGTTTTGTACCTCCTCCCTTTCCCCTACACACTACACACACTTCTACCACTTTTTTTTTTTTTTTTTTTTTTAGGTTTTTCGAGACAGGGTTTCTCTGTGCAGCTTTGCGCCTTTCCTGGATCTCGCTCTCTAGACCAGGCTGGCCTCGAACTCACAAAGATCCGCCTGCCTCTGCCTCCCAAGTGCTGGGATTAAAGGCGTGCGCCACCACCGCCCGGCTCTACCACATTTCTTTATTGAGTGTGTGTTATGTGTGTGGGCACACAAGCCCAGACACACACGTGGAGGGAATCTCCTCCCACACAGGTCTAGGAGGTGGAGCTCAGGTTGTGAGCAGTCACACTTACACTGAGACATCTCCCTTCCCACCCACTCCTCAGCAAACTTCCTACCAGTGCTGCAGAAATAACTCTTAATTCTGGAGTCCCAGCTGTGGGACAAACAGCTATCTATTGTGGGCATGCCACCCAACGTCTACGAGCCATAGATGTGCGCCTTTAAAAGCAAACAACAGGAAGAGGATGGTGAGAACGAGAGAAAACTTACGTCAAGTGCCTGATAAACAATACACTCAATTCTGAGACTGGCTGGAACCTAGACAGCCAATATTATACTATCTGTAATCAGTATTGTACTATTTGTACATAAATTCTAAGTTACTAAAAATAACATATAGACATGGCAATAATTAGAAAAAATAAAATATTATTAAAAACTTCTTGCCGGGCAGTGGTGGCGCACACCTGTAATCCCAGCACTCGGGAGGCAGAGGCAGGCGGATCTCTGTGAGTTCGAGGCCAGCCTGTCTACAGAGCGAGATCCAGGACAGGCTCCAAAGCTACACAGAAACCCTGTCTTGAAAAACCAAAAAAAAACAAAAAACAAAAAAAAAACTTCTTGCACAAAATATCAATAATATGCCAACAACTGACCAACTTACTTAATGTCCTAAGCATTACTACAATTCAGCATTCAAAAGAACAAATAGAAAAAAATTATGAAAGCATAATTCACAGAAAACCAGCAAAATGTTTCACTTGAAATGTAAATCAAAACAACTCTGAGATATCTGCCCTTGGAGAAAATGAAAGCTAAATGCTGGTAGAAACCCAATGCACTAGGATGGGGACACAGGGTATCTGGCGGAGTGCTGGCCTGGCTGGCACAAGGCCCTGGGTTCCCCAGCACCACACAGAATAAGATGCGGAGGAGGCACACGCCTGTAATCCTAGCACCCAAGAAGCAGAATTCTGCGAGTTCAAGGTCAGTGTGATCTACACAGTGAGTTCCTGCCCAGCCAGAGCAACACACCAAGACCTTCTCACAAAAATAAATAATCGGATTAAATTTAAACACTTATATTTCAGGGAGTAATGACAAGACAAATTCTGTACATGTTTCTATCAGATGAAAATTAGTCTGTGGTTGGTTGAACTCACCAACATAGTGAGGGAATGGTAGCTATGCATATATACTTTAATCTATGTGCAAAAAAATGCACTGAAGAGGCATCGAGATGGCTCAGGGGGCAAAGGCTCTTGCTGCCAAGCCTAATGGCCCCAATTTGATCACTGGAACACACACAGTGGAAGGTAAGAGCCAACTCCTACAGGTTGTCCTGATCTCTACACATGTGCTGTAGCATGAGCATCCCCCATTGACAATAAATAAATAAAATGCTAAAAAGTATCTTAATGCACTGAAATTTTTAGAAGTTTACAAACAAGAAACCTCTTTGAATCTAGGAAACTCAGTTAGAAAATGAAAATTTAATATACTCCCTGCAAGGTTTTTTTTGTTTTGTTTTGTTTTGTTACATGGGGGGATACTGGGGATAAACACAGGACCTTGTGTGTGTTAGACAAGCACTTTACAACTAAACTATATCCCTGTTTCCCTGGGACAATTTGGTTCTTAAATCAGATGCGCGTATTACTTAATAGGCACTTAGGAATCTTTGCATTTCAGTTGGGCCCACAAGTACTCTATTCCCAGGAAGAACAAAATCTCACAGGACAGATGCCCACCCTCCAATTGTTCTCCCAGATGAGAACAATAACCAAGCACTGCCCGGTAAGGATCAGAGTACTGATAAGCAATAAGGACTTCTTGGGACCACCCCAATGGACCAGAACTGAGACGATGACAGGAGAATGACATCTTGACCAGTACTGCTGAATCCTAAGCATCTCTTTCCCATGACCCAGTTTTTTCTCTGCTTAGACGTAAACCTCATGGCGGAACCGAGAAGATGAACTTGATGGTCCCTGGACCCCTTCTTGCTAATGTGTATCTCACTATGGTCTCTTTAACTGGAGTACTAAGTGGGTGGAGCCTAGCTTTGGGGGATGCTTGAGCTGGGGTTTTTGCCCTAAAAAATATTGGTAATGTTACTCATGTTTATTTTTATATGAAAAAGTCTTATTTAGTGAATTTTTTAAAAGCCTATTTGTATTTCCCTACTGCTTTTTACATCAGATTTTATGTATTCTTTCTCATGTATGTATATTTGCACCTAATGTGCTGGGAACAGAAGCGGGTACCCTGCAAGAGCAGTCAGTGTTCTCAACCAGAGCCATCTCTCCAGTCCCATTTTACTGCTTTTTTAACTGTCAGTTCTGACCCCAGCACCCACACTGAGCGGCTCACAAGATCCTGTAACATCAGCTCTAAGGGATCAGACACTCTCTGGCTTCCTCAGGAACAAGTACACACCCATGCACATATACTCACACAGACAGAAACATAAATAGTAAAAATAAGTAAGTAAAAATTTTAAAATAGGGGCTGGAGAGAGAGCTCAGCAGTTAAGAACACTCGATGCTTTTCCAGAGGACCCAGGCTGGATTCCTAGCACCCACATCACAGCTCACGCACCTCTGTAACTGCAGTTCCAAGGAATCCAATGCCTGGTTCTGGCCTCTGCAGACACCAAGCACACACATGGTATACAGACAGACATTCAGGCAAAACACTCATACATAAAACAATGAATAAAAAAATTTGAAAATATAAAGTATTATAAACATTATAAAATTGTTAGAATTTTAACATGGTTACCATTGGTAATACTCTTGGGATACTCATTTCCTTTAAAATATTGATAAAATTTTAATATTTTAATTATTTTAAAATAGGAAATAAACAATGCTAGAATCACATGACATACTGTAATTATATCAAGTACAAATCTTGAAGTATTTTCCTAAGATCTCTGTAGACAGCTTTTGTTACTGCCTTTGTCAAAACAAGCCCCCCCCTCACACTGTCCCAATATTACTCTATGTTTAATTCTAATTACCTTTTCAAAGCTGAAAAAGTTAGCAGTGTTTCTAAGTGTGTCGCAGATTGTAGGTCCCTTTTCCTCACGGAGTGCTGCTGAATATTAGACAAAGAGAGGATGTCGTAGTCTGAGAGCAAAGAGTCAAGCTTCTCTGAAATAAAGGTAAAAAGGTATTAGCAGGCTGGAGCGACAGCACAGGCAGTTAAGAACATTTGCCACTCAGTCTTGAGGAGGACCTGATTTCGGATCCCAGCACACACAACAGACAGTTCAGAAACACCCATGACTCCAGCTCCATGGGATCTAAAGCTGTCTTCTGGCCTCTGTGGGCACCCACATGTCCAGTCACAGAGACACAATTTTAAAAATATATTCTTTTTTTTTTTTTTGAAGGACTATGGAGGCTAATCAGTGACTCAGCAGTGAAGAGCTCTTGCTGCTCTTCCAGAGGACCTGGGTTCAGATCCCAACACTCACATGGCAGCTCCTAACTATCTGTAATTACAATTCCAAGGAGGAGAATCCAAGGCCCTCTTCTGACCTCCATGGGTACCAGGTATGTACATGGTATATATACATATATACTTACAGGTAAAAAATTCATAGAATAAAAGTAAACAAATCTATAACAGATCAGTAAAGGTTGCCAGGGACTGAAGAGAGGGATCAACAGTGAAGAGCACTTTTTCTCACAGAGGAAGAGGACCCAGGTTCAGTTCTCAGCACCACATGACAACTCACAACCAGCCTTAAATCAAGGTCCAGGGAATCTGACACCCTCTTCTGACCTCCACTGGCACACACCACACACACGGTACACATACATACACACAAGCAAACATTCATACACCTAAGAATTAAGGAAACCATTTCAAAGGTTCAGCACTTGAACCTACTAGTCAATGTGCCAGACACTAAGCGGAAGTGCTCAAAAGTCGAGCACAGCAAATCACGTTCTTACAAAAAACTGAACCTCAACTTCATAGAGCTCTAAGTTCAAATTCCTAGGAGATAAAAGGTTCCGATGCTGCCAAGTCAAATAACCAGGGAAGCAAGCCGTCAGCCACACCTAGAAAGTTAGATTCCTGCAGAACAAACACCCAGTTTCTCCTGAAGAAGGGAGGGGCAAGGGGGAGACAGATTTAAGAACAGAAACAACTCCACAGTGGGAACCCCTCTGGATCACGGCAAACACTCGAGCTGTGGGAAGACACTAAACAACCTGGGAACCAAGGTTAGGTGCTAATAATCTGGTATCTCTGAACTCAGAGTACTATACACAATCAGAGTTCCAGATAGAAGGCATTTCTAGCATGCAGCTTTAAAATGTCCAGAATAAAAGTAGCTGATCCAGCCGGGCGGTGGTGGCGCACGCCTTTAGTCCCAGCACTCAAAGGGAGGCAGAGCCAGGCGGATCTCTGTGAGTTTGAGGCCAGCCTGGGCTACAGAGTGAGTTCCAGGAAAGGCTCCGAAGCTACACAGAGAAGCCCTGTCTCGAAAAACCAAAAAGAAAGAAAAAGAGTAACAAATGTTCTGTATTAACAGTCTAAGAAATCAAAACCAGGAAGGCAAAGCCTTTGCACCAAAGCCCCCAAACCCAAGTTCCAGAGCAGTCTGGCCTTGTTGGCAAGACTCAGTCTCAAACTGGAGAACTAGCAGCAGCATGGCTACCACTGCCCGCCCTCCAGACACATCAGCACCTACTAACTCAGGAGGAGCAGGGCCAGGGCACTGATGTCCAGAAGGAAATCAACACCAGCTGCTTTACCAGACCAAGTCACCAGCCAAGAAAACATAGATGAGCTGCCTTCCACTTAGCAGAGTATGAGAGATTCAAAACCAGAGCTACTATAATCAAGCATAGCCACTCCTCTCCATGTTCTCCACCAACAGACTCTGCTGCCTCCTCCAAATAACTTCTAAAAAGGGCTTTAACTTAAAAACAGTAATTTTTACAGGACAATATGGAGACTCTAGTCACTTTTCAAACTGTCTAAAAGGGAACTGGAGAGATGAGTCAGTACTTAAGAGTGCTTACTGCTCTTGTGGAGGACACAAGTTCTGTTCCCAGCACCCACATGGTGACTGACAACTGCCTGTCACTCCAGTTCCAGGGGATCTGACACCCTCTATTGGCCTCCACAGACATCAGACACATACTTAATGTGCATATATACACACAAACACTCATACACATAAAATAAAAATACACACTGGCTGTCTAAAATATGTGAGCTGGTATTTCCTCTTCTTTCAACAATCATAGCGTTGAAATCATTTGAATGGACCTAGAATTCCTCAGGACAGGACAGCAGTAACCTGTGCTAATGTTTATTGTTACACAGTATAAACTTAAATCTTTTTTAAAAAATGTCCAATGATTGGACAAAACGTCCAATTATTTTATGTCAATCAAAAATTAAGAATAATTTTATTTGGGGACAGGGTTACTATACAGTTATGCAGCCCAGGAACTCAAGCCCCAAGTGCTAGGATTATGGGGATTTTTGTTTGTTTGGGTTTTTTTTTTTTTTTTTTTTTTTTTTGCTTGCTTGCTTTGAGTTTCTGAGACAGGGCCTCACTGTAGCCCAAAGTGGCCTCCAATGCACAGCAACCCTCTTGCCTCAGCCTTCCAAGCACTAGGATTAAAACCAAGAGCCAGGCTGGAGAGACGGCTCAGAGGTTAAGAGCACTGATTGCTCTTCCAGAGGTCCTGAGTTCAATTCCCAGCACTGGCTGTTCTTGCAGAGGTCTGAGATTTAGTTCCCAGCCTCCAAATGGTGGCTCACGAGTCTACTTCCATAGGTCCTCTTCTGACCTCCAAGGACACCAGACACACAAGTGGAACACAAACATGCATGCCGGCATAACAATCATACACAAAATTAAAATACGTAAATTTTTAGAAAATGAATCCATCCAAGAGCATAGCCCTCTAAATATCCTCCATCAGTATGTTTATCAACTCAGCCACCTGCTGCTATGAGCCGGGCACTAAATCAAGTCCAAGGGCTGAAACACAGCAGCAACAGAACAAAGTCCTTGCCTACTGAACACTCACGTTAGTGGGAGACACAGAACCCACAAGAAAAGGTATCCAAGCCAGGCCTGGGTCACACACCTATCATCCGGGCACTCCAGAGGCTAGGCCAAGAAAAGCCTGAGTTTCACGAGAGTGGGGGCTACATACGAATTCCAGGTCAGTGAAAGGCACTCGTGGTAAGACTCTGTCTCCAAAGAAAGGAGGGAGGAGATAAAGGGATGGACTGGAGAAAGGGAAGGGGAGGAAGGAAGAGAGGCAACAGCAAAGGATCGGAGGACGGAATGTGGACCTGAAGTGAGAGAAAAGCATAAGCAGTTTCTACAGCGTGCTCCTGTTAATACTACGTAAACCCGAGGGAAGTAGGGTACAGGCATGCTGCTACCAGATTAAAGCTAATCAACATCCAGTCACTTCTACTTATGACATGCTTTATCTCACAGATTAGGAAATGGCCGAAAAGGAGCCATGTTTTATTCACCACATCTTTTTATTATGGTATTGCTCACAGGGCCCCAGGCTGGCCTTGAACTCCTTCCTGATCCTCCTACATCCACCTTCCTAGTGAAGGCCACCACATCTGGCTCTCCTCATAGTACTTTACCGTAAAATATCCAGCACAGAAGCTTGGCCCATCAGGCTCATGTTCACAACCACATGAGGTCTCAATGCTGAGATGCCAATACAATCCTTCACTCTTCAACTGCCTCGATACAGGCTGGTACATGAACTCAGTTTCATTTAAGATCATAATCACACCTACAGACTTAGAAACCTAACCCGGATATTGTACTTTCATTGTCAATAATACAGACCAGGGCTCCTCAAGAGTGTGGTTCCCCAAAAACAGCTGCATGAGCAGCTGGGAGCTTGTTAGCAATACAGACATTCAGACATCCTCAGTGTCAGGTGCAGACATTTATGCTGCCTTCCAGGTGACTCTCATGTGAATTCAAGTTTGAAAACCACTAAACAAGTCTGGCAGCATGGTGGCTCCTACTGGTAATCTTAGTTACTGAAAGCTGGGGCAAGCGGGTGGCTGGAGGTCAAAGCCACCCTAGGCAACACAGAGAGACACCCGGCCCTCGAAGGCCTCCTTGCACCACACCACTAAGGAAGAAAGGGAAGAGGGGAGAGAAAACCGCTTAAGCTAAAGGAAGCCAACAGCTAAAAATAATGCTTCCAGCTGGAGACCGAACACCTGGTCCACAAGCGAGCCTGTGGGGACGCCCCACACGGGGGTCTTCTCGCACTCTACCTTAACGTACATCAAGGCACAGGAGGCACCAGGCTCCTTTCTTTCTACAGGTGATACATGTTTAAGATCCGGCTCACCCAGTTCATTCTTTATTCAGCCTTGCATTGCTTTTAAAAACAAGAACCAGAAACAGGATAGGCTAAACTGGAAAACAGATAAGCTGCAGAATGTCCCAAGGACTGGGGGAAACCATCCACCATTTAAAAGCCTGCTCACAGCAGGGCATCTACGAAGTTGAGCCAAGGGAGGGTTTTAAAAGCTATTCATATCCCAATATCTTAACTGCATATAAAAATGGAGCTAGAAGAAAAGTAAGGACAAGATAGAAACATTGTGAGTTATTTTGAGTATACTGTCTATAATAAGCGCCTTTTAAATGTAGCTTGATACCATACTTTAAAATAGTTAGCTACTGTGTTTCCATTGCAATTATTTTCTTTTAATAACTGGATATTACAAATTAGATGTCCTGGAGTCATTACAAACAACTCAATAAAAAAACAGCTCTCTTGGAAGGCAAACTGGAACCAGCTACTGCTCCCGACAGTGTCTCTCAGATACTGTGCCCTCGGATCCTCAACCTCCGACTGCAGCTCACTTCCAGAACGTCACCGGGGGTGGGCACGCTCTCCTACAACCTTTGCAACGGCATTTCTCTCTAATCCTACCCAAATCTCTCCATAAAGTACAAACTGCTGTCTGGCATGGTGGTGCACACCTTTAATCCCAGCACTCAGGAGGCAGAAGTAGGAGTGTGAGGCCAGCCAGTGACACACTGCGAGACCCTGACACACACACACACACCAAGCACAACTCCCCAGACTTCACTAAACTATCACTTACTCATAACTGA